TAAACCCTCCTCTCTCCTAAAGGAAAGTAACTTTTCAAAATAACGAACCTGATTTTTTTTTTTTTTTTTTTTGCCTATTATGACTTGTTTATTCCTATTCCCTTCTGCCTATAAAAGTCTCATTTTGTATAGCTCCTTGGGGCTCCTTTCTATCTGCTAGATTAGATGCTGCCTGGTTTGAATCAATTTTTGCTCAAATAAACTCTCAAAAATTTTACTATGTCTCAGTTTAACTTTTAACAAATCTCTTTGCTTTTCCTGACCACTCAGTTTAAAACATATCTTCCTTAACTCTGTTTTATCTTACTGGATACAGCCTAGCATCTTCATAATTTAAAGTAATCTACACTAGTTAAAAAACCAATGAGTAGACTATTTTATACACAGTTTTTATCTATTAACTAATCTCTTAAAAGTTGAGAGAAACAATCTTCATTAATTAAGATATAAATAATTATGAGATAGTATACAATGAAAGGGAAGTCTACTTTCTAACAGTCCTCCGCTCCTAAGCAGATTACTTGTCCTCTGTGCAGCTTTCCCAGAAATGGTTAATAAGTACTTATAAAGTGATTAAATAAGCAACTTTTTAATTGATGTTTACTATACTCTAAGTCTCTTTTTTTAAGTTCATTTATTTATTTTTGAGAGAGAGTATGCATCCATGTGTGCACACATGAGCGGGGGTGGGGCAGAAAGAGAGGGAGATGAGAATCTCAAGCAGGCTAGGTGCTGTCAGCACAGAGCTCCATGCGGGGCTGGAACCCACAAGCCATGAGATCATGACCTGAGCCAAAATCAAGAGTCAGACACTTAACCCACTGAGCCACGTAGGAGCCCCTCTAAGTCTCTTTCTAGATACACAGGGTAAGGTATAAACAAAAATGTTGCTGACCACTAGTTAGAGCTGACACTCTAGTGGGAGGAAACAAATAATACACAGATAAATCCATACATACATATTATTTCTTAAAGTTTTAAGTAATCTTAAAAGAAGAGTAAAGAAAGAGAAGTAGCAGACAAGCGAGTTGTTATTTTATACAGAGTTCTGAAAAGGTGACATCTGAGCAAGATACCAATTTAAATGGAAGAAGAAAAACAGACATCTAGGGTAAGAGCCTACCAGACAGAGAACAGCTAATGCAAAGGCCTTCAGAGAGACGGAGCCTGACTACATTCAAGAAACTGTCAAGAGGCCAGTGTGCCTGGAGTGAAAACAGCAAAAAAGAGAGTGGTACGGGGTAAGGCCAGAGGGATAGCAAGAGGCAATATCATGTCAGGGAGACAGCTGAGACTGTGAGTCTTATTCTGAGAAAAATTGGGGTTGGGAGTGGCACTGGGGGTCTTTAGAGAGCATTAATATGGTCTAACTTATATTTGTAAAAGATCACTCAAATCACTGTGTTGGGAATAGGCTGGTACTGTGGGTGGGCAAAGCCAGAAACATGGAGTAGCAGAAGTTGTGACAAATGGCCATATTCTGGAAGATTCTCGAGGTAGCCCCAACAGAATTTTCAGGAACAGCAAATGTAGACTTTGAGAGAAAAGAAGTTGAGCATGATAACTCCATAGTTTGTTGTCTGGGTAACCACAAAGGGTGGAGTTCCATCAACTGAGTTGTGGAAAACTGCAGATCCATCAAGTTTTGAGGGGATGATCATGAATTTGGTATTAGACATTTTAAGTTTGCAATATCTATTAGATATCCAAGATGGGAGAAATTAAGGCAAATGTTTGCTAAAGACCAATTTATTGAGAACAGGAAATGACAACATCAGACAGAAAGAAGTTAAGCTGGAAGGGGCAGGATCTAGAGCAAATGTGGAGAGATTTCAGAGTGGAGGACAGAGGATGTTCACCTAGTTACAATCTGGAGGATGAGGTAAATGGCACAGACAAGCAGGTCGGTAACCCGGTTGGCAGGAGGCAATGCAAAATTTCTTCTAGCTGCTTCGATTTTCATAGCAAAATAGAAAAGAAAATTTTGTTTGAATAAATGAGGGAATCCCTTTTTACTTCCTTCCATTGGCTTCCCCTCACCATTGGAATAACAGCCTAACATTTTAGCATGGCCCACAAGGCCTCACAGGACCTGGCCCCATGTACCTCTCCCCTTTGCCCAAAATGGTTCAGCCACAGGGGCCTTCTTTCTATGCCTCCGACATGTACAAGACAAACTTGTATAAGCCTTGGGCTCTTTGACTCACTTGTCCCTCTGTCTGAGACAAATAAAAGATGTACTCTTACCTTCCCAAGCTTGGCTAATTCTTGTCATATAAGTCTCACCTCAGAAGTCCCCTCCCTAGACCTTTCTTGAGCATCCCATCTAAAGTGGCACCTCTTTGGAGCACCTGGGTGGCTCAGTGGGTTAAACGTCCAACTCTTGATTTTGGCTCAGGGCACGATCTCATGGTCTTGAGATCAAGCCCCAATGGGCATGGAGCCTTCTTAAGATTCTCTCTCTACCTCTGCCCATCTCTCTCGAACATGAGTGCTCTCTCTCTGTAAAAAAAAAAAAAAAAAAAAACCCACAAAGTGGCACCCCTTCTTATCATAAGACCCTAGAACTACATCTGGCATATAGGAGATTAGGATATGTTCAATGAATATTTCTTTATGACCATATTTGGACAATTAAATGGAAAACTGCATGCAGAGCATACAACAGAGGAGCTGGCACATAGTAAATCTCATTAAATGTTAGCTGCTGTGATGATGGCAGCAAAGACTAGCATGGCAACAATCATGAGCACAACAACTCTGAAACGCAAACCCTTCTCTGCTTTTGAACCACCCCCCTTTGTGTTGTCAGAGATTTTCTCTCACTAATGGCATGTCCCTTCTTCCTCTTTATAGTGCTTCTTTTCAGCTCAATATGTGCAATATTTCACCACCATTTTTGAAAAATCAGTTAAAATATACTTTCCTTTACTCTGTCTTACTAGGTGCATCCAAGTATCATCACATTTTAGCTATGAAAAAAGAGTAATCTAGGGGCGCCTGGGTGGTTCAGTTGGTTAAGCACCCAACTTCTGCTCAGGTCATGATCTCACAGCCCCTGAGTTCAAGCCCTGAGTCAGGGTCTATGCTGACAACTCAGAGCCTGGAGCCTGTTTCAGATTCTGAGACCCCTGCTCTCTCATCCCCCACACTCTCTCTCAAAAGTAAATATTACCAAAAAGAATTTTTAAAAAATAAAAAATATAAAAAGAGTAACCTATCCTAGCTCACAGCTAAGTGATCAAACTCATTTTTTATTTACTGTTTTTTTTTCTATTAACTAGTTTCTTCAAGTTTAACAACTAAATATTTTCATGGTTACAATATTACTAATTATAAAATATTATACAATGGAAGGTAGATCTACTATCTAACTCATCCTCCCTCATACCAAGAAAATTAGGTATATTCTGTTTATCTTTCCAGAAATTATGTATGTATTACCGGACACATAATTTTTTTTTAAATATCAAAGAGGATCATATTGTGTATAAATATGACACCTTGGGTTTCTTTCAGTTAATGAAACACCTTGAACAGCTTTCTAAAGTACATATTAAGACTGGGGCACCTGGGTGGGTCAGTTGGTTAAGCATCCGACTTCGGCTCAAGTCATAATCTCAGTTTGTGGGTTCGAGCCCTGCGTGGGGCTCTGTGCTGACAGCTAGCTCAGAGCCTGGAGCCTGTTTCAGATTCTGTATCTCCCTATCTCTCTGACCCTCCCGTGTTCATGCATTCTCTCTCCTCTCTCTCTCTCAGAAATAAAGAAAGCATTTTAAAAAATTAAAATAAAGTACATATTAAGAGCTATATCATTCTTTTTACCAGCTACATAGCATTTCATTGTGTTGATAAAATACCATCCATTTAACTAGTCTCAGATTTATTATTTATTGGCACTTAACGTGTTTTCAGCCATTTGCTATTGTAAGCAATTCGGCAACCCATATACATATATCCTTGCACAGTCCTTCAAATACATACATAAATTCTTAAAAGCAGAATGGCCTGCAAAAAGGGCATATATGTTTTCCGTTTTTTATTGATATTGCCAAATTTACTTCCCAAATAGTTTTATTAGGTCATTAGAATTTTCTACTCCTATAAGTAATAAACATTTATTAGTAACTGCAGGTCATATTTTTGGTGAGGGAAAAGGAATACTTCCTGAAGCTCCTTAAATCAACTAAGAAAGGGAATGAAATCACTCTTTAAAAACATGTTAACACTTTACTATGATACATAATTTTTTAAAATAGCACTATTTCCAGGAAAGAATTTTTTAGAATAATGTTCCCACTCTTGGTAATAAACGTTCACCGCATTACTCAAAGAGTTTTTCCAGTGTTCAATAATTCTTTCTAAAACAGCCTCTGAGGAACTCACTGCCATTGGAAATAGGAGTTCAAAGACAAAGGAAAACGTAAAACTCAGAGTTTCTAAGGAGCACAATATGATTCTTACGTTTCTGGGCAGCGCAGTGACTTTCAATTCTTGTCTTTTAAGGTGTTTTTAATTAAATAAAACAGGAGATTCTTAATTCTGTTTGCGGATTTAAAGGTCTTAACTCTTGGTGGGGGGGGGAAATTCTCTGCCTTGTTTTCCTACAGACCGCATACTCTTTGGGGGTGAGGTTTGTAAACAGCTGCCTGCATTTCAGTGGCTTTTAGCAGATAATAGCCAGATAAAATAGCAGATAAAGCCAGAATAGCCGCTTCCGCCTGCTTCCAGCCTGCTTCCGAGTCCCGTCTCTGGGACTCCCTACCCTACTGTCTTCCAGATCCTTTATTCCCCCCTGCACCTTTTACCGTGGACGCGCCTCCGGCCTGCGACTCCCCCCACGCCGCGTGCATTGGAACAATCCATGACGTCACGATACCGCCACCCAATCAGACGCGTAGTTTGGGAAATTTTAAACTTAAAGGCGGGGCGGTCCGTGCTCTCAGCAGAGGAGACGCGGAACGAGACTGTGCCGGTTTCTTGGGATCTAGGCTGGCAGGATGGCGGAGGAAGGGGCTGTCGCGGTGTGCGTGCGGGTCCGGCCGCTCAACAGCAGGTAGGTGGACCAGACCGAGAGCGGGTCCCCGCTGCGGCCTCTGGCGCTGGCCTGAGCCGGAGAGTGGGTTCTCGCTGCCCCTTCCTGCTGCCTGGTATCTCGGCCGCTTACCCGCTTTGTGCCAAGGTGTCCTTATCAGTTAGTGACGACGGGGAAGGATCGGAAGATCAGGAAGATAATTTCCAGCTGTAGGAGTCCTTTAGATGTTAACTTGGGTTTGCCAGCGTTAAAAACTTCAACGCCGGCGCTGCACTCCTTCTCCCCACATGCGCCTCCCACCCCACCCAACTCCACTCCTTAAAGGAAGTCGTATCGGAAAGATTTTTATTGGTACTCATCTGTCATTTTGCACTAAACCGTCTCTCCCTCTTTACTGTATACTCTTTGAGAGCAAGGACTAGTCTGCCTTGTTGCATTGTATTCAAAGGCACTCAAGACTTCAGTCAATGACTCAATTTAACATTCAGAACGTTGAATGGCTGATATTTATCAATACCGATTTTTTTAGTACAATGTACACTACCACACAGACACTACCATAGTTGCCCTGTGGATCTACATTCTAGTGCCCAGACAGAAAATAAAGTAAAAAATATAAAATGTTAAGTTGACATAATGTTATAGGAGTCATAAATGCTACAGAGAAAAAAAGCAAGATAGGGAAAAAATGAAGTCTTTGCTTTTCTCTGATCTGTGGCCCTCACTACAGAATACTAATGTATTTTGTGTTTGAGAAATATTTGTTAAATATCACTAGGTGTTAATAAATGAGAATATCGAAATGAAGAATTTCTTTTTTTTTTTTTTTTTACGAATTTCCTATTTTTAAAGGGCTCATTACCTAATGCATTAGAAGACAGTTATGCTACAATTACAATACACAGTGACAAGTGTTATGATAGGTAGAGAGTGTTTGCTCTAGGAGTCATTAATCCCTCTGAGATGACATGGGGCACAGGGCTGGTGTCATGAAACTCCTGACACCTTTTAAGAATGAAAGAATAGCTAAATTACTTAATGGAAAGGTAAGTCAGGTTTATTTCAGGCACAGAAGGGCTGAATCTCTTATTTTGAAAGGGACTGTCAAAACTGTTTGCAGCTTTAGGTATATATAGGAATTTAGAGCAAGATAACGTTGAAGAGAGAAATAAACATGTTCCAGATCTAGTGTGCCATATTAAGAATTTCAGATGTTTTTTAATAATTTTGAGCAAGAGGCACATAATCAGAGTTGCATTTTGAATGTATCTTCGCAGCAACCAGTACTGGGTAGGAGGGTGGAAATGAAGAACTTCAGGAGAAAACTCCCATGGGAAGGCAGGAGGTCACTGAACCCCACTTAAAAGTGCTGACTCCTCAAAAGCAGATTTTCCATGTTTCTCATATCTAGTATAAATCAATACCTTCTTTTTTAAGTTTATTTATTTTGAGAGAGAGAGAGACAGAGTAGGAGGGGCAGAGAGAGGGGGAAAGAGAAGGAATCCCAGGCAGTCTCCTTACCACCAAGGCAACCTGGGGCTCAAACTCAGAAATCATGAGATCATGACCTGAGCTGAAACCAAGAGTCTGACGCTTAACCCACTGAGCCACCCAGATGCCCCAATACTATCTTTTAAAATATTCTTCAGAAGAGGTGCCTGGGTGGCTCAGTCAGTTAAGTATCCAACTTTGGCTCAGGTCATGATCTCACAGTTTGTGAATTGGAGCCTTGCATCGGGCTCTGTGCTGACAGCTCAGAGCCTGGAGCCTGCTTCCGATTCTGTGTCTCCCTCTCTCTGTGTGCTTCCCCCACTTTTACTCTGTCTCTCTCTCAAAAATAAATATTTAAAAATAAATAAATTTATTTGTTCATTAAAATAAAATATTCTTCAGAAGATAGACTCTTTTAAATTATCTGTCATATAACATGATTTCCATGACCAGTTATACTAAAATGCAGTGTTTTTATTTCAGAGAAGAAGCTCTCGGAGAAGATACCCAAGTTTACTGGAAAACTGACAATAATGCCATTTATCAAGTTGATGGCAGTAAATCCTTCCATTTTGGTAAGCTTATAATAGCATGAAGAGTTAATATCTATCATTTTCCTATTAGGACTATAAAAGGCTTATCAATAATCCTGGATTTGTCATTAAAGATCAAACTAGGCTTTAGTAGAAACTAAAATATTGTTCATCCATCATGATGACAAGTAAGATAATAAATTGATATTTAAAATGCAGTTATAGTCATAGTGCCTTAAGGTTGAAACTAACGTTTTTTCCTCTTATTTATTAATTTGTGGCCTAAAACCCAATAAGCCTAAAATATATTGCTTAATATCAGGTCATCTTTAAGATCTTTCATTGTAGTATAGACTTTCCACAATTATTTTAAGAATAGTGAAGATATTCCTTCTTTTTCTGTTAGAATACAGCAGAGACCTACCCCTGCTTTTTGAGAACTTACCATATGATGAGACAGAGGCTTTAAACAAGTAATTACACTTGTCATGGCATAAGCTTTGTGGGATTTATAGTGGGATCTAACTAGTCTAGTTGTCTAAAATGGTACCACTGACACTAAGACAGAGGGTCATGGAGGCCCTGAAGGTTGACTCGGATGATTTATTGATTTAATATGGATATACTGCTGACAGTGTGCCAGATACAGTTCTCAGCATGTCATATATATTAACTCATTCAATCCTCATAACAAGCTTATGCAGTACGTACTACACAGTAGGTGCCTTTCCATTTCAGCAAGGAACTAAAACAGGCCTGGAGTCACACAGCTCACAAATGGAAGAGTCAGACTCACTAGCATGCTGTCATTTAGGTACTGCTGAGCAACAGTGAGGCCCTCTCAACAACTCTGGGAATAAAAATGGTTAGGATGTTGAAGTAGCATTAAACTAGAAAGCCATCATAAAAGGTTTTAGAGCAAAGATGTAAAGAAGAGAAAACAATTTCTGGTAAAGTACTGTTTTAGAGTATTAACATAATTTTTTAAAAGGTAGTACAATAAATGCCAGAGATTATAAAACCAAGAGTGAGGGATACACAAGCATTCAGACTCATGATCTATGGGTTTCTCTGTAGCCATGTATGCCCATCGTGGATTTGGACTCATCCACCTATCTAAAGTAAATGGCATTTAGATTTGAATCATCCTGCCCTCTGTCCTTGCTCTGAAATCATAATCCCTTACTAAGCAGTCTTCAGATGGCGCTTTGATTTTTCCATAAAGTCCTGCCTCAGGACAAATGTGTGGTCATGAGGCAAACAGTGTGATCACTGAATTTCTCATTGCAGGTAGATGTATTTCCCTCCTGATTTAAATCCATTTCTTGTGAGCTTTTTCATATGAGGCCACCATTGAAAGAGTAGTCCATTTTTAATGTGCTACTTATGCTAACAAAACAGAGAGCCACCTACTCGACTAGTTAATTCATCAATACAAATGTACTCTAAACCCAGCCTCCTTTAGTAGCCAGCCATCTGGTCATTTCTTGTAACATTTCAGCTTTGTTCAGGTCTCTTCTTCCATAGGTGTACATATCTTGGTGTAGTTTGATCTAGGTCCTCTTGCTAACTACGTTATAAACTTTAAAATTTCTCAATAGTAATAGTCCATATTTCCTAAGTATTGACTATAGGTTCACAATAATTCTATGAGGAAGAGAATAGATATCCATTTTACAGACTGGGCACAAACGCAATAACCACCTTGCCCAAAGTCACATAGCTTATAAGTGTTGGCACCAGATTTGCAGACAGTCTGATTTGGTAACTCTGTATTCAGCCATTTTGCCCTACTGCCTCTTAAAAGCACATATGATATCTGAGAAGTCTAACTTGTATTTTTTCTGTGTGAGGACCAACACATCTTACCTTATAGAGAAATATATTTTCAGAGGATATATTTTCAACCAATAAGTTGAAGAGAATATCATGTCTTAAATATTTTATCTTACATATCCTGACCATTTTATTTCTTTGGACAACTACTAGGAATGAAAACAAAGTTGATTTGATTGATTTAACTTCTGTGTGTATGTGTGTGTGTGTGTTTTTTTTCAGATCGTGTCTTTCATAGTAATGAAACTACTAAAAATGTGTATGAAGAAATAGCAGTACCTATCATAGATTCTGCCATACAAGGCTACAATGGTTTGTATTCATTGTAGAAGTATTTTGGTTCAACTATTGATAGTTTCACACCGTATAGACTCATTTTTAATCTTTGCATGTGTGTATTTTGTTTTTACAGGTACAATATTTGCCTATGGGCAGACTGCTTCAGGAAAAACATATACCATGATGGGTTCAGAGGATTATTTGGGAGTAATACCCAGGGCAATTCATGACATTTTCCAAAAAATTAAAAAGGTAAATAACTTGGGTAAATTCTGGCACATAAAGGGAAAAGTAGTAATAGTAGAATGGAAACCTTAATATTTTCTTACAGTGATGAAAGGAAGTAGATTTATAGTTATCTCTTAGCCATGGGTAAAGAAGGCATAACAGATTTATTTTTTTCCCACAAACTTACTGTGTTGAGCAAAAAGTTTTCCTTCTTTTTCTTGAATACTGAAACAGTACTAATCACACCTGGGTGTCAAGGAACAGGAAAATCTTACTAGAATGGTCAGCTCCTATTTGCCTTTGTTTAACTACCAGTGATTTCTTTTTATGTTTATTTATTTATTTGTTTTGAGTGAGGGAGTGTATGCATGCAAATGGGGGTAGGAGCAAAGAGAGAGAAACCCAAGTAGGCTCCACACTGTCAGGACAGAGTCTGACACGGGACTCGATCTCACAAACTGTGAGCCAAAATCAAAAGTCAGATGCCCACCCAACTGAGCTACCCAGGCTCCCTGCTACCAGTGCTTATAAAGGAACAGAGACGGGTGCCTGGGTGGCTCAGTTGGTTAAGCGTCCGACTTTGGCTCAGGTCATGATCTCACGGTACGTGGGTTCGAGCCCTGTGTCAGGCTCTGTGCTGTCAGCTCAGAGCCAGGAGCCTGCTTCAGATTCTCTCTCTCTCTCTCTCTCTCTCTCTCTCTCTCTCTCTCTCTCTGTCCCTCCCCCATTCATGCTCTTTCTCTCTCAAAAATAAACATGAAAAAGAAATTTTATTAAAACAAAAAAGGAACAGAGAAAAGCAGATTTAGAGAAAAGACAGGAAAGAAAAGCAGAAGACCAGAATAAGCAATCTAAGTAATTAAGATTTGGTTTTAGATTATTTTTTCATTACTATTTTAATGGTTTGTAGTGTTTTTATTTGAACATCCATTGGTAGATTTCATTTTGAGTTCAGACAGTTGGACCGGGCATTCTCCTCTTCTAATTCTTTGATGCTATACTTTTCATTATTACTGAAATGTGTTTTTATATTTTTGTGTTTATTGTGAATATAAAGCCACATGAGGTTTTGTTTGATTGTTGCTTGCTTTGCAAAGGTAATTTCTTAGAATATTTTAATATTTAATATTAGCACATAAGTATTCAGTATTAGGTTTTCAGAAATGGATGATCTCTGATGTTTTTACATCTAGCTTCCTGACAGAGAATTTCTCTTACGCGTGTCTTACATGGAGATATACAATGAAACCATTACAGACTTACTCTGTGACACTCAAAAAATGAAGCCGTTAATAATTCGGGAAGACTTTAACGTGAGTAACAGAGTTAGTGTGGTTCTAAAAATAGACTTGCTTCTTGGGATTCATGTCCTTGTTCTATATTTTTTGAACTGTCTCCTGTTTGGTTTATTTTTTAAGTGTTTATAGAGATAGCATATGAGCAACATGTATCATTTTTAAACATTGACAGCTGTAATGTTTTGGTATAAGTGCCTTTAAAAAGAGCAAATGGAAGCATCAGGTTAGAATTTGGTACATAAATAAATTGTACATATCATAGTTTACTTGTTATTTTCATCCATTTTTCACTTGTAACTTCTACAAATGAATTCTATACTAGTTCACATCTTTTGATTTGCAGACTTCTTAGTGACTTCCTCTCTATTCTTAAACTTGTTTCAGAGGAATGTATATGTGGCTGATCTCACAGAAGAAGTGGTTTATACATCAGAAATGGCTTTGAAGTGGATCACAAAAGGAGAGAGTAAGACTTTATACTGTATTTTTCCAAAAACACTTGTAAAAACTATTCAATTGAATGTATTTAGGCTTCAAATCATACTTTTTGGTCTAAAAAAGAAGTTTATATTTTTCTTTGAATTTTAAAATACACACCTGAAATATGACTCCCTTTTTACAGAGAACAGACATTATGGAATTACGAAAATGAATCAAAGAAGCAGTCGTTCTCATACCATTTTCAGGATGGTAGGTAACGCTCTGTTTGGTCTTTGCAATTAAAAGTACACTAATTTTTTTACAAGTTTTCTTTTTTTTCTGTCTAGATTTTGGAAAGTAGAGAGAAAGGGGAACCTTCCAATTGTGAAGGATCCGTCAAGGTGTCCCATTTGGTGAGTATTGATGGACCATGATCCCATACCATATGGGCCAAACCATCATTTAATTTGGCTGCTGGATATTTAGCTTCATAAGAACTGTTAACTGAACCAAACAGGCAAAAATATCTATAAATTGGTAGTTTAGTCTCATCTAGAAACATGAAATTTCAAGCTAAAACATAGGAAGAATTCAGAGGGTCTTTGTTGTTATGTTATGGCTGATATCTCCTAAAATTTAGATCAAAGCACTTTTCCTAACCTGAGTTCTTGGGGAAGAGGTTTTCCATATGCATTTAAGAGTATATTCTTGAAACAAGGGTGGGGGCAATTTGGTTCTTTTGTTGTTTTTGTTGTTTTGACTCAGCCAATAAAATGGAGACTCGTGAGATCAACAAAAGCCTAGCTGGGATGGTTTAAAAAGTAAATCACATTATTCAAGTTCATTCTTCAATAAAATAAGGAAATGTTTTAAATTATAAGCATAGTGTTTGAGACTGGAAATGCGTTGGAGAGTGACATCTTACTCATCTTTATAGCCCCAACACAGTATATGTAGTTTATATTCAGTACTTGTTTGCTGAATAGTGAATTTAATCATGTTCTAAACATTTCTTTTTTCTACATAAGTAAGCCACCATTTCCTTCCTGCTGCAGTGAAGCCGTTCTCTCTCTTTTTTTGTGCTTCCTTCCTGTTCCTTGCCAATATTGCTTTATTCTCCATCTTCAGGGTCTAAATTTCCTAGCTTCATGGAGGATATGACTTAAGTTTATTCTTGAAAACTTTAGGGAAAAAAATAATAAATCTCTAATTATTCACTTTCAGATTTGAAAAATCAGTCTTAATAAATATCTAATTCTTGTTCACCTCAGTTATCTCACCATACCAATATAAAATTTATTTTAGTAGATGGTCTTGCTTTAATTTAACAACAAAACACAGAACCTAACTTCCGTTTTGTTTTCTAAACCCAGTCTGTGATATTTCACTACAACTTTAACTTTTCTCTTAATAATTTCTTTAATACTCTTGACTTGGTCAGTGATCCATTTGATGACCTTTTCATATAATTTGATGCTATATCACCTAGGGACTATAGGACCATCTGGTCCAACCCTTCAGCCTTTCTACTTACTGTAAGTATCTTCTTGGAAAGAAGCCTTCCCCCAAAAGATCATTTTCTGGCTCTTTTTTTTTTTTTTTTTTTTAAGTGTCTTCTGATCTTTCTGGTTCACAACATCCCGGTTCTTTTGGCTGTGCATCTTCTCTCTTACTTTTTGGGAATTCTTTCTCCTACTCTACTCTCCAAGACATCGGAGTGTTCTGCTTCGGCCTGTCTTGCTTCCTGTGTCTGCCCTCAGATGTTGTTATCACTTCTGTATTGATGACAGTCAAATATTTATTTTATCTAGAGTTTCTGAGTTCTAATTCACATCCCTATAAAGATGATTATAATTGTGTGTCCCACTATTACTTCAAATTTCAATGTGTCTAAAACAAAATTAATTACTTTCCATCATAGTGAATATTCCTTTTTTCCAGGAGTACCAACATTATCTTGGTCACCTGGGTGAGACCCGAGTCTGTTCTGACTCCTCTCTTTCAGCCTTCCCCTTGAGTCCACTCATCAGCATTTCTTATTCAGCATTCCCATGGGCATCACACTCATTTAGGTCCTCATCTCCTGACTGGCTTCTATGACTCTGGTCTTCCTTTCTGTAGTCTCCTAGCAGATTTCTGATGTTACGAAGTACTGCTTTTGTTATGTTGCATCCTTTGACAAATTCCGGCCACTCTCAACCAACCTAACTTAATTTCCTTCTACTCCACATGAGCCTTCTCTTGTATATAGATTGGAGCCTCTTGGTGTCTTTGAACACTGATACTTGCTCTCATCTTTATTCCTCAGTTCATGCTGCCTTCATCACCACTCTGCCCCTTTATTATTTATTTAGGTCTTCTGTAATAGATGCCATATAAGAAACATTAGACTGAGAATTTTAGAGAAAGTAGTGTCTGAGATAGGACATAATTAAAACAGGAGTACATAATTACTGCCCATCCGTGAAAGTCTCTGACTTTGTTTTAAGGCACTGAGAATATTTGCCGAGGCCTCATCATGTTCTGAGCATAGTACTAGGCCCTGAGATTAAAAGAATAAGGAAGACATCCCTCCACCACTTACTGTTTTCCGTCTCACCTCACTGCTCCAAGCCACCATCACCTCTCAGATTCCTGCATGAGCAGGCTCCCAGCTACCACTCTTGCCTCCCTGCATTCCTTCTCTACCCATGCTTCTCACCCTTCTCTGCCAAAAGTTAAATCAAGATATGACTCCCACTGCCTTGCTCAAACCCTTTCCCATCACATTTAGAAAATCCAGAGTTCTTGCTCTTGCTTACCATGCCCCGCACCATCTGACCCTTACCCACTTCTCTGACCTGATCTCCTCTCAGCTCCACTTCACCAACTCTGCCCTTTCTATTTTTTGAACACGCCAAGCTCATTTCTGCTTTGTGACTGGGTATACTGGCTGTTCTTTCTATCTGGACTATGGCTCCCATGGGCTTTCATGGTCAGCCCCCTCTTCTCTGTCATTCCAGGTTCTAGCTTAGTGGGAGGACTTCCCTGCCATCAAGTCCAAAGAACCTACTCTGTACCTTCCTCTTTCCCCTTCTAGCACTGTATTTAAATGATCTGTATGGGGGCATCCTGGGTGGCTCAGTCCCTTGAGTATCCAACTCTTGATCTCGATTCAGGTCATAATCTTAGTTTGTGAGTCCAAGCCCTGCATCAGGCTTTGCACTGACAGCACCAGAGCCTGCTTGGAGTTCTCTCTCTGTCCCTCTTTTGCTTTCCTCTCTCTCTCAATAAATAAATAAAACAAAAACAAATTATGTATATTACACTTACCACGATGCATTTCTTATCTTTTTGTCGCTTCTCACCAACTTTCTCCTCTCCCCGTCCTGCCCCATGTAGAATAAAAGCTCAGTGAGAGCAGAGAACTTACTTGTCTGCATGTCTGATTCACTGCCATATCCTAGCACCTAACACACTGCCTGGATCATGACAGGCAATCACTTGTTTCCAACAGTGTTTGTGAAATGAGGGAGAGGCCCATGCTTTTTAAAGGTGCTACAGTATAGGCAGAGACACAAATGATGAGCTCAGCACAGTAAGTGCTGAAGAATAAGGTAGATCTCTAAAGACCCTTGGGTACACAATTGAAAAAGCAGTTAAAGGTGTGGGCGAGGAATGATAAAGATGGCAAAGCTTCACGAAGGAGGTAACAATTGTCTTTGGCCCTGAATAAAGAATAAGGACAGACTAAACATTAGAACTAACTAAACAAAGAGAAAGGCAAAATGTAGGTATTGGAAGCACAGAAGTACAGGAAGCATTTTGGGCATAGTGAGTAGGTCAGCTAGAATTCAGAGTGAGTAACACAAGTGCCAGATTGTAAAGAATTATATTCACTATGGTGAGGGTTTGAACTTTGTGTAGTAAATAGAGAGCCTATTCTGACAACATTATGGAGGCTATATTATAAGGGAGGAAAAAAGTACACACATCAGTTTGATTCGGAAATGGGAAGGCCCCGAACAGTGGAGTGAGAGACCAGCAGACAGAATGGGGTATGCAGGTAAAGCATGTGTTAAAATTGTTCTTTCAGCCATTGAGATTTTATTATTTCAAGTTACCTTTCCTAAAGTTTCATTTTCGTCTCTCTTACAGAATTTGGTTGATCTTGCAGGCAGTGAAAGAGCTGCTCAAACAGGCGCTGAAGGTAATGGGAACTCATAAATGTGTTGGCCTGAGTGTCCTCTTATTCTTTTGCAGAATAAAAAAGTGCTACCTCGCATTTTAGAAACTAATAAAGATAGTAATTTTGTGACAAAACTCCTTAATGTAAAAAAGCAGCTTCCATATCTAACAAGTTATCTATTTTGGGCTACTATAGTATCAAGTAAAAAGCTAAAACTATGCAGTTGGTAGAATTGTATAGCTACAAAGCTCATGAGAGTACCATGAAAACCATCTAAATTTTCATAATTAGTAAGGAAATTCAGGAAGGTAGATACAAAATTAATATATAGACATTAATATCTCCTAATATAAAAAACAACCAGCTGGAATATTTAGTGTACAAAAAGACTCCACTTACAATAATGACTTAATTGATCTGATATCTAGGAAGAAACACGACACAAATTACATAAGACCAGAATAAAGAAAATTTTAAAACATACTTAAAGGATGTAATCAAATATTTATAACAAATGGAAAATCATACTTAGATGGGAAGTTTCAAAATCATGAAGATGTCAAACCTTTCTATGTTTATTTCCTACAGCCTGATGTAGAGACCCTCATCTGAGCATGGCTTCTATCTACCAAACTAGTACAACAAGAAATAAATGCTTGTTGTTTTAGCTGGCTTGTTACAGCAATAGCTAAATAATGCACCTGTAAAGTAACAGCTGTTCAAAACTATTTGTTGTAGTACTTTTTATATATGTGGCATATTGAAAACCTACATGTCCCTTAACAGGATGCTGAATAAGTAAATTCTGATACATCCATACAATGGGATTTTATGCTGTATAAAAGAATGAAAACACGAGTGTTTCCTGATATATTGCCAAGTGAAAAAAGCAAAGTGCAAATTACCATGTATAGTGGGCTACTATTTGTGTAAAAGAAGAAAAGAAAGAAATAAACATATATGAACTTGAATTCCTAAAAATCTCTACAAGAGTCAACTAATAAAAGTGGTTTTCTGGTAGGAGGACAGGAACTGGTTGAATGGACCACAGGATTAGGAGAGAGCTTTTTCAGTGTACTTATTTTCTTTTTCGATATATGACTCATGAGAGCATATCAGTTTAAAAGTAAGAACTTTGTTGGGGTGCCTGGGTGGCTCAGTTGGTGGTGTCTGACTTCAGTTCAGATCATGATCTCATAGTTTGTGAGTTTGAGCCCCACATCAGGCTCTGTGCTGACAGCTCAGAGCCTAGAGCCTACTTCTGATTCTGTGTCTCCTTCTCTCTCTGCCCTCCCCCACTTGCATTCTTTCTTTCAAAAATAAACAAACATTAAAAAAAATAATTATTTTTTATTAATTTGGCTATAAGTCTATAGTTACCTATATTTGGAAGTTTGGAAAAAATAGATTTGATCCGATGAATTAGGCTCTTTGGGGAAATGAACTTCCCTTTAATTTTTTTTCTTAACTATCTTTTTCTCTTTGCTCTTTCTCTAAGGCTCTTTCCAATGCACTTAATAGGTAGGAGGAATAGGGAAAGAGCTCCTTCAACCAGTGATATTAAAGGTGGGCTCAGATCTAATCCAAAGCACAGACTTTATCATCTGGCCCTTAAATTCCTAGTTCTTCTTAAAATTTATTGATAAATAAGTTAACATCTAGTACAGAGGCCAGTCTTAGTTTTCATATTTGCTTAATAAATGCAGGTGTACGACTCAAGGAAGGCTGTAATATAAATCGAAGTTTATTTATTTTGGGACAAGTGATCAAGAAACTTAGTGATGGACAAGTTGGGTAAGTTTATTCCATTGTACATTTACCTATTAATGCTTACATTTTCCATTAGGTTGAGAATTGTAATAATTCACTGACACTCAAACATCCTGATTTCTTCGATATGTTCCAAAGCTTTTGTGATTCTGTGAGCATGCTTAACTTCTTATATATATGACTATGACTTCCTAAATATACTTTCCATTTTAAATATTTTTTACTTAGTAGTTTTGATCTGCTTCATCTAACCTATAAAGGATTAATTTTTAAATTGTATCTAATTTAAGGTTCTGCATTAAAAACCAACCACTTTTGTTATGTAAAAATTCTGACTATTTTTCCCCTAAACTCCTTTCTCACTAAGTGGTTTCATAAATTACCGAGATAGTAAATTAACACGAATTCTCCAAAATTCCTTGGGAGGAAATGCAAAAACCCGTATTATCTGCACAATTACTCCAGTGTCTTTTGATGAAACCCTTACTACTCTACAGGTGAGTTTGATTTTTATTTCAGTATTTGGGGGAGGGAGGATCGTCTTTAAGAAAAATAAATTACCCACTAAAATTAGGTATTTTTTTAATGACATAACATACCTATTACAATAAAATTGATGTATTACCTACTAAATAGTATTCCTTAATTTTCCCAAATTTCAGTCATTCATTTCCCACCTCCACAATTTTGCCATATCTAACTCTATTATACTGATACCTTTCCTTAAAGAAAAACCTCACTATTTCTACTTAATTTATTGTGGAAGGAAACTTTATGTCAGTCCCATGAATGAAGAACTAGTATCACTTTCAACAAATAGGTGCCCCAAAAAACACATATGTATGTGTGTTTTTAATACAATAACTCTTAAATTCCTGCTAGCTGATTGTTAATTGTCTTTGCTCTGAGCCTAAGGCTTACATTTTCTGTTTAAAAAAAAAAAAGGAAAAATAAGAAATGTCAATAGAATAGCCATCTCAGTCCAGGATTGTGTTATTTAACGGTCACCTTCATGGACTCAAAGTTACTCCTGATTCACTCTAAGAAACATTGTTTTAAATAGCTATTGGACACTGGCTCAAAGTAGTATCAGATAAAAATAGAAAGTACAGTCGCTGACTTCCCAATTTATAGTTTTATAGGGAAGGGGTGCCTGGGTGGCTCAGTCAGTTAAGTGTCTGACTTCAGCTCAGGTCACAATCTCACAGTCATGAGTTCAAGCTCTGCATTGGGCTCTGTCCTGACAGCTCAGAGCCTGGACCCTGCTTTGAATTCTGTGTCTCTGTCTCACTTTGCCCCGCCCCTGCTGGTGCTCTGTCTCTCCCTCTCTCTCTCAAAAATAAGTAAATATTAAAGAAAAAGAAAATCTTATAGTACTATAGGGAAGATAAGACCTGTCTTCCAATGTGGTTGGCTTGGATTAATTAACTATTAATTAATGGAATAGAGTTCAGAGCAATCAAAGCTTCAGAGGAGAGGGAGCATTTGCTCTGGACTTTGACAAGTAGATGGGAGTCTAGAAAGCCAGTGTTTGTAGGTTCTCTGTTGGCATATGTATTCGAGATATTTCCCTGATTCTTCTGAAGACTAGCAGCCAAGGCAAGCAACAAGGATAGAGAATACTCTCTGTGTTCAAAAGTATTAAGCCACCTGGGAGGAGGATTGATCTTTCCTTATAAAACTTAATTACAAGAAACCTAAATATTGTTAATGATTTTTCTGATGTTGAACACTTAACACTCTTCTGTTTTTCCCCAGTTTGCCAGCACTGCCAAATATATGAAGAATACTCCTTATGTTAATGAGGTATCAAGTGATGAAGCTCTCCTGAAAAGATATAGGAAAGAAATAATGGATCTTAAAAAACAGTTAGAGGAGGTATGTATGAACCGTGTATTTCAGTAAAGAATAGGGACAGATTTGGGGGTGCCTGGGTGACTCAGTCGGTTGAATGTCCAACTCGATTTCAGCTCAGGTCATGATTTCACAGTTCTGGAATCAAGCCCTGCGTCGGGCTCCATGCTGGCAGCACAGAACCTGCTTGGGATTCTCTCTCTCCCTCTCTCTGCCCCTCCCTTGCTCCTGTACTCGCTCTCAGAATAAATAAATAGAAATTAAACAAACAAAAAAAAGAATAGGGGAGGATTTAGAACTAAGAGCTGCCCAAATGCCCAGAGAGTCTTAACTTACATCAAGAGCTGAGGTCTACAACCTATTTTTTTTTTTTTGGGGGGGGGGGGGGGGTCTGGGTCATAATTTTTTATGGTTAGAAATAACCAAAATTTTACCATTTTTAACCATTTTTAAGTGTAAACTTCAGTGGTATTAGGTACATTAACAGTGTACTGATACAACCACTGCCACTATCTATTTCCCAAACTTCTTCATTGTCCCAAACAGAAACTCTGTACCCATTAAACAATCACTTCTTATTTTACCCGTACCTCCAGTCCCTGGTAATCTCTACTATAATTTATGTCACTGTGAATTTACCTATTCTAGCTACCTCTAGCAAGTAGAATCATACAGTATTTACCCTTTTGTGTCTAGCTTATTTCACTTAGCAAAAGGTTTTCAAAGTTAATCCAAGTTATAGCGTGTATTACAACTTCATTCCTTTTGAGGAATGAGTAGTATTCCATTGTCTGAATATAACACGTTTTGTTCATCTATTCACCTGTTCATGGACACTTGGGTTGATTCTACCTTTTAGCTATTATGAATAATGCTGCTGTGAACATTGGTGTACGAGTATTTCAGTCCCTCTTGTCAGCTCCTCTGGACACATACCTAGTTATAGAATTGCTGGGTCGAAGGTAATTCTATGTATAACATTTTGAGGAACAACCATATGGTTGGTTTTTCCATAGAAGCTATACCGTTTTACATAACCATCACAATGCATGAGGTTTCCAATTTCTCCCCCACTTTAACCAATGTTTGTTATTTTATTTTACTTTTTTTAATATAATAGCCATCCTAGTAGGTATAAAATGATAAGAATGTTTAGTTTTATGAGAAACTCCCAAACTGCCCTCCAAGGTGGTTGCATTCCCATCAAGAATAATTAGGAGTTCTTGTTGCTTTGCATTGTTCAGCAACTGTTATTAGCAGTTTTTTGGATTTTAGCCATTCTAATAGATGTGTAATAGGTATCTCATTGTTGTTTTAATTTGCATTTCCTTAATGACAAATGACATTGTCTTTTCATATGTTTATTTGCCATCTATATATCATCTATGGTGAGTTGTCTGTTCGGATCTGTTGCCCATTTTTAAATTGGATTCTTTTCTTGCTGTTGGGTTTAAAAGTTCTTGGTATATTTTGGATACTAATCCCTAACCAAATATGTGTTTTGCAAATATTGTCTCCCAGTCTGTGGCTTGTTTCTTCATTTTCTGAACAGTGACTTTTACAGTGCAGTTTTTTTTTTTTAATGCAAATATTATTCAATTTTATTTATTTTTTTTACAGGAGACTCTTTTTGGATTTTTAATTTTAGTTAAATCCAAGTTCGGTAACATATAGTGTAATAATGATTTCAGGAGTAGAATTTAATGTTGCATCGCTTACATATATCATACATACTGTTTTTCATTTCCAAAGGCAAAATTTGAGATTTTCAAATGGGCCAAGCAGAGATATTCTTCTAAATTGTCATGAATGCATAGGGAATTAGGTGAAAAAAGAGAGACCATGTATAATTACTTAAAAGTATCTTTTGTATTTTCACATTATCTTGAATTCTTCTGACCCTAAGATAATAATCTAATAAGATAGCATAAATATTTGTCATTATAATTTGTTTTAACATTGTGGTCCCATATTTTGTAAAAATTTTATATGTTATATTTTTCAAAATGAGCTAAAATATCAAATGGAAGTCTTATGAGAACATCTGTTCCTTTGCTGTAGGTATTCAAGTCTTTTTATGACTCTCTGCCTAGTATTTACATATTTTTTGGCAATTAACAGAATTGCTTTAACAGCCTTGTTCTAATCTATATTTCCATCTAGTCACATGGAAAGAAATGTGTATTTTACTTTATTACAAGTTAGAAAATTTACTGATTGTGGCAACTGCATATTAGTATTCTATAGGTAAGATGTATTTTATTTCAGTAAAATTTAAATTCTCATAGTTCACATATAAATTTAATATTTTATTCTTTAAAGCTTCTTTCAAGGCTTGAAAATCTAGCTACATTTATCATTAATATAACTTAATATTATATTCTATAGGTTTCTTTAGAGACTCGAGCCCAGGCAATGGAAAAAGACCAATTAGCCCAACTTTTGGAAGAAAAAGATTTGCTTCAAAAAGTGCAGATTGAGAAAATTCAGAACTTAACACGGATGTTGGTGACCTCTTCTTCCCTCACATCACAACAGGAATTAAAGGTAAAATTTAAAGGAATGACAACTCAGACTTGGTATATAGAGACTAGGATTGGTATTCCTATATGTTTATTATATAGTTATGCATTTCTTATCCTTTGTTACAGTATATTCAGGAAACCCAGAACATTTTGTGTGTTGGCCTATGTGTCAGCAAAACCTAACAGGTTCATTAAAAATACTGATCTCTGATCCTGCATGTAGAGATCCTAACTCAAGAAATCTAGAATAGGGGCACCTAGGTGGCTCAGTTAGTTGATCATCCAACTCTTGATTTCAGCCTAGGTCATGATCCCAGTGTCATGGGATTGAACCCCTTGTCAGGCTCCATACGGAGCATGGACCCTGCTTATGATTCTCTTTCTTCCTCTGCCCCTCTCCCTCACTCATGTTCATTCTCTTTCTAAAATTAAAAAAAAAAAAAAAAATGCACAAGAAGTCTGGAATATTGACAAGGAATCTATGTGCAATATGCTTCTTAAGAAATTCTAATGAAGTTGATCAAGTGATTGGGAACCACAGGTGTCTAGGGTATATGGGAATATTCTCTCTTTAAAGAAACTGAAATATTAATCTCAGGATACTTGATCAAGAATATAAGTCAACATATTGATCAAAATTCTGGCTTCTAGTATGTATACTTTTCTGATCAAAATTCTGGCTTCCAGTATGTATACTTTTTATTTTTGCTAGAGTTAGAGGGTTTTTTGGTCAGATAGGTATCTTTTGGCTGTAATGGTATCATGGTTAAAAGGATGGCCTCTGGAATTTGACTGCCTGGATTTGAATCCTGATGATGCCAGTTCCTAACTCTTTACCTTTGGCAATTTCTTAAATACACTTTGTTGCAGTTTTCTTATCTGTGAGATAGCTAGATCCCCACCTCATAGGAATGCTGTGACAGTTAAGTTAAATAATACATAGAATGTGCCTAACACTACACTTTCCACAAAGCAAATCCTCAATGTATATATGCTCTTAAGGTAACTATTAATAGACATTATGTTCAAGACACCATAGTTGGTGTAAAGAATACATTCCAAGAGCTATTTGTTGATAGACTGATGAGTAGAAAATAGTTCAGTAGAAAGTATAAGGAAGAATATTTTAGGAAGAGATCTACATGTACAAAAGCTTGAAGTTGTGAAAACAACATAATATATTTCTTGGACTTAAAATGTTTTGGTGGCAGGGACATTTTAAACCACAGTGAAGGATTTGAATATTGTGTTATGCTAAGGACAAGGAAAAGCCTTGTATGCAACACAGTCAGAATTGTATTTTAGAAAGGAGTGCATCAGATTGGTTGGGACTGTATAAGGACTGTGACTCTGGAGATGGAAAAGAAGTGGATAAATGGGAGAGCTCTGTGGGAGGGAGACTCAATAGGACTTTATGATTGTTTAGATGTGAGGAGCAGGGATAGGGAGGTATCCAGAATACTTTGCAACCATTGCTAAGCTTGCTGGGTAGCTGGTAGCAGTATTCGTTGTTAAAGAACACTGAATGAAGCTCAGTGGAACTACTCCGTGTTTTATTTGGGACATCTCCAGTTTAAGGTGTCATGCTTGAAAATGCAAATATATGAAAACCAAGTGAAATTGTGAGGTGGAGATATCAATGTGGGCATCAGGTACTGCAGTATCCAAAGTAAAGTCATGGGAATGGATGGGCTTGTTCTGGGAGCATGTTGAGAATGAAAAGAATAGAGAGCCAAAGACCAGACCCCAAGGACAACTTTTAAATAAAGGCAAGAGAATCCCAAAGGGAGCCCAGGATTAGCTCTAGAGTTAAGAAGGAAACCAGATGAATGTGGTCACTAAGAGAAGAAACTATTTCAGAGAGGTAGTGATTAGCAGTGTTAACATTCTTCTAAGAGCTTAATTAAGATAAGTATAGATATGGGGCACCTGGGTGACTCAATAGGTTAAGAGTCCACCTTCAGCTCAGGTCATAGTCTCGCACTTTATGATTTCGAGCCTCACGTTGTGCTCTGTGCTGACAGTTCAGAGCCTGGAGCCTGCTTTGGATTCTGTGTCTCCCTCTTTCTCTGTCTCTCCCATGCTCATGCTGTCTCTCTCTCTCTCTCAAAAATAAAATAAATATTAAAAAATAAAAGATAAATATAGACAAAACATTTTTGGATTTGGATATAAGAAGCTCATTTACAAAAGCAATTTGAGTTATGTGGTAGGAGTGAAAGCCACCTTACAGAGGGTTAAGATGGCCCCGAGGGATGGGATCATGAACACAGTAGAGAGAACTGGCTTCAGAAGAAAGGATCATTTATAGATCTATAAGTAGGATGTAGTAGTAGGATTGTTGAGGGGATCAAATAAGATAATACTTGGACCTCGTAGAGGGACAACAGAAGAGTGGTAGCCATGAAATATGGTAAAACACAAGCAGAAGAGGAGAAACCAGCAAAGCAGAGTGAGAGGTGAGGACAGCTAGCTAGATGAGGAAAGCTAGCTGGAAGACAGAGGTATTTCTGGAAGGATGAGGAAGGAGTAGATGGATGATGAGGAAGAATACAATGGTAGCTCCAGAGAAGTATGCACTGAAGAGGTTGTTTTTTTGTTTTTGTTTTTGTTTTTTAATAAAATCGAAAGGAAATAGGGTACCTGGATAGCTCAATCAGTTGAGTGTTCAGTCATGACTCAGGTCATGATCCCAGGGTACTTGGATTGAGCCCCAGGTCAGACTTCCTGCTAAGCATGGAGCCTGCTTAAGATTCTTTCTTGCTCTCTTTCTCATATGCATGCTCATCCTCTCTTTAAAAAAAATACTAAAATAGAAGTAAACAATGAGGCTTGAGCATGTATCAGGCTAATCGGAGGGAACTGGTGAAGATGACAGATGAAAAGATAACCCTGGGAGCAAGGTCTCACGGGAGAAAGGAACAATGAGGTCAGGAGCGCAGGTGGAGGCATTAGCTTTCCTGAACTAGAAGAGAACTGGCATTGTGAAGGCTGTGTGTGTGAGATTCACTCGCTGAAGGAATTTCAAGTGGACTGTCTGTCCCTTGTCAGTTATAGCTGGATGCTCAGAAGTGCTCATTTAGGTAGCTATTGTGTGGCTGCAGCAACTTCCCTTCTAGAGAACACTGGATTACCCTCTTAAAGGGGTTTTGAGTCCGCCAAATTCTTTCAATTAAGTCCCAGAAATGTTTGTAAGTAAACCTTCAAATACAACATGAGATTTATTTGTTTCCTCACATTTTTTTATGGGTTAAACACTGATTTTAAAAGTTTGTGTTCTTGCAGGATGTCCTTAGACCAATAGGATATTATGTAGGCTCAATAAGAATTCTACCAAGTTAGTGGTTTCCAAAAATGGAAACTAACTCCCTTGTTTTATGATGTTTGATTCCAGATCTGTGAGTGGTAATTATAATTTCTTTCTCTTTAGGCTAAAAGAAAACGAAGAGTCACTTGGTGCCTTGGAAAAATTAACAAAATGAAGGACTCAAATTATTTAAATGAATTTAATATGTCAGCAAATATAACAAAAACACAAAAGGCAGCTGTAACTATGATAGGAGAAATTGATGAATGTGAGTACTTTTTCAGCTGCTTTTAATTATAAAAGCATCCCTGTAGGAGCACCTGGGTAGCTCAGTCAGTGGACTTGATTTTGGCTCAGGTCATTGTCCCAGGGTTGTGAGATTGAGGCCCATGTCGGGCTCCACACTCAGCATGGACCCTGCTTAAGATTCTCTCACTCCCTCTGCCCCTCTCCCCAACTTGCTCTCCCTCTCTCTAAAATAAAAAAATAAAAATCAAAACAATGAAATATCCCTGTAAAGAAAGATTTTGTTTGTAATCCAGTTAATTTGGTAAACACATTTAATAAAATGTATATATTTTAGATATAATTACAGATAGAGATAATGATAAAAAATATTAGTAATTTTAAGAAAGTAAACATTCTCTATTATTTTCAAGTCTCAAGAATAATGCACAGTAGTTGAAACACATATGACATAGTTTTATTGTTTGGTTTTGTTCTAATCGTTACCCAATTAAATTGATACCTATAAAACATCTGCCTTAAACTTTGTTTAATCTAGGAAGGGAGACATTACACATATGTTTCAAAATAATGTCTCCAATATTATCAGTATTTTAAAAGGGCATTTTAAAGTCTAATTACAATGATCAAATCTCAAATTCAGATTTTTGTCCCTATAATGTAGGCTACTATATTTTATTAAGGATCCATATTTTATTACTAATTCCAACCGGGGATCTTAATTCATACAATACTATAAATGATCATATCTGTTGTTAATATATTCTTGGCAATCATATTGTGAGCACGTTAGCTAATTGGAGCTTACTATAACCTTTGATCAGATTTTTATTAACATTTTTATGGATAAATTTCTTTTTCTCCTCGTTATAGCTATCTCTTCAGAATCTGATATTTTCAGTAGCACTCTTGATCCATTAACGGAGGTAGAGTGGAATCCAGCAACAAAGCTACTAAGTCAGGTAACTTAAGTGTATTTCACAGACATTATACTTTCACTCTTTATAAAATTCATTTTTTATTAGTGTTCACTGTTGAAACACATTACAATTACTAACTTAATTTCAGTAACAGTTTTGGTTCTAATTACTGATTACATTGCTAGTTGCTAACTGGCGTGTGGAGGAGGTGAAAAATTTCATACTGTAGGTGTATCATAATAGACATACCTCTGCTTCTGGTTCTTTACCAGCAGATCTTGGTATCTGTGATTTTTTTTTTCCTTAGGTTTTTGTTTTTACTTAGACTCCTAAGGGTAAAAAGGTGGATTTTTTAAGAGTCAAAATTCTCAGGCATATCATAGAAAAATGACACATCAGGAAGGGGGATAATATTGCTGAAATACCGAAATATACTGAAAAATAATACTGAGAAATAAAAGTAAATGCATTATATATGGCCTTGTCAAAACTTTAAATAAGGAATACTGTAGTGAATACCTTAGTGAGTATAGAGTCCAAGTTTACATTCTAGGCTACTAATATCCAAAGAAATACAATATAGTTTTATAAATGTATTTGTTAAGAAAATTTTATTTTAGTTTTAGAATAAAATTGCAGTGATGCTTGGATATTATTACCATTAGTTAACCATCATATTAGTTACAATTAGGAGAGTATTCTAGATAAAGTGCTTTTATGTCCCCAAAACATCCTCTAGAAGTGAGTTATTTTTGGGAAATTCATGGTGTTTATTTTTGTTTTTATAGCTTACAGTTTATCTCTTTCTATAATAGTATGGAAAACAGAAACAAGTCTCTTTTGAGTATGGTAAAACATGGCATTAGAGGTCAATAAATAATATTTCTGTTTCCTTTCCTAACTTCAGACCTGTCTGAGAAATAAAACAGGCATCAGACAGGTAGAGAATTAAATTATCAGCTTTATTACTAAGGAACTTAGGAAACTGTGGTCAAATGAACTTTCTAGTATGCGCTTCCCTCCCCAAACTCCTCCTCCCAACTTTTCCAGTTAAATATTGGCAGTGCATTGTTTATACGATATTTCCTTTCAAAATTGTCTGCTCTTCTAAATTAGCTAGTTTACCAAAATGCACACCCTTTATTTTACCCCAGATTAAACTAGACCATTAGAAAGATACTGAAGAAGAGTCTACTTCTGAAGCCAAGACAACACTGTAGGTTAGCTAATTTGAGAATGAATAAAATTAAGTTAAAAAGAAAGATATTGAAGAAGAGAATGGCCTAAGTTACTACATGACATAAAGTTAAATTAATTACATGAGTAATCTAAAAGAAACAAAGAATATATGATTTGAATTCTGTGTATCTTAAAATCTGGTTTTGTTTCTAATAGGAAAACTTAGAAAGTGAGCTGAATTCACTTCGTGCCAACTATGATAATCTGGTTTTGGACTATGAACAACTGAGACGAGAAAATGAAGAAATGGAATTGAAATTAAAAGAAAAGAATGATTTGGATGAATTTGAGGCTCTAGAAAGAAAAGCAGAAAAAGATCAGGAGGTAAGAGATATGGAAAGGTGAAACTAAAACCATACTTTAAAAGAAGTATCATTCTCTTAAAGACACTTATTTCTAAGGTTGATATAGGAACCATTTTCCATATGTAGACACAATTTAAGAAATAATTTATTTGTGTTATTTTAAAAATATTTAAGCATATTTGTCTCACTTGTTCTCATGCACAAGAAGGAAAAATTGCAAATGTCTTTGGGAAGGTTTGGTGCATCTGCCTATTGGTGGATTTATCTTGAAGAAATTATTTCATTGTAATTTGTATGTTATCAATTAATTTGTTGAGCACCCCAGAAATACTATCTAAAGTATAACCATTTTCTACTGAGACCAATATAAATTTTACTATCTGACTTAATGTTTTATGCATGAATACCATGTATTAATGGATTTCATTTTCTTTAAAAAGTATATTCTAAATATTTAGAACATTACTAGAATAGATGGGGAAGCTGATTTTGTTCATGTCTTTTTCCATATAAGAGAGTTGTTGTGAAAATTAGTGTAACTACATACTAAATACTTGTAATGAAATTTTTAGAAATGAAACAGATCACTTAAATTTTCTAATTTTTTTTAATGTTTATTTTTGATAGAGACAGACAGAGCATGAGTGGAGGAGGGGCAGAGAGAGGGGGAGATGCAGATTCTGAAGCAGGCTCTAGGCTCTGAGCTGTCAACACAGAGCCTGATGTGGGGCTCAAACTCACAGACTACAAGATCATGACCTGAGCTAAACTCGGACGCTTAACTGACTGAGCCACCAGGTGGCCCAAATTTTCTAAATACATATTATTAGGCTGTACGTTAAGAGAACCTAATTCAGAAACCCTCAAATTTCAGACACTTAGAAATTGTCCAAGAGATTTAAAATTTCTTAGAGCAGACAGTCCTCAACTTAGAGTTCAGACATTATAAAATTATTTTGCAGAATTTTTGAATGCATATTCATTTTTCTGGAATAAGAATCCATAGCTGCTATCAGACTATGAATCCATTCCTACCCTCCCCCCTCCCCCACCCTGCCAAGTAAGAGCCAGTATTCTGGGGTAGTTAAATTATGAGTTAATTTGCAACTACTTCTAAGATTTCTGTATGGATAACCCAAAAGGACACAATGCTTTTTTCCTCAGTATCATTGTATCATTTCTCACCCTCTTTTTTTCTTTAATAAGGAAGAAAGAATTCTGTGCTAAAACTATTATTTATGTATATACAAATTAAAGTTAATCCTACATTCATGATTATATATCCTAAGAGACAGTCTGTATGTTCTCCACAGCGGTTTCATTTAACTTGATTTAAAATTTTTATTTTTAACAAAACACAAAATGCATATATTGACCCATGGACTTCAGTCAATAAAACGGAGTTTTATAAGGAAGGAGGTGGTCTGGTGTCATGGTTAAGAGCATTGTCTTTGGAGCCAAACTGCTCAGATGCAAGGCCTTGAGCAAGTCCCTGAATTTCTTGGGGGCTTACTTGCTGTGTCTTCCACCCTGGAGGTTGAACCAAGTGCTTGCCAAGGCCCGTTCTAACTCCAAATTTCATCTAATTGTTTGTAAAGTACTTGTTATAAACAATAGGACATAAAATTAACTTTGAACATAAGTATAGCGATTATTTCTCTTTTTTACATGATTTCTATATTCAGTTAATAACAACTGAAGCTCACTAGATTGTCTCACACAGAAAAAGATTACAAAATAACACATAAGACTTGACTCTCACATCCCAATTTTTTTTTCCTTTTTAACCACAGTCAAGGAGGGAAATAATCCTATTCTCTTCATCTTTAATTGGACACAATTAAAATTCTAGGTTCAATAAGGTAACCTAATAGATTAAGTAATAAAAACTTAACTCTGTTCAAAGGTCTTTTGGCAACGTCCATTCATTTTGAACTAAGAACGTAAGTCTGCATATACAGTAAAGGTGTTTCCAAACCTCCATTTTGGAAAACAGCTTAACCAGAAAGGAATAAAAAGTCAAATTATGGCCTTAAGACATGTGGGTATTGCTCTGGTTTGCCAATGGTCTTATAAATCACCAAGGCTATGGATAATTTTCAAATGAGAATATAGAAATACAGAATGTTTAAATAGTGATTTTAGAAGGAGGGTAAACACAGTCAAGTATGATGCTCAGAGAACAAAGTAAATTCCAATGCTTTACCTGTTTTAACTTGATTATTTTTAGAATTTTAACAAGTTGGAGGCTTTTGTCATAAGTTAAATATTTTTATTTCACCTGCTGAAAATTACAGTTGAAATCCATATTATGTGGCCAACAATTAACTTTTTTTTTTATAAAAATTTTTTTTTAATGCTTTATTTATTTCTGAGAAAGAGACAGGCAGCGTGAGCAGGGGAGGGTCAGAGAGAGAGGGAGACACAGAATCGGAAGCAGGCTCCAGGCTCTGAGCTAGCTGTCAGCACAGAGCCTGATGTAGGGCTCGAACCCACGAACCGTGAGATCATGACCTGAGCCGAAGTCGGACACTTAACCGACTGAGCCACCCAGGCACCCCCACCAATTAACTTTTGATTGTATCATATATACTTTCTCTTTATGCTCAGCATCTTAAAACAATACATCTTTGGGAAGTTACACTTGGAGCTTTACAAAAGTTACTCAATCTTTTTTCTGTTAATGAGAATCAATAGTTAAAGTGCTATTTCAAATGAAAGTAGGATAGTTTTTCTTTCTAAATGTTTATTTTCTAAAATGAAGATTAAATATTTAGTTCTTCCTTATTGGCAGATGTGATTTTCTCTCACAAAATTTAGAAACAGGAAAGAAAAGATAAAAGATGGAGCCAATTTAAGTTATAACCAATACAAATGTCTAAAATTTTGCTGAACACTTGGTAGCTACTTACCACATTTGGTGATTTGAGTATTTGAAATATAGCCAGTCTCAATTGACTTAAGTATGGGGAAGAAAAAATGTAAACTATTTCCTTAATTTTTATATTGATTACATGAACAAATGATAATATTTTGGATATTTTAGGTTAAAATATATTATTAAAATTAATTCTACTTGTTTCTTTCTTTAATGCAGCCAGTAGAAATTTTAAATTACAAATTTGGCTCACATAATATATCTGTTGGAGGACTCTGACCTAAAATAGGAACGTCAACACTAATGCTAGTCTGAATCTGAAACTAGTTAGGACTGAATTAAACATTGATAAAATATTATTCGAACAAGATGCTGTTTTCCTAAGTCCCTTCCATTCTCCTAGAATTTGCCTTTACTTTTAAAGGATTCATCAAGTTATGAAGATTAAATAATTCTAAGGGAAAATACGTTTATCTGTGGTAAATTGTCATTTACTTGTTTTGACATGTGTATCTGGAAATAAATATCTCAAATATTTAATGCTTCAGATATTTGATGAAAAGAAAAATTTTAATAGAAATACTTGTATCTTTAAGTATTCTTTATACTTTTAGACAATTGAAAAATGTAAACCAATAACATCGTCTTTTCAGTATTTTCTGTAGACTGAATTGACAAGGGAAGAATCGAGATAATCTCATACATATATCTGTAGCTTTGGTGAACAGTAATATTATTGTAAAGAAACCACATGAAGTTACTTTAATAAACCTAAATTCAAAACAAAAATCTATTAAAGGTGTGTTTAAGGGGCGCCTCGGTGGCTCAGTCGTTAAGCGTCTGACTTCAGCTCAGGTCACGATCTCACAGTTCGTGGGTTCGAGCCCCGCCCAGGGCTCTGTGCTGACAGCCAGCTCAGAGCCCGGAGCCTGTTTCAGATTTTGTGTCTCCCTCTCTCTCTGATCCTCGCCTGCTCACGTGCTCTCTCTCTCTCTCTCTCTCTCTCAGAAATAAAAAATAAAATAAATTTAAAAAGCCACATTAAAAAAAGGTGTATTTAGAAAAAAAAATTTATGTTATTTTTGAGAGTGAGAGTGAGCATGGGGGTAGGAGCAGAGAGGGGGAGACACAGAAGCTGAAGCAGGCTCCAGGCTCCAAGCTGTCAGCACAGAGCCTGACGCGGAGCTCGAACTCGCAAGCTGTGAGATCATGACCTGAGCTGAAGTTAGACGCTTAACCAGCTGAGCTGCCCAGAAGCCCCTTAAAGTGTATCTTTTAAAAGTTTCCTCCAAGGAATGCATACTAATTTGCTTTTAACTTTATTATAGCATTATTAACAGATGATATAACTGTTAATTGGGTCATGCTGAGGTTTTTTTCTTGTTGGCTTGTTTTATGGGCATTGGGGATTTTCTGTTGAGTTTGTTTCTATCTGTTTAATGGGGTTCTCTGTAACAGTAGCTTGAACAATTGATCTCTCAGTCCCTTCTTATTGTTTTGGTGATTCTTAAGTGGTGAATAAATGAATCTGTTTTGGGGTGGTTCCTTATTTTCTTTTTTTTTTTTTTTTTTTTTTTTTTTTTTTTTTTTTTTTTTTTTTTTTTTTTTTTTTTTTTTTTTTTTTTACTATTGGTTTGCTCTGTTGCCTGTTCACATACTCTTCCAGATGCAACTANTGGGGTTCTCTGTAACAGTAGCTTGAACAATTGATCTCTCAGTCCCTTCTTATTGTTTTGGTGATTCTTAAGTGGTGAATAAATGAATCTGTTTTTTGGTGATTCTTAAGTGGTGAATAAATGAATCTGTTTTGGGGTGGTTCTTTTTTTTTTTTTTTTTTTTTTTTTTTTTTTTTGCTTTATTAACTATTGGTTTGCTCTGTTGCCTGTTCACATACTCTTCCAGATGCAACTAATTCATGAAATTTCCAACCTAAAGAATTTAGTTAAGCATGCAGAAGTATATAATCAAGATCTTGAGGTGAGCATTTATGTTGGTATTTCTACTGATAAGGAACTAGGCCTAAAATGTACATGATACATAACTGAACATGATTTCAGAAAATACAAGAATATATTTATTTTTTTCAATATCAACTTTTTAAATTTTACTGTGTATGTAAACTATTAAATATAAGTTCTTTTTAAGCCCCCCCAAAATTTAAATCCAATTAAATATGTTTCTCTCTTTTTTGTTTCACACTTCTTTTAGAATGAGCTGAGTTCAAAAGTAGAGCTGCTTAGAGAAAAGGAAGAACAGATTAAGAAGCTACAGAAATACATAGACTGTCAGAAGTCAGAACATAAGTCAGAAGATACAAAAATGGACTTGTCATACTCATCGGTAAAAATCAGGTTTATTTTGTTGTGTACTCATGTAAGCATTTATAGTACATCATCATTGTTATAGCAAATGCTTATATTGAATCTGCTGTGTGCCAAGCACTGTTGTAGTTTTACATATAGTATTTTATTTAATCTTGTCAACCCTATGAAAGAAGGACTATTGCTATCATTGCCATTTTATGGATAAAGAACTATTCATAGAGAGTTGAAGATACCATTCTTTAAGTGAATATAGGTAAGTTAGGGATGAGCTTCCATTAAAAATCAATAATTTAAGAATTTTTTTATTTTTTTCAATTATTGTATGCACATGCATGCAGAACCATATAGTAAGTGTCTTCAGATGAGCACTTATGTTGGTATTGATAAGTACCTGGAGCTATACGGGTCACATGTAACTGAGCATGATTTTAAAATTTCATCAATTTGATTAATATTAATGCATGCTCATCATAATTTAAATAACTATTTTAACAGTTTGTTATTTTTCAGAAACTGTAGCTCTAGATAATTTTAGTTGGTAGAAGATAATGACATTAACTAACATTGAATTTCGTGATGAAATCAGTAATTTTTGCTGTTTGCTTTCTATTCTACTTGCTTTCAGTCCTCCATGATTACTTCAAGAAAGTATCAGTTTGATTCTAGTTTTTAACACCCTTTTTAAGAAAGCAGCAATTTCTAGCTGGAACTTTGGTTTCCATCATGCTTTTGTTTCCATTTGAGTTTTTCAGGGTACTTTTTATTACCGTCTGTTAGTATTTTTCTGTCACCTGTTACTAATGACAAATGATTTTTTAATAAAAGTGATCTTACTGTTCTAAGGCCCTGAGAAGAAAGGCAGGTTTCACATAATCCCAGAGTGTCTGTTGATAGAGTATCAAGCAGAATTGCACACTTTTTAATCATTATTATTTCTTTTTCTTTCTTCATCCAATTCATTCATTCATTCATGCATTAATATTCTGCCAACACACATGGTTGAATTTATATAAGCTAAAGTCATGTTAAAATGCCACTTCTCAGGGCACCTTGGTGGCTCAGTTGGTTAAGCTTCCGACTTCAGCTCAGGTCATGATCTTGTGGTCCTTGAGTTCAAGCCCCATGTCAGACTCTGAGCTGAGCCTGCTTCAGATTCTGTGGCTCCCTCTCTCTGTCCTTCCCCTGCTCATACTCTGTCTCCTTCTCTCTCTCTCAAAAACAAACATTAAAAAAAAAATTTTTTTTTAAATGCCACTTAAAAATGAGACCGTAGATCTTTTTCATTTGTATTTTCTCCTCTGTGAGTTGCCTATTCTTTTCTGTTTTTCCATTGGATTTTTGTATTTTTCTTTTCAATTTGTAATTTCATATCCTTAATTTTAACTATTAACTACTTACCTGTTATGTTTTAGAATAACTTAAAAATACATAGGAAATTTTAACAAGCTACCTGAACAATTAATTGTGTTAGCCTTTTTTAAACAATAACCAATTTCTTAAATCTATACAATGCTTCTGTAATTTAGAAAAAGGCAGGATTTTAAAAATATTTTTATTATGGGAAATATTTTTTCATCTTTCCTAAATAAACATTTGGTAATTGTCATATTTTCACCTTTTTTTTATTAATTCAGAATAACATCTATATGTACATGTTCTCTGAAGTGTTTTCCAACTCTCCTAAAGCTAGATTTCACTAAATTTTTTTTGTCATGTGTGTAGGAAAGCACTGAAGACCTGAAACAAATGAAACAGACTCTGCTTGATGCTGAAACTGTAGCCCTTGATGCCAAGAGAGAATCAGCCTTTCTTAGAAGTGAAAATCTGGAACTGAAAGAGAAAATGGTAAGTGACTCCTATGGTATTTATAATAAAGCAGTTATTATGATCAGTACATTTACGTAAATTTGCAATGTTTCTCTCAATAGAAAGAACTTGCAAGTACATATAAGCAAATGGAAAATGATATTCAGTTATATCAAAGCCAGTTGGAGGCAAAAAAGAAAATGCAAGTTGATCTGGAGAAGGAATTGCAATCTTCTTTTAATGAAATAACAAAACTCACCTCCCTTATAGATGGCAAAGTTCCAAAAGGTATTTATAATTTCAGACTTACCTCTTTGCAGGTTTGACTTTCTCTAGAAACCTACATAAAGAATTTTGCAACTACATTCTTGTAATTAAAAATCTATTATTCTTGATCTGATTTTTTCAATAGCCTAATAAGTTTCAATATCATTTGGTATCACTGTTGATAAATGCTTCTGTGGACTTCAGATTCATAAGGGTTTAGGAGTTATTTTTCAAATAATTTTTAAAGAGTGATTGAAGAACTATTAACAATTAGATTACCTGTTAACCAACATTGGCTCTTTCTTTAATAAATTTTATATAGTCTGATTCAGGCATCTAATTTTGCATGTAATTTAGATTGTCCCAGTAACTACAAGCTGTTTTAATTAATTTACCCAAAATGTGCTAGATTTGCTCTGTAGTTTGGAACTGGAAAGAAAGATTACTGATTTGCAGAAAGAACTGAATAAAGAAGTTGAAGAAAATGAAGCTTTACGTAAAGAAGTTAATTTGCTCTCAGCATTGAAATCTTTACCCTCAGAAGTAGAAATGCTGAGGAAACAGGTAAATGCATTTTTAAGCAAATAAATCTTCTTCTGAAATAAAAACTTCATAATAGCACTTTAAATATTTTGCCGTAATTTATTTGAAATTAGCAGGCAAGAGACCGTAAACATTTGACTAATTTGTTAGGAACAGAAATGCATGTAGTTCCTCCTCTAATTTCTCTTATATTACTAGATGTAAAAATACATTTTCAGAGTGTATTTAACAGTTTACTTAGTAGCACGAGCCATGTAGCAGACATTTCTACAGTCCTCAAGTGTTTCATTTAAACAGTTCTGTGGGGGTGCCTGGCTAGCTCAGTCTTTAGACTTAATCTCCAGGAGTTGTGAGTTCGAGCCCCAAGTAGGGTGTAGAGATTACTTAAAAATAAAATCTTTTATTTTTTCATGTTTTTTTTATTTTTTTTATTTTTATTTTTTTTTATATTTTTATTTATTTCTAGGAGAGAGAGAGAGACAGCCTGAGCAGGGGAGGGTCAGAGAGAGAGAGGGAGTCACAGACTGAAACCGGCTCCAGGCTCTGAGCTGGCAGTCAGCACAGAGCCCGACGCGGGGCTCGAACCCACGAACCGCGAGATCATGACCTAAGCGAAAGTCGGACGCTTAACCGACTAAGCCACCCAGGCGCCCCTGTTTTTGTTTTTTAATATAAAGTGAAATCTACTTTCCAATTTGAAAAGAACACAAAATGGCAAGAACTATGTAAACCAGAGGGCACACACCTACTCTAGAGGACCAGCTACCATTCAGCTCCAGATGATTGTTGCCTTGCTAGGAGGACTTTATTATAGATATTCTGGTTTTTCTTTTTTTAAATTTTTGCTTCATAGTTTATTTTCAAGTTGTTTCCATATAACACCCAGTGCTCATCCCCACAAGTGCCCTCCTCCATGCCTATTACCACCCTTCCTTTCCCCCCACAAAAGCCCTCAGTTTGTTCTCAGCATTCAAGAGTCTCTCATGGTTTGCCTCCCTCCTCCCAACTATTTTACCCCTTCTCCTCCTCCATGGTCCTCTGTTAAGTCTCTCCTAATCCACCTATACATGCAAACATATGGTGTCCGTCCTTCTCTGCCTGACTTATTTCGCTCAGCATAACACCCTCAAGTTCCATCCATGTTGCTACACAAGGCCAGATTTCATTCTTTCTCATTGCCATGTAGTATTCCATTGTATAGATAAACCACATCTTCATGATCCATTGGTCAGTTGATGGACACTTAGGATCTTTCCATAATTTGGCTATTGTTGAGAGTGCTGCTATGAACATTGGGGTACATGTGCCCCTATGCATCAGCACTCCTATATCCCTTGGGTAAATTCCTAGCAGTGCTATTCCTGGCTCATAGGGGAGTTCTATTCTTTAACTTTTTGAGGAACCTCCACACTGTTTTCCAGAGGGGCTGCACTACTTTACATTCCCACCAGTAGTGTAGGAGGGTGCCCATTTCTCCACATCCTCGCCAGCATCTGGAGTCTCCTGACTTGTTCATTTTAGCCACTCTGACTAGCGTGAGGTGGTATTTCAGTGTGGTTTTTGATTTGTATTTTCCTGGTGAGGAGGGATGCTGAGCATCGTTTCATGCATCTCTTGGCCACCTGGATGTCCTCTATGGAGAAGTGTCTGTTCATATCTTCTGCCCATTTCTTCTCTGAATTATTTACTTTTCAGGTGTGGAGTTTGGTGAGTTCCTTATAGATTTTGGATACTAGCCCTTTATCTGATATGTCATTTGCAACTATCTTTTCCCATTCTGTCGGTTGTCTATTAGTTTTATTGATTGTTTCCCTTGCCGTGCAGAAGCTTTTTATCTTGACGAAGTCCCAATAGTTCATTGATTCCCTTGCATTTAGGGATGTATCAAGTAAGAAATTGCTGTGGTTGAGGTCAAGAAGGTTGTTTCCTGCTTTGTCCTCTAGGGTTTTGATGGTTTCCTGTCTCACATTCAGGTCCTTTATCCATTATGAGTTTATTTTTGTGTATGGTGCGAGAAAATGATCTAGTTTCATTCTTCTGCATGTTGCTGTCCTCTTCTCCCAACACCATCTGTTAAAGAGTCTGTCTTTTTTCCATTGGATACTCTTTCCCACTTTGTCAAAGATTAGTTGGCCATATATTTCTATGTCCAATCTGAGTTCTCTCTTCTATTCCATTGGTCTATGTGTCTGTTTTTGTGCCAAACCAAACTGTCTTGATGATACCAGCATTGTAGTAGAGGCTACTAGAGGGATAGTTCTAGCTTTGAGAAGAATGCCAGTACAATTTTGATTGGGATTGCACTGAATGTGTAGATTGCTTTGGGTAGTAATGACATTTATTTATTTATTAGTCTTCCAGTCCATGAGCATGGAATGTTTTTCCATTTCTTTGTGTCTTCTTCAATTTCCTTCATAAGTTTTCTATAGTTTTCGTCATACAGATCTCTTGTGTCCTTGGTTAGGTTTATTCCGAGGTATTTTATGGTTTTTTGTGCAACTGTGAATGGGATCAGTTTCTTGATTTCTCTTTCTGTTGCTTCATTATTGGTGTATAAAAATGCAACCGATTTCTGTACGTTGATTTTGTACCCTGCAACATTGCTGAATTCATGGATCAGTTCTAGTAGGCTTCTGGTGGAGTCTGTTGGGTTTTCTATGTAGTGTATCATGTCGTCTGCGCAAAGTGAAAGTTTGACGACTTCTTTGCCAATTCTGATGCCTTTGATTTCCTTTTGTTGTCTGATGGCTGATGCTAGGACTTCCAGCACTATGTTAAACAACAGTAGTGAGAGTGGACATCCCTGTCGTGTTCCTGATCTCAGGGAGAAAGCTCTCATTTTTTCCCCATTGAGGATGATGTTAGCTAAATTACTTTTATGATGTTTAAGTAAGTTCCTTCTATCCGGACTTTCTCGAGGGTCTTTATTAAGAAGGGATGCTGTATTTTGTCAAATGTTTTTTCTGCACCTATTGAAAGGATCATATGGTTTTTATCTTTTCTTTTGTTAATGTGATGTATCACATTGATTGATTTGCGAATATTGAACCAGCCCTGTAACCCAGAAATGAATCCCACTTGATCTTGGTGGATGATGCTTTTTATGTGCTGCTAGATTCGATTTGCAAGGATCTTGTTGAGGATTTTTGCATCCATATTCATCAAGGATATTGGCCTGTAGTTCTCTTTTTTTGCTGGATCTCTTTCTGGCTTGGGAATCAGTGATGCTGGCTTCATAAAATGAGTCCGGGAGTTTTCCTTCGGTTTCTATATTTTGGAATAGCTTGAGAAGAATGGGTATTAACTCTGTTTTAAATGTCTGGTAGAATTCCCCAGGGAAGCCATCAGGTCCAGGGCTCTTATTTGTTGGGAGATTTTGTCTATTTGGGTGCTCTTTCTTTTGAGAAGCCTGGCTAGAGGTTTATCAATTTTCAAAAAACCAACTCTTGGTTTCACTGATCTGTTCAACTGTTTTTTTGAATTCAATATTTTTCTGCCCTGACTTTTGTTATTTCTCTTCTTCTACTGGGTTGAGGTGCTCTTGTTGCTCTCCTTCTAGTTCCTTTAGGTATGCTGTTAGATTTTGTATTTGCGCTTTTTCTAATTTCTTGAAATAGGTCTGGAGTGCAATGTGCTTTCCTCTTAGGACTTGCCGTTGCCGCATCCCATAGAGTTGGGATTGTTGTATTTGTATTTTCATTTGTTTCCATATATTTTAAAATTTCTTCTCTAATTGCCTGATTGGCCCATTCGTTCTTTAGTAGAGTGTTCTTTAACCTCCATGTTTTTGGAGGTTTTCCAGACTTTTTCCTGTGGTTGATTTCAAGTTTCATAGCATTGTGATCTGAAAGTGTGCATGGTATGATCTCAATTCTTTTATATTTATTGGGGGCTGCTTTATGTCCCAGTATGTGATCTGTCTTGGAGAATGTACCATGTGGACTCGAGAAGAAAGTGAATTTCATAGCTTCAGGATGTAGAGTTCTATATATATCTGTCAAGTACTTCTGGCCCAATGTATCATTCAGGTCCTTTGTTTCTCTAGTGATTTTCTGTCTAGTTGATCTATCCATTGCTGTCAGTGGAGTATTAAAGTCCTCTGCAATTATCACAATCTTATCAATAAGATTGCTTATGTTTGTGATTAATTGTTTTATGTATTTGGCTGAGTCCAAATTTGGTGCGTAGACATTTACAATTGTTAGCTCTTCCTGATGGATAGACCCTGTAATTATTATATAATGCCCTTCTTCATCCCTTCTTACTGCCTTTACGTTAAAGTCCAGTTTGTCCGATATAAGTAGAGCTCCTCCAGCTTTCTTTTGACTTCCAGTAGCATGATAGATATTTCTCCATCCCCTCACTTTCAATCTGAAGGTGTCCTCACGTCTAAAATGAGTTTCTTGGGGCACCTGGGTGGCTCAGTTGATTAAGCATCCGACTTCGGCTCAGGTCATGATCTCACGGTTCATGAGTTCAAGCCCCGCATCGGGCTTGTGCTGACAGCTTGCTCAGAGTGTGGAGCTTCTTTCAGATTCTGTGTCTCTCTCTCTGACCCTCCCCTGCTCATGCTGTCTCTCTCTCAGAAATAAAACATCAAAAAAACAAAATAAAATGAGTGTCTTGTAGACAGCAAATAGATGGATCTTGTTTCTTATCCATTCTGATACCCTGTGTCTTTTAATTGGAGCATTTAGTCCATGTACATTCAGTGTTATTATTGAAAAATATGGATTTAGAGTCATTGTGTTCTCTGTAGGATTCATGCTTGTAGTGGTGTCTCTGGTGCTTTGTATTCCTTGCAACATTTCCCTCTTAGAGCCCCCTAGGATTTCTTGTCGGGTGGTTTAGTAGTAATGAATTCCTTCAATTTTTGTTTGTTTGGGAAAACCTTTATCTCTCCTTCTATTCTGAATGACAGGCTTGCTGGATAGAGGATTCTTGGCTGCATATTTTTTCTGTTCATCACATTGAAGATTTCCTGCCATTTCTTTCTGGCCTGCCACATTTCAGTAGATAGATCTGTTACTACCCTGATGTGTCTTCCTTTGTATGTTAGTACCCTTTTATCCCTAGCTGCTTTCAGATTTCTCTCTTTATCCTTATATTTTGCCAGTTTCACTATGATACGTCATGCAGAAGATCAATTCAAGATATGTCTGAGGGGAGTTCTCTGCCTCTTGGATGTCAGTGTCTGTTTTCTTCCCCAGAATGGGGAAGTTCTCAGTTATAATTTGTTCAAGTACTCCTTCAGTGCCTTTCCCTCTCTTTTCCTCTTCTGGAATTCCTATGATACAGATATTGTTCCATTTGATTGTATCACTCAGCTCTCGAACTCTCCTTTCGTGATCCTGGGTCAGTTTATCTTTCTGTTTCTCAGCTTCCTCTTTTTCTATAATTGTGTCTTCTAATTCACCTAATCTCCTCCTGCCTCTTCAATCTGTGCATTGGATGCCTCCATTTTATTATGCACCTCTTTTATAGCATTTTTAAATTCATCACAACTATTTTTAAGCTCCATAGTCTTTGTAGCAATAGCTTCCCTGATGTCTTCCATGCCTTTTTCAAGCCCAGCAATTAATTTTTTGACTATTGTTCTAAATTCTCGTTTAGTTATGTTGCTTATATCTATTTTGAGCAGTTCTTTAGCTGTCATTTCTTCCTGGAATTTCTTTAGAGGAGAGTTCTTCCGTTTTGTCATTTTGGCTAGCTTTCTGTCTCTTGTTAGTTTTAAAAGCTTGTTGGGGTGCCTGGGTGGCTCAGTCAGTTGGGCGTCCAACTTCAGCTCAGGTCATGATCTCATGGTTAGTGGGTTCGAGCCCCGCGTCGGACTCTGTGCTGACAGCTAGCTCAGAGCCTGGAGCCTGTTTCGGATTCTGTGTCTCCTTTTCTCTCTGACCCTCCCCTGTTCACGCTGTGTCTCTCTCTCTCAGAAATAAATAAAACATTTTTAAAAAATAATAAAAAAAATAAATAAAAGCTTGTTATGTGCTCTGCACCTGCGAGTACTGCTATATTAAAGGAGGCTCTTTGAGTGTCCAGGGCTTGTCCATTCAGGAAGTGTTCTTTTAATGGTGTCTCTTGGTCTCTCTCACTGAGACTTTGGTCATTTTATTTCCCTACTCATACTGGTTTGGGACTCTCCACCATGTATACTTTGGCTTGTTTCTTGAGGTAGCCTTATGAAGTTGTCTTCCCAGTGGACTCTGTATGTTTTCCTCCCAAACTCCTGTGGTTCAGTGTCCTATGGCTTCAGGCCTTCTCCGTTTGAGAGATGGAGGTGAGTGAAATGTAGAACTCCCTACTTCTCCACCATCTTGCCTCTTCTCCTTAAAACTAAAATCTTTTAACAGAGTTCTGTGGGCCATCCTTTTTTTTTTTTTTTTTACTAGTCCTATCACTATGTTGAATACAAGAAAGTAACGAGACAAAAGAGAGGGCACTGATAAGAGTTTAGAGATCAGTGTAAATCTTGCAGGCTAGTAAACAATCCTGTAAACCATCTGCCAGCCTTTCTTTTCTCTCCGCCTTTCTAAAAGAAATAAAAGTGACAGTTGTTTGAACAATCTATGGCAGACATCATGCTAAAATACTCTAGCAACATTATTTTATTTAGTCATCCTAAAAACTCTTTTAAGTAGGTGCTGTTTTTTAGCTTAACCAATAGTTATGGGACCAATAGTTGAGCTGCATAGATATGCCTCCTCTCCTAGCCCAGTGAAACAACTCTGCTGTGTTACCTCATCTGTGGTCTCCACTTTAGCTCACCCCTCTCCTTCCCACCACTTGTACCTTACCTTTCACAGTGATTTTACTGTTTATAAATTGGATATGGTTTATTTAAATAATAAAAAACTTGATTATTTAAATTATTCTTGGATTACGTTTTTAAAAATCAGAGCTGCATTCAAAGGGTTTAGGTGAAAAGAGGTCAAATTCTAAGAAATACCATGAATTGTCTGATACACCAAGAAGTTAGAAAATACTTTAATATGATAGATGAGGAAATAAAGGCATGTCATGAAATAAAGTGTTTCTAGTGAGTGTCCTCCATGCAATCTTTACTCGAACCCAAAGAGATTAAAAACCAAAACTTTGAAGGTAAAGTTAAACTGAGTAATATATTGTTAAAGGGATGGTAACAATAAAAATGTTGCATTCCCTCAGTCAGATCTTTGCTTAATATCAATGTCTTTTTTTTTTGCATAGAATTTTTTTTCCTTCAAACTGCCTCACTAGACCATACACTGCTAACATAGCTAAGTTTTATTTCTTTTCCTTAGATACATGATAAATCTGAAGAGCTCTGTCTAATAACATCGGAAAGAGACAAATTATTTTCTGAAGTAATTCAAAAGGAGAATAGAATTCAAGATTTACTTGAAGAAATAGAGAAAACTAAAAATGACCTAGCAACTACCCAGTTGAATTATAAAAGCACTGATCAAGAATTCCAAGATTTTAAAAACCGTCATCTTGAATTTGAGCAAAAATATAAGATGGTCCTTGAGGAGAATGCGAGAATGAATCAGGAAATAGGAAATCTCTCTAAACAAGCTCAAAAACTTGGTTTAAGTTTGGATGCTTTGAACACAGAGGTTGGTATAAGACACCCCTGAGGGAAGCAGTCTTTAGTCTTCTGAGGTTTAGCTTCCATCTATGTCCCATAGACTGCTCTACTTTTCACATTTATTTGTTCTTGTTTTAAAGCTTTCTCCCAAAACCAAAGAACTTCAGAAAGGAACTGAGAGTCAAGAAGGGTTAAATGAAGTGGAAGAGCTAAAGGAACAATTAGAAAGTAGAGATTCTAGGCTGCAAACTGTTGAAAAGGAAAAAGCACTGATCGCTGAGCAACTTCAGCAAACTTTAGTGGAAGTAAGAACTTTAACCCAAGAAAAGGATGACCTAAAACAACTCCAGGAGAGCCTGCAAGTTGAGAGGGACCAACTCAAAAGTGACATTCAGGATACTGTAAACATGGTAAGGCTTTGATTAAATGCTAAAAACTGAGAGCCTTTATGAAAACATTATAGGAGCCGTCACTTACTATTCATGATCAAGTAGTCACTGCAAAATTCTATGGTTTCATATTATTCTAATGGAACTTGTTCTCTGTTTCTCTGACAAAGAATATAGACACCCAAGAACAATTACGAAATGCCCTTGAGTCTTTGAGACAACACCAAGAAACAATTAACATGCTAAAAATGAGAATTTCTGAGGAAACTTCCAGGAATTTGCATCCAGAGGAAAACTTTGGAGAAACTAAGGATGAATTCCAAGAAAAGGTAAATGGTATTTCTCTTCAAAGCTTTCATATTTGTTTAGAAGAACTTTTTCTTTAACTTCAAACACTTAAGTACATAATAGTAATCTCAATCTTGTTTATTATTCACAGAGCTATATAACTAACAATAATTTACAAGCATAACCCTAATGTCTTTAAAATAACTTCAGATATAACTACTTACAATCAGTTTGAAAAAAAAAGGCAAAAATTAGTTCAGACTTTGAGCTGATATTTTCTGAGGCTTGATGTTTTGTAAAATCTTTAAAAGCCCTTCTGAATTCTAAGAATATAAGAAAGATTGCTAATTATTATGTTAAAATATTTGTTTTATATAAGATTATACTAAACTTGCTTAGCATTCTATAAAATCAATGTGTATATTGTATTTATGCCTGTTTCTAGGGCTTGTGCTATAATTTTACTATTAGGTGCTTAAATCTCACCTTAACTTATTCTAGGTAGTATGGTTCATTTTGTCCTGACACCTTAGGAGCATACGGTGTTGACTGGTTCTATAAGTATATTCAAGAAAGGCTGAGAAATGGTACTGATAATTTTTTTTAAGCGGGGGTGTATCAGTCTACTAGGCTGCCACCATAGAATAGCATAGACTGAGTGGCGATAACCTTTAACAGAAAGTTACTTTCTCCCATTTGTGGAGGCTAAAAGTCCAAGACTAAGGTGCTGGAAACTTTGGTTCGTGGTAAGTCTTCTCTTCCCAGTGTGCACATGGCACCTTCCTTCTGTGTCCTCTCATGGCCTTCGTCCTATGCTTGCGCTGAGGAGAGTGAGCACTGGTGTTTCTTGCTCTTCTTAGAAGGACATGAGTTCTACGGATTAGGGCCTCAGTTGTTTGTTTGTTTGTTTGTTTTTTATGTTTAGTTTTGAGAGACAGAGAGAGATAGAATATGAGCAGGGGAGGGGTAGAGAGAGAAGAAGACACAGAATCTGAGCTGTCAGCACAGAGCCTGATGCAAGACTGGAACCCTACAGATTGAGTTCATGACCTGAGCTGAAGTCGGACCCTTAACTGACTGAGCCACCCAGGTGCCCCAGGGCCTCAGTTTTATAACCTCATTTAATCTTAATAACCCTCCTTAAAGGCTTTATCTTCACATACAGTCACACTGGAGATATGGGCCTCAATGTAGGAATTTGAGGGCAACGCATTTGAATCCATAACAAGGGATTGCCTATAATTTCATACAATGGATTCATTTACTGTATGTTTCTACTGTCAGAAATACCTTTGATTTATATTATCAACAGAATTTTTTATACTATCTTTCATTTTTATTGCAGTACTTTTTAAGCCAGAATATTTACAACTAGCAATTTAAAGCATTCATCAATAAGATATTGGTGAAATAATCTTTCATACATCCATAGCTCAGAATATATACACATATAATATGTATACCTATGTATATATATATATATATATATACACATACATATATATATATACACACACATATACATAAAACTGGGCTTTATACAGTTATATAATTTTTTAAACTACATTTTATATGCAAACAGAAAAATCACCGGGTTGGACATATTATTAAATAAAAATAAATACTACTTCAGAATACTGTAGTAAGCCCCAACTTATATAAATAAATCTTTATATAGACTTATATACTATTACTCTATAATGAGCTTTTTTTTCCCATTTACCCCAGGGTACAGTATTCTTGCCTTGGAAAAGCTTTCCCTCTCTATCCCTATGCTTCGGTTCTTCTCTTCTAGAAGAGCATTTTTGTTTGTTTTATAGCTTGTGTTTTCAGCTTATCTATAGTTTGGATCAACCAAATGGGCCAAAAGATTTGACCTTGATTTGAAATTTGTAACTTTTAACTTTCATTAGGGGAAGATTTTTTAAATAAGATACAACAATCAATACCTGCTTTTAAACAAATGCAGAAATGTAATCATACAACCCCCATGAGAAGGGGCAATAGCAGAGGAGTGAGGGAAAAGGAGAGTTATTTCCTGGGACTAGCTGGTCTGTGTTACTAAGCTTATGCTGGATCATCTCTGTTGATAAAAAGGTGTGACTGGGGCTCTGCTGTTTCCTGGGGCTTCTCAAATCTGCGATGGCAGGGTAGGATCGGTTTGGTCTTCTGTTACCACATTCATGCTAGAATCCCATGCGGACCCCTCTGTTCACCTGGACCCAGAGGGCCCCATTAGTAGGTCTATAATGAATCGTCTTAAGAGTGTCCATTTCCATTCCTGCTTCATGTTTCTCTCTCTAGAAATGCAGTTTCCCTCATGTGTCTCAACAGAAATTTAAAACAATGATTAGTAAGCTTATCTCAAAGCACACAATTCTTATTCTATTATTTAATAATAAGATCTGTGGTAGCTGAAATAGTTGCTAGGTTGAGTTCTGTTCTGCGGTGTACCTCGGGTATTATTTCATAGTTTGTCTCAGCCTCCTCTGTTTTTGTGTACATTCCTATACTTAGGGGTACAGATGCAAAATTCTGAATCACAGTATCTGACAAGATAGTCCCAATGACTGTATTCCTTACCTTAGATTCTCATGAAGTTAGCTCTGTGCTCACCATTGTCAGAAACTCATGGATATTACCAACAATAAAAGAATAGTTAAGTAAAGTATGTTCTGTCCATACCCACTCTAGAGAATTGAGCAACTATTAAAAGTTATAATTTGAAGATTATGTGACAACATGGAAAAATGCCTATGATCTAAGTGGGGAAAAAAGCAAAAATGAATTTTGTATATATATTAATCATAACTACTATGTTCAAAAAATATTTTTTTCATGGACAAACTCTGAAAAGAAGTATTCTAAAATTCTTTTTTGGGGGAATTATTCTGGAATTCTAGTAGTGGGTTGTGTGAAGCTGGTGGCATGGGGTGATTTTTTTGCTAATGTAATCATAGACTATTATAAAACTTTTAAAAATATATGTGGCCAATATGGAGCTGTATTTATTTCCTGGATGTATGAGGTTATATAGTGATACCCTAATTTTATACCAGTGATTGTAATATCAGTCTTTGTCTCTGTTTATCAGGGAGTACACATATTATGTTACCTTTGCTTAAGGCCTATTTATGGATAAATGAATGTATATAATGTGCTTTTCTTAAACAATACATGAAAGTGTATATTTAAAAAGGTGGCTTTTACTATTAGAATGTGAAATCTATTTCTATCAAGATTATTTTGCCCTCTCATACAATGGAACTCCAGCCTTTTGTGAATATGACTGCTTCTGAAAATCACCATTTTTTGGGAGTCATTGCCAGCTTTTGATGGAAAGAAGGTGGTTGAGTTCAAGGTGGCTTACTCTTCATAAAATTAAGTTAACCCATCATCATTCATGAAGATAATTATTAATTATCCATAGCTGTCCAAGGAGTTCTTATCCATGAACAAGAGTATGAACAAGGGCACAAACTGGAGCCAGACATCTTGGTCAAAACATGAGTGACCTTGGGCAAGTGACCTGTCATCCTCTTTAGGATTCAGTTTTCTCATATGTCAAGTGGAAATAGTACTAGTGCCTACCTTATAAGGTTATAGTTAAGATTAAATGTGTCCATATATGAAAATAGTGCCTGGTAAATAATAAATAATACTTTTGGGGGCAATTTTTATTATTATTAAAATTGTTATTAACTGAGAAATTCTTCTTTATCTATATTTTAGATGGTTGACACAGATAAAAACCAGAATTTGAAAGCCAAAAATACACAAGCACTAATTACAGATGTTGCAGATAATGAGCTGACTGAGCAACAGAGAAAGATATCGTCTTTAATACAGGAGAGAAATGAACTGGAACAAATGTTAGAAAGTATTACAGCGGAAAAGGAACAGTTGCAGACCGACCTAAGGGAAAATATTGAAATGGTAGGATTTAGCACTGTATACTTAGCAATATGTTTTTCTTTGCGTGTTTTAGATTTTTACAATTTTACTGAGGCATAATTTACATGCAATAAATGTATCTGATAAAAGTATACAGTCTGGTGACTTTTAACAAATGTCTCTATCGGTGTACCCTCCACCCCAGCCAAGGCATAGAACATTTCCCTTATCCTGTAAGGTTCTCTCGCATCTCAGCCCAGTCAGTCCTACCCTCACTCTCTACCCTAGATAGTCACTGTCCTGAGTTTTTTTTCTCCTTAGGTCACTGTGTCTCTTCTAGAGTTTCATACAAAAAGAATCATACAGCATGTACTCTTTTGTGCCTTACTTTTTTACACTCCTTTTTTAGTGCTGGATAATGTTCCACGTATGAATAGGCCACATAGTTTGTTTTGCCTTTCTCCTGTTGATAGAAATTTGAGTTATCTCTACTATTTAGCTATTGTGAGTGAACTTGTTATAGACATTCTTATATAAAATCTCTTTGAACATTTTTTAAAATTTCTCTAGGGTAAGTATCTAAATGGAGCAGCTGAGTCACAGGGAGGCATATATTTAACTTAGTGAGATTTACTAGACTGATTTCCATTTTACGTTCCCATCAGCAAATTAAGAGAATTCTGATGACTCTACATCTTCACCAGTGCTTCACATTATTCATGTTTTTAATTTTAGCCTTTCTATTGGGTATGTACCTCATTGTTTTCATTTGCCTTTCCCTAATGACTAAGAACATTGATCATGTTTTCATATGCTTATTGGCCATTGCATATCTTTCTATAAATTATCTGTTCTCTCAGTGATATGTTATAGATCTTAATGTACATGTCTTGTCCGTATTTTGTTAAATTTGTTCCTAAATGTTTCTCTTTTATTAATTTGTTGTCATTTTTAAACTTAATTTTTAATTATTTGTTGTTAATGCTTGCCGTATTGCCATATCTACTTTAATTTTTGTTTCTGCATTTAGGGACAATATAATATATACAGAATGAAATTAACATTTTTAGAGGTTTGCTATGGATTGCAGGAGAACCGAACTTTTGTGTAATTTTCCATATTTCTTGGGATTGTCTAGTCAAAATGCTGAGTATAAACAAGAATGCAGATAAAAATCATAGTCTCTTATTGGTGTCAAGCTTGTAATGATTTTGTGGCCATACTTGAGGATGCCACTGTTAAGCTTATAAGTAGGATTAGCCCAAGTCATGCCAGCAAAAGATGGCTGCCACTTTGAACTTGCTGTTAACTGGTGCCCCAAACCAAAGCCATGCATTCTAGCATTTGAAAAGCCTGTTACTGTAGTTTCATCATCAGTCCATGAAAGCTTAGAAACCATCTCCTTTGGTTTAGGGTAGCAAATGAGCAAACCTCTCAAGAATAGAATACTAAATCCTGTTCTAATTCTCATAATAAGAATATAAATGTAGCAATAAAGAAACTGTGTAAAGGGTACCTGACTGGCTCAGGCTGTGGAACCCTGATCCGAGAGTTGTGAGTTCAACCCCCACTTTGGCATGGAGCCTAAGTAAGGAAGGAAGGAAGAAAAAGCATATAAGAGCAGATGTTTGAAATCCTACATGATTAAATTAAAGGCTGACTTTCTTTGTAAGATAGTCTTTTCCAGTAGAGTTTGCCATGATTTCTTCATTTTTAGGCTGAGGCAAATGCTGATTTTTACCTCATTATAAATGTAAGGTAATATTATTTATTTTAATTTCAACTTAAAAAAAAAATCCCCAGACTATTGAAAACCAAGAAGAATTAAGAATTCTTGGAGAAGAACTTAAAAAGCAACAAGAGATCATTGCACAAGAAAAGAACCACACCGTAAAGAAAGAAGAAGAGCTTTCTAGAACCTGTGAGAGATTAGCAGAAGTTGAAGAAAAGCTAAAGGAAAAGGTGAATCTTTAAAATTACCTTCCTGGCCATATTAGATTTCCTTATTAAACTTTTTTCTTTAAGTTTATTTTTTTTATTTTGAGAGAGAGCACACAAGCGGGGAACTGGCAGAAAGAGAGGGAGAGAGAATCCCAAGCAGACTCAGCACTGTCAGTGCAGAGCCTGATGCAGGACTCGAACCCACAAAGCCACCCCTAAAGTTCTTTTTCCTTTTTTTTCTTTTAATACATTTTGATTGCAATAGAGCTGAATTCTAGAAATAGTATGTATGTCCCAAATGAACAAATCTTAATGCTAATATTGTGGACAGTTTCAATTCACACCTAGATCTTAACCAACATCCTTTGTGAGGATATATTATCGTAGAGTCTTTAGATGAGAGAGAAGGCCTTCATTCAACTAAACTAATCATGGAATATATTCAATCATAAGAAATTTATTGGGAAGTACCATAGGCCAGGTGTTGTTCTGGGTGCTTGAGATTCATTAATCATAACATAAAGATCCTGCCTTTATAAAGATGTGGTAGTCATTCCTAAAATGTAAGATTTGTGACTTTACCATCTCTTAGATGTATACAGTTTCCTGAGTCACTTTTATAGAAGTAAGATGTTGTAATATTTGTATAAGAGATAAGATTGTTATAATAATTGTACTGCCCAAGTAATTTTAAAAATGCACCCACTGAGATCTTTGTATTTTTCTAACGCCTATACCACATCCATTATGAATAATATATTGTGATTTCTGTGGAGTGTATTTTTCCTAGTATGTAGTCTCTTAATTCTCCTCCCTTTCACAATCACCTAATTAAATTTGCTAGAACCTAATGTCTGTGTCATATTCATCCTAAAGAAGTGAAATTCATAGGCTTATGTAAAAGTTTATGACTCAGTGTTTTTTTGGCCCACCCATAAGGACCTTTTGGAAATAAAAATAGATGATACAAAAAGATTTTAAGAGATGAGGAATTATAGTTATTTGGCAGCATATACTTGCATATTTAATTAGTCACTTTTCAAGTTTTTCTCATTTTCACTTTACCTTCTTGATTAACCTAGTGACAGTATGTTAGTTTCCTAGAGCCTCTGTATCAAATTACCATAAACTTGGCAGTTAAAAAACAACAGAAATTTATTGTCACATTTCTGGATCCTAGAAGTCCAAAATCAAGTTGCTGGCTATACCATGCTCTTTCTGAAGGCTCTAGGGAAGAATCTTTTCCTGCCCCTAACTGTCCTTGGCTCCCACCTGCCTTGACTGTCCACAGCTTGTAGCTCTATCAGTCTTACCTCTGCCTCCATCTTCACAAGAGTTTCTCTGTGTCTCTGTGTGTCCTTTTTTTGCTTCTTATAAGGACACTGTCATTGCATTTAGAGCCCACCCTAATCCAGTAGGATTTCTTTTCAAACCTCAATGACATCTGCAAAAACCAGATTTCCAAATAAGATCATACTCTGAAGTTCTGAATATACTTGAATTTTGGGTAGGATGCTATGCATCCACTATAGACACCATGCCTAGAAGGTTACTTTATTTCCAAGTTGTTTGTCTGTTTACATTGGGGTTGTTGTAGGCAGGGCTACAATAATGATTATTTTGGTGTGGCAAAGTACATTTTCTATAAGAATTTTAAGGGACCATAAGCAAAATGATAATTAAACATTTTATTTATCAAGAGCCAACAACTACAAGAAAAACAGCTACAGCTTCTTAGTGTACAAGAGGAGATGAATGAGATGCAAAAAAAGATGAATGAAATGGAGAACGTAAAGAATGGATTAAGGAGCCAAGAATTAACATTGGAACATATGGAAATGGAGAGGCTAGAGTTGGTGCAGAAGCTTCATGAAAATTATGAGGAACTGAAATCCATAACCAAGGAAAGAAATAATCTAAAGGAATTACAGGAATCATTTGACATAGAGAGAGAGAAACTTAAAGAATGCATAAGAGAACTCGAAATTATGGTAAGTTATACACTTTTCTTTCATCTATTAAATGTTTCTTTAAAGCTGAGCCAGTTGGAGAAGGGAGAGGCAATGCTACGTTGACGTTGTAATATTCTTTAAATTCCACTTGCTACTAATAAAGGGTCTAGAAACAAAAGAAGAACTAAAAATTGCTCACGTGCATCTCAAAGAACAACAAGAAACTATTGATGAACTAAGAAGAAGCATTTCTGAGAAGACGGCTCAAATAATAAATATTCAGAATGACTTAGAAAAATCCAATACTGAATTACAAAAAAAGGTTTGTCTCTTCTTCTTTCTCTCTTTGTCCCTCTTTTTTTTTTTTTGAAGGAAAGGTGAGAAGTTAAGTAGTGACTGTGTTACAGTTCATTTATCAGGTAGTATTTGTTGAGTGTCTAATGTGTCAGACAAGGTCCTGGGTTATAGGAAATAAAATGGGAACAAGCTGGACAAAACTTCTGTGACCGTAGAGCTTACTTTGTAGTGGAAAGAGTTAACTGGTAAATAAGCAAACAAATGAACAAGATAATTTGAGATAATGGCAAATATATAGAGAAAATGAAACACTGGGATAACTGAACCAACCTATGTTAAAGGCCACTGTGTACCTGCCTTTGAAACTATGGATATGAATAAGACACTCTTCTCTCCCCCTAATTTGGGCATATAAAATAATCCCTCCATCCCAGTAGGACAATTACAGAAATATGATATGCAAAGTTATAGGGGGAATCAGCCCGTGTATGTAAACAATTTGAGAAGTAGCGTTGGAGGTCATATGAGAATTAGGGACCATTCATTTATTGAGATATAATCTCAACATAAAATGATTTTTCTCCTATAGCATTTGGGCACTAGTATAGAAATGAAGAAGTATGCAACTGACTGAATGAACAGTGTGCTAGTTAGGTATAAGAAATGATTCACTTTGGATGTAAGCTGGAAACAGAAAATTATGGCAGAATGTGACCAGCAGAAAGGCCATGAGTAGCTTTGGCTACTCAAAGGAAAATGAATAAATTGTGAATCAAAGGAAAATAAATAAATTGTGAGTTTATGATCCATAGTAGGCCATGGGATCAAGATCACTTTTATTTCTATGGACAGTATTCTCATCTTTCCCTTTAAAAAATTATGATAATGATCTCCAGATAGTAACCTTGGTATTTCCTGCATATTACAAGATGCCAGTGCTTCATGAGGAACAAGAATTACTGCCTAATGTGAAAGAAGTCAGTATTACTCAGGGAGCAGTGGATGAACTGGAGCTATTGGAAAAGCAATCCAAAACCAACGAGTCAATGACCTCTGCATGCATAGAAATGGAAAGGCTTGGGTTGGCTGAAAAACTTCCAGAAAGTCAGGAAGAAATGAAATCTCTAACTGATGAAAGAGACAACCTTAAAATGATAGAAGAAGCAGTTCAGGCTGGACGAGACCAGTTGAAAGAAGACATTAAAGAAACTTTGGCTAAAGTAAGTTTCATCCTTTCCTTCTATTTACTAAGTGTTTTGTAAGAATCAAGTCTTTGGGAAAGAAAGCACTTGTGTTATAGTGATAATGTTACTGCAGTGTTTTCTTTAAATGTCTCCATTATGAAGTGGTTGGAAACAGAGCTAAAATTTTCTCATAAATACTAAAAAACTATTGAAATTGAGAGAAAATGTTTCAGAGAAGACAGCTGTTTTCTTAAATATTTAAAATGATTTAGAAAAACCAATGGTAAATTATAAGAAAGGATAAAGCCATAAAAACTATTTTCTTTCCTTCTTTAAATCTATTCCTGTAGCATCTCATAAGGTAGTTCCTCAATACCTGAGACAGAAATCTGAAAATCATCCTTCCCAGTATCCTTTCCTCCCACTCACTTTATAATCCAAGCTTCAAACCTTGTTGATTTTGAGGGGTATATGTGTGTGTGAGAGAGAGAGAAAGAGAGAGGGAGAGAGAAATCTTCCCTCTTTCTCTCCACATTGCCAACACTGTAATCTGAGTTACCATGATTTCTGTCCCTGGCTTTCTGTAATAGCCTCATACTGGTCTCCCCATATTCAGTCCTTTACTTCTCTAATTCATTCCTCATTCTGAGCGCAAGCAATCTTTTGTTCTTTAAACCTTTTAATAGGGGTAGCTGCGTGGCACATCTGACTCTTGATCTCAGCTCAGGTCATGATCTCACAGTTTGTGAGTTCAAGCCCTACATCGGGCTCTGCAGTGGTGGAGCAGAGCCTGCTTGGAGTTCTGTCTCTCCTTTTCTCTGGCCCTCCCCGACTTGTGCTCTCTCTCTCTCTTTTTCTCTCTCTCAAAATAAATAAATAAAAATTTTTAAAAATTTTAAAAACATTTTAATAGCCTATTACTACTCTTGAACTAAAGACCAGAATCCCACACGTGGAGTATGAGGCCCCAGATGCCAGACCTTGCTGGTCTCCAGCCTTATTTCTGTTCCTCTTACCCTTGCTCATCATGCTCCAGCATCGTGCTTTCTCTTTCATGGCTTTCGGATGTCTGGCCTCCCTGCCTGCAGCATTTCCCTACCCCCTTGCCTACCCCGTGCTGTCATCCTTCATGTCTCAGCCGAAGCTTTCCATCCCCCAGGAAGCCCTTCCCAACCACTCAGGGTCATTCAGTGGCCCCATACCTTGCAAGGACCCAGCACCTCTGTTTGGTTTGATTTAGCATAATGTCTGTCTTTCCCTCTAAGGTGTAGATCCCAAAAAGGCAAAGATCGTATAAGTCTCGTTTACCATTTTACCTCTAACCTCTGACGGGGTACTGATGGCACAGTGAACCCTCAGGAAAGAAGCATTCAATTCCTGAGTGATGACGAGTGGGCGAGTGGAAAGAATGCTCCGTAATGAGCCACTGAGCCCCGACTTATTTGTTGTAGAAACTATCCTGATTTCTTTTCTCCGAACGTAAAATAAAGTATCTTTGGATGTCAATTCTGTTGTTTTTAGGATTCTTTTAAGATCCAAGAGGCTCAAGACAAACAAGAACAGTCCTTCAATATGGAAGAAAAAGATGGTGCTACTGAGAAACTAAGGAGCGAGACGGAGCAACTGAAGGAGCAGCTCAAAGCCACAGAGTCAGCACTGCAAAGAATGGATGTGGAAAAGCTTGAGATGGCTGAGAGGCTTCAGGAACACTGTGATGAACTGAAATGTGTAACTAAGGAGAGAGATAACATACAAAGACTGCAAGAAGTTCTTCAGTCCGAAAGCAACCAACTCAAAGAAAACATGAGGCAAATCATAGCTAAGGTAGGTTTCATCCTTTACCCATGCGCTTTTTTTTTTAACCTTTTGTAAGCAGATATTTTTTGCAAAAGCTAAACTTTCAGGAAAAAAAGAGAATATAATGGTTATAATATTTCTGTAAATTTCTTAACATTTCCTCTAATAATGAAGCACCTGGAAACTGAAGAGGAACTGAAAGTTGCTCATGGTCACATGAAAGAACAGGAGGAAACTATTGACAAGCTGAGAGTGAATCTTTCCAAGACGGAAAATGAGCTGTCCAGCCTTCAGAAGGAATTAGAAACAACCAATGATGAATTACAGAAAAAGGTAAATTGGGGGTGAAGGAAGTATAGGAAAAAACCTGAGGGAGCTAGCTAACTGAATTATAGAAGCTACTTGTGTATACTAAACTGTTACAGAGAACATCGTGGGTCCTTTTCCTATAAAAACAAAAACATACATATGTATACACACATACACACACATGCACGTATAAGCAGGATTTATGTGTATGTATATTTTAGCTATTATTATTATTATTATTTTAAGATCCAAGAACTTCATGAGAAGCAGGAACAATTGAATAGCACCAAAGAAACCATTGAGACTCAGGACAAAATGAATGAACTGGAGCAATTAAAGGAGCAACTCAAAGTCAAAGATTCATCACTACAAAGTATAGAAAGTGAGAGGCTCAGGTTGACCGAGAAACTTCAGGAAAGTCAAGATAAAATAAAAACTATAATTAAGGAAAGAGATGAACTGAAAAGGGTGCACGAGGCCCTTCAGATGGAGAGAGACCAACTCAAAGAAAACATTAAAGAAATTGTAACCGAAGTAAGTTTCCTTCCTCTAGTGATTTTTTTAGGTACGAAAATAGTGGTAAAGTGGTTAACAGTAGTATTCATTACTGCTTTACTAATTTGTATCTAATCATGAAGGGACTGAAAATCAAACAGGAACTAAAAACTACTTATATTCTTTTGAAGGAGTACCAAGAAACCATTAGTACAAGGACGTTTTCAAAGATGACAGATCAAGAAGCAAATATTCAGAAAGATTTAGAAAATTCACATGCTGAATCACAAGAAAAGGTAGGTCTTGTTAAGTTGGAAACTGACATCTGATTATTGTGTTCCTCATATCCTTGTGGAAGAAAATAGCACATATATTAGATAAAATGTAAAGATGATTCACTTGATTTAGAAACATTTCCTTCTTTTCCTAAAAATTTGTGCCTATGTCCTAACTTGTTTTTTTCTCAGATTCGAGAACTTCAGCAAAAAGAACATCAGCTTCTTAAGATGAAAGGTGTCAATGAGACTCGGGAAAAAATGTGTGAAATAGAACATTTGAAGAACAAATTTGAGACCCAGAAGTCAATTCTGGAAAATATAGAAATGGAGAATGTAAGGTTAACTCAGAGACTTCATGAAAACCTTGAAGAAATGAGATCTGTTACAAAAGAAAGAGATGATCTTAGGAGTGTAGAGGAGACTCTCAGAGTAGAGAGAGACCAGCTCAAGGAAAACCTGAGAGAAACCGTAATTAGAGTGAGTTACTGTTTTTCCCCCATCCAGTAAATATGACACTATGTCGTAAAAGAATCATGGGCGATAGGGTTGGCAGGAGTGAAAACTGGTCCAACCTTAGGGAAGGTTGGAGGAGGAGATATTTGATAATATCTTCCAAATATTTCAATAAGTTTATTCGTTGACCCAAAAAGCCCAATTGTAGCTACTTATCTTACACACATTAACACAGTTGTACAAAGATATCTATAGAATATTCATTGCAGAAACTTGTAATAACAAAACAAAGCAAACCACAAAAACCAGGGAAAATGCTAACTGTCCATTAGCAGGGGACTGGTTAATGAGTGCAGCACACTCAGTACTAGGCCATGGATAAAGAATGAGGCAGCGCCATGGTGGCGATTTGGAAGTATCCTCTTGGGGAAAGAGATATGTTGTGGATTAATGTATCTAGCATGTATTGACGTTTAAGAGTAACTTAGAGGATGAGGCCTAAGAGGGTGGGAGGCATATTTACCTCTTCCTACACACTGAATTTTATTTCTCTGAAAAATCATTTTCCTTTCTCTAATGACAAAGGACCTGGAAAAACAAGAGGAACTAAGAATCACTCTCATGCATGTGAAAGAGCACCAGGAAACTATTGATAAACTCTGGGGCATTATTTCTGAGAAGACAGACGAAATATCAAATATGCAAGTGGATTTAGAAAACACAGATACTGCCTTAAAAGCACAGGTATAGTTTGTATTTGAAAGTTTATATTAGGTCTTTTGTGTAATGAAACAGGATATAAATTAGCCTAAAATCAAAGACAAAGATTTGCCTGCTTAATTTAGAAAATACTATTTATTGGGTGCCTGGATGGCTCAGTTGATTAAGCATCCAACTTCGGCTCAGTCCATGATCTCACAGCTTGTGGGTTTGAGCCCTGTGTCGGGCTCTGTGCTGACAGCTCAGAGCCTAGAGCCTACTTCAGATTCTGTGTCTCCCTCTCTCTTTGCCCTTCCCCTTCTTGCACATGCATTCTCTCTCTCTCCTTCTCTCTGTCTCTCAAATAAATATTTTTTTAAAATATTGTTTTTCAATATCAATCTACATCTTTATTTATTGTATGATTATCTCAAGATCCTAGAACTTCAGGAAAAAGAACGTCAACTTCTTAAGGTAAAAAATGATCTCAGAGAAAATATATATCAAACAGAGCAATTGAAGAAGCAATTAGAGGCCCAGAATTCAATCCTGGAAAGTGGAGAAATCGAGAAGTTAAGGCTGAGTCAGAAACTTCATGAAAACCTTGAAGAAATAAACTGCATTACTGAGGAAAGAGATGGTCTACGAAGAGCAGAGGGAGCCCTTAGGATGGAGCGAGACCAGCTCAGGGAAAGCCTCAGAGAAAAAGAGTCTAAAGTAAGTTGCCCTTCCTCTGCTGGTGAGTAAATGTGTGTTTTTCTGAGAGCAGTGAACCGTGCTTTGATGTGAGTGGTGCTATTGGTGTGAGTGAACTGATGGAACCTTTTGCAAAGGCAGGTAATTTGGTATTGTTCTTCACAATTTTTAACTCTGTGACCAGTATTTTCTTTGTGAACTTCATCCTACATGTATATTTATATACATAGACAGACACACATACACCACAGGGTGTCCACTGTAGCAATTTGTAATAAAAATTGGGAAACAATCTAAATGTCCATCAGAAGGAAACTGGGTAAATACGAGCAGTATGTCAGATTACTATGCAACACAATTTTTAAAAAATGAAATAGATTCGGATGTTCTAATTTGGAAGCCCAAATAGCTCATAAAGGGAAAAGCAAGCTGTAGAATAGTGTATGTATCATGTGTTTGCCTCTCAAAAGTAGGAGTAGGCTGTGGGGAGGTGAGGACACGGAAAAGGAGGAAGGGAAAGCTTGTAACTTTCTAACATCTTAGATGTAGAGTAAGAAGTAATTGTTTTAGTATTTTTACTAAAAGAAATATCACTTTCATAAAAAAAGAATATACTAGTCAATGTTAAGCTGTGTAACCATTCTTAAAATTTCTTTAATGACAAAGGACCTGGAAACACAAGAGGAACTAAGAATCGCTCGCATGCATGTGAAAGAGCACCAGGAAACTATTGATAAACTCCGGGGCATTGTTTCTGAGAAGACAGATGAAATATCAAGTATGCAAATTGATTTAGAAAAATCAAACGCTAATTTACAAGAAAAGGTATGAACAGTGTGCTTGTTTGGGTATTTGATTTATTTGTTCCTAAATTCTTACGGGGACGTAAAATGGTTTAACCACATCAGAAAACATCCTGATGGTTTTTACTAATGCTGAACGTACAGCTGCCTGTGGCTCAGCATTTCCGTTTCTTGGGTACGTACCTGAGAGAAAACAGTGCGTACTTTCACATAAAGCTACGTACAAGAATGCTCATAACAGTTCTAATCATAAGAGCAAAACATGGAAAGCAAGTGAAACGCCTGTCATCAGGAGAATGGATAAAAAACATTGTGATTTTTCACTTGTGGGGATGAGCACTGGGTATTATATGGAAACCAACTTGACAATAAACTATTTGTAAAACAAAACAAAACAAAACAAAAAACATTGTGGTTTTTAAGTTCAAAAGGAGGCAAGACTCCTCTAGGATGAAAAAAGTTCAGAATAGTGGTTAAGCTCTAGAAGGAGGCATGCAGGCACCTTAAGGGGTACTAGAATTGTTTTACATTTTAATCTGGTCTGTAATTATATAGATGTATACGTATGCTGAGAATAATTTAGCAATACACTTAATATTAGTGTATTTATGTATATTATACCTCAAAAGAAAATAAATTTTGTGTGGATATGCAAAATATTAACAAATGACGTGGGAAAACTATTGCCATAATCAATTTAGAAACTTTATCCTTCCCTTAAAAACTGTATGTATCCTAACATGTTATTTTCTGATTATGTTAAGATTGAACAAGTTAAGGCAAATGAACATCAACTTTTTAAGTTAAAGGAAGATGTCAGTGAGACACAGAAAAAAATGTCTGAAATAGAACGATTGAAGAACCAATTCAAGGACCAGAGTTTAACCCTGCATAAAATAGAAATGGAGAACTTAAATTTGGCTCAGCAGCTTCATGAAAACCTTGAAGAAATGAAATCTGTAATGAAAGAAAGAGATAATCTAAAATTGGAGAGAGACCAGCTCAAGGAAGACCTACAGAAAACCATAGCTAGAGTGAGTTGGGCTCTTTCTATTTATCCAATTAACATGTTTTTCACATAAGAAGCTTCCTTCTTTGGAAATAAATAACTGTTGGTGAAAATGTAAATGTTATAAACTTTCCAGGGAAACAGTTTGATAATGCCCTATTAAAGATTTATCAGCGTATATATCTGCTGCAACAATTCCATTTTGTAGGAATTTCTCCTACCAGTATAGTCACACATCTGGGCAGAAATACAACAGCGTTCACCACAACACTGTTTGTGCTGACAAGTGTGGAAGCAGTCCCAGTGTCCACCGATAAGGCACTGGCTAAGTGGGGTTCATCTGTACCATGGAGTACCAAGCATGAGAAGAGGGCCCTGTTTCTGTGATAGTGATGTCAAATGATGTCCGAGCGCTATGAAAGAAAGGAAAGCAGTTGGCAGAGTTCAACAGGAAACCCAGCTAGGATGGTGAGGCCAGGAACTGGGACTTGACTGTATAGCCTTCAGTACTACTCTCATTTGGGGATGGTGTGCTGCTTGTGAGCGTGCATTTTTTAAGATTTTGTTTAACTAGTTCATCACTAAGGAAATGTAATATGCCTTTACATCATAATATTTCTTAATTTCTTCTTATAATGAAGGATCTGGAAAAACAACAAGAACTAAAAATTGCTCATATGCATTTGAAAGAACACCAAGAAACTATTGATAAATTCAGGGAGAGCGTTTCAGAAAAGACAACTCAGATTTCAGATATTCAAAAGGATTTAAATAAATCTAAAGATGAATTACAGGAAAAGGTATATGTCGTTCTTTGGGGAGTAACTGTATCCAAAATCCCTTGTGAAATGAGAAAGAAAATGTGTACAGATATTTAGAGATAGATATAGATGTACATTTATAACGAATAGACAGGAATTCTTTTTGCATTCTAATTTGTTTTATAATTATCTCAAGATACAAGAACTTCAGAAAAAAGAGCTTCAGCTTCTTAAAATGAAAGATGTCAATAAAACCCATAAAAACATAAACAAAATGGAACGATTAAAGCAGCAGTATGAGGCCCAGACTTTATCTATGCAAAGTGTGGAAATGGATAACGTACATTTGACTAAGAAACTTCATAAAAGACTTGAAGAACTAAGAATTGTAGCTGAGGAAAGAGATGAGCTAAGGAGGACAAAAGAGTCTCTGAAAATAGAAAGAGACCAATTCAGAGAAACGTTAAGAGAAATGATAGCTAGAGTGAGTTCAGAATCTTCCTTATCTAATAACTGTAGGAATTAAGCTTTTTTGGCAAGGGGAACAATTTGTTTTTTTTGTTGTGGGGTTTGGGGATTTGTTTTTTATTGTTTTGGGGTTTTTTTTCCTTTTCTTTTTGGAAACTTCTACAAACAGTAAAGGGATAATGGGAAAACTATTACTATAATTTTTCACATAAATAGAGAATACAGTTTTAAAAGCAGCCAAAGTGTTTTTCAGAAAATACCATTTTATTTATTTTTAAGAAAAGATTTGTTACACAAAGCAGACTATTTTCCTTAATGTAATTTTTAAAAGAGTTTTTAAACCAGGAAATGACATTATCTTTACTGAAGAAATGTTTAAAGGACTAGATCTATGAAAGAGTAAGTGTGCCATTTCTCTGCCTCTACATGACAGAGTTTTAGGCATGGGCTCTTCTCTCCCCTCAGTTTGAGAAGCGGCCAGAGACACAGAGAGAAGAGCCCAACCAGTAAGACTATAGGTATTCAGAATCACATGTCTTAAAAAAACCCAATTGAGCCCTCTAGAAAATAACATAAAATTCAGACAAATAAGAAATTGCATCAAATCTATAAGAAATCTGTTTTTATTCTCATAATTCAACAATAGAGCAGAAAACCACTCTATTAATCATCTGCGACATTAATAGAAACATGAGACACTTGGGAATCATCTTTATGTGGGCCCTAATGAAATTTATAAAAAGATTTAATTCATTCAACAAATACTTATTGAACAGTCGTTCTTCTAAGTACTGTAGTGATAAATGGGAGAAAAGGTTTTGTGTTGTTCTTTGAATCAGAAGTCCAAGATGTAATATGATGTGCATTTTCTATCCCAAGGCGCTGGGAAGAGTCTAAATAGAGATATTTCAGGTGGTTTTGGTAGTGTGTTATTTGGCAGCGATTCAAACTAATTCTAATTTGGAGACTTGGAATAGTAGGAACCAGATATATAATTCCAAAATCTAATTTGCAGTTGTGGCGGTTATGGGAATAAATCCTATCTCCAAAAAATATGTGGTTCTTCCACATTTTTTTCCAATGAGTCGAGGTCACTCACTACAATAATTAGGGGAACTGTTACTCATTTTCTGACCATCATTCTTTTGTTTTTGAGTTACAAGTTTTTAATTCCATTATTGAAATGGTGTGAAAAAATGTAATCGGAAAAATATATAGACCTTAAATGTGAATGTAGTTATAGTTGAAGCCTTGTTTATTTCTTTGTATAGAAGCAGGACCAACAGAACCATAAAGAGGTAGTAAAATATGAAAAGAAGTTACTATGTAATGGAAAACACCTCACAGAAAGCCTGAGAGACAAGTGCTCTAGGATAAAAGTAAGTGTCCCATGTTAAGATCACAAATAAGTAATTTTTTTAAGTAATTCCAGAAGCCTAGAATGGAATCAAAGGAACCTCTGTGAAATGATTAGATAGTGCTCAATGTTGTTTTTTTTTTAACTTTATAATCTCATATAGGTGTGCATGTGTGTGCATATGTATATACATAAACATACAAAATGGCCGGGATGCGGGGGAGTGTGATTTTTAAGGCCCCACTGGAAAGGTGATATTTGAGCAAATACCAGAAAGAGATAAAGGATTGAACCATATAGCTATCTGAGGGAAGAACAGGATAAGAGAGAATAACAAGTAAAAGCTCCTGAGGCAAAGCATGCCTGGTGGGTTCAAGAAGGGAGAAAGCTAATAAGAAATGAGGTCAGAGAGTTCATGGGGAAGATGCAGGCTGTGCAGGCTTGAAAGATGTTTGGGTTTTAGTCTGAGTGAGATGGAGATTTATTGAATAGTTCTGACCACAAGAGAGACATGATCTGACTTACATTTTAGAGGGATGACTCTAGTGGTTGTGTTGGAATAGAGTGGAAGTAGGAAGAGCATTTGAGAGAAGAATTTCAATAATCCAAGCAAAGATGATGGCGGCTAACCCAGAGAGGAATCAGTGAAGTCGTGGGAAATGTTTGATTCTGAATATATATTGAGGGGAAAAACGAACAGGATTTACCATCAGTCCTATTAGAATGCAAGATCCCTAAATATGTTGTGTGTTTTTTATGGCTACATCACTTAGCACGTTCCTAATGGAATATAAATTTACTAAAAGTACAAACGAATGACTACACAGTGCTGCTGCATACCATAATATGATTCATACTAAGATCAAGGCAGGAGATGAATGAACAGCTAGCTTTTCCTTAAGTTATTAAAAAGGAAGCTCATTATTGTCAGAAGCCCCTTGTTCTATTATTTAGCACCCTGAATTAAACATGTTATTTGTTATATGACTGTAGCAATTTGTACTACTGTGTTCTTACACCTGCACTTTCACCAGTGTGTCCCCTGCCTGGCTTCTAGTCATTTGAGCTTATAGGCCAGGCTCATTGGGTATCTTCCATATGCTAGGCACTATACCAGTGCTTTACCTCATGAGATACTTATTACTCCATTTACAAAGAAACTGAGGCTTAGAGAGGAAGTTTAGTGCCCAAGGTCACATAGCTAGTAAGTTGGTAGAGTCAGGACATGAAACCAAGTGTAAGTTGAAAATTTGAGTATAGAAACATTTTTACAAATATAATTTTATTTCCCTTAAGCTATAATGTCTGTGTATATTTCATAGATTATGTAGATATGGATATCATATTTACTTTCCCCTAGAAAAGTTTGTGGGACTCATTATAGTCTTTATTTGGTTGTTAAGAAAATGGCTCAATGATATCTGTAGTCAGGAATTAGAAGAGATAGAACCTGAACTCTAACTGATAAAAGGTTAGAAAACTCAGGTTTTAGGCAGACAAATAGAAATGTGTAAAGAGGCTACACCAAACTGGCAAATAGTTCAATTCTTCATCACTTGTTTTACCTGCAGACTCACACTGCCTATTGTGAACATGAGCCAGCATTCAGTCTTGAGCTATAATATATACTAGATTGAATTCACTCAAATTTATCTTCAGACTTTGAGATGGTCATTTAAAACATGAATGCTTAAAGAACTAAAAGAAAATGTATCAAAATGATAATAGGGATTGTTTCTGGTTTTCTGTGTTATATTTAAAATTTTTAAATTTTCACAATAATTAAATAGAATTTCTGTAATCCAGAATCAACAGTGAGCCCCCCTCCCTTTTTTTAACACAAAGGTCTTAATTTGTTTCTGCATTACAGAAGATATTAAGCTTAAGTTTTGTTAAAATTCTAGGGCAAGGACTATTTTTGTTACATTAGGATGAATTGTTAAACTAAATGAATTCTAATTTTCCTTAGGAGCTTCTGAAGAAATACTCAGAGATGTATAATAATTATGAGTGCTTAGATAAACTATCCCTTGACTTGGAGAAGGAAGTTGAAACCCAAAAAGAGCTTTCGATTCGAGTGAGAGCAAACCTCTCACTTCCATATCCACAAATCAAACAAATTCAAAAACTTCTTACTGCAAACCAAAGATGTTCAATGGAATTCCACAGAGTCATGAAGAAACTTCAGGTACCACTTTTTTTAGTAATGTCTTTGTAAGTATTGCTATAATTAGTTTTAACATCAGTGTATGTAAGTCCTACTTTGGGTGTTGGCATATTGGCTATTTTGTGTATTTACTACCAAATTAAAGGTTATGTGGGTCTCAGAATAGTACGCACAAGATCCACTATGCATCTAGTACCTGTTCATTCAACAAAAAATGAACTCTCCCTATGAGCCTAGATACTGCCAAGGTGCTTGGGAGACAGATAGGACTAACATCTCTGTTATCTCCTGGTCTAGTGCATGAAACAGATGTATAAGCAGGTAGTCTAAGTGTGGTGACAGAAGTATATGAGGGTTGTGTGACATACCAGATAAACCGTCACAGAAGATGAGACTGCAGTAGAAGCTGGACTTGAGCAATAATGCTTGGAGTTCATTTTGCAGATGATGGGGAACCACTGGACAGTTATTTTAAGTAGTGGCAGGAGCATGATCATACCATTTTAGCTACTTCACCATAGAAAAACAGTGAGTTTGTGGCAGAGGGAAGAGACAAAAAGCAGTTATGGTGGTCCAGATGAGATATTGTAGGTGACTGTTCTACCAGAAAAGGATTCATAGGGATGGGGAGGACAAAGGAAATTAAAGAAATATTCAGCAGCTTGGGGTACCTGGGTGACTCAGTTAAGCATCTGACTCTAGATTTCTGCTCAGGTCATGATCTCATGGTTTGTGAGATTGAGCCCCATATCGGGCTCTGCACTGACAGCACAGAGCCTGCTTAGGATTCTCTCTCTCCCTCTCTTTCTGCCCCTCCCCCCACTTATGCATGCTTGCTCACTCTCTTAAAATAAATAAACTTTAAAGAAAAATAAAGGTTTGGAAGTCCTCAGCTTATAGATGCTAGATAATATAACGTGTGTGAGTAAGGTCACCCAGAAACCGTAATAGAAGAATAAGAGCCTTGGGATAAGAAGAGAGCTCTAGAAAAGATAAATTTTCAAGAGTCAGTAGCAGAAAAGACAGCAACACATGGGTTTGAGATTGGAAACGTCAAAGGAACAGAAAAAAAAAAATCAAGCAGAAGTGTTGTTGCTCAAGTCTGTAAAGGACAACATGTCAAAGATGAAGAGGTCAGGAATGTCAGATACTTCAGACAGTCAGAATATGAACTGAAGAGATGCCCTCAATTTGTTGACTGATAGTAGAGCTCATTGGTGACCTTTCTCAGAACAGTTTTAGTTGAGTGGTTAGGGAAAGGGCCAGATTATAAGAGGGTTAAGGAGTAGTGGAAGACTGAGGAACAAGGGAGTTGATGTTTGTCTTTTCTAGGTAGTTTGCCTTTCAGGCCCTGATACCCCCTCCCCTTTTTTTTTTTTAAAGTTCATTTATTTATTTTGAAAGAGGGAGTATGTGCACGCAAACAGAGGAAGAACAGAGAGAGGCAGGGAGGGAGAGAATCCCAAGCAGGCTCCGCACTATTGGTGCAAAGCCTGACATAGGGCTTGATCCCACTAACATGAGATCATGACCTGAACAGAGATCAAGAGTTGCGTGCTCAACCGACAGAGCTACCCAAGTGCCCCAGGCCCTGAAATTTTTCCACAAATCCTGGCAATCAGATACCCAGAATTTATCCAGGAGGTCCATGGAACATATGGCATTCAAATCATTGTTACCTTGATGCCAAACATCTAACTACATGTGTGAAGTACATCTTGACGCTGGCACACTCATATTGGTTACCCAGTCAAGGTAGGCAGGACAGGATGTTGAAAATGTATCTCAGGCATCTAGCTGGGAAACCTGGGTGATTGGTAGAGAAAGGTGAGTTTATAGGGAGATATTATGCTACATTTTAACATTGAATCTAAGGTAATTGTTGAACATCTATGAGATGTATCCAGTAGGGGTTCCAAATTAAGGAACTTGAAGTCTGGAAGTTCTCCGAAGATACTAAGAAGAGAAAACTAGGGATAGAGAGAGACTCTTTCCTTCTTCCTCACTTACTAGAGGATCTAGATAAACAAGAGATGCGATCCCACCTCTTAGTCTTGAGGGTTTAAAACTTCCTCTAAATGTGATAAAAAGTTCATTTCCCAATTTGTTTAATGTTTTTCTACAAGTATGTGTTAAGCCATGTTACAAAGATAAAGGAAGAACAACATGAATCCATCAATAAATTTGAAGTGGTTTTTGTTGATGAAGTGGAAAAGCAAAATGAACTGCTAATTAAAATACAACAGCTTCAACAAGATTATGATCTGCCATCCAGAGAATTAATGGACCTTAAATTGAGCCAGAATATGGATCTACATATTGAGGTATAATTTATTTAAATGGTTTCATTAGATTTTAAGCCTTTATATCACATAGAGAAGGTACCTTTCCATGTGCTTAGAGCCATTTTAGTTTTCCAGAAAATAATAATAGGTTGCAGGGTGACAGGTGGCCAGATGTATAGAGTGCCACATAATGGACTAACCTCCCTTTTCAGAATTCCACAGAAACAGGAAATAGATTCAATACCAGCAAGTGGGAATTCATAGAACCCCGGAATAAGTTTGCAAATGCTTTCTAAATCTAGGTCTATGGCTGGGAGTCAGGAACATTGTTATTGCAGCGCCTCCCCATGGAGTGCCTTGCTCTTACCCAGCAGTGTAAGGCTGGCACCCAACTCCCAACATGTATGTGAGGCCTGAGTGCACAGGAAAGCTACATGTGCAGAAGCACTTCGTATATTGTGATTATTGGTCACAGATAGTTTTGACAGTTTTTTATTCTAACAGGCAGAATTCATGGACATTCCTCTTAAATAGCCTCTACTGCCAAAATTCTATTATTCAAATCACTGGGATAAAGTTTTAAATTAGAATTATATTTCTAATGTTAATTAAATATTCTAATATAATTAGAATAATTAGAATTACATTTATTTCAAAATATTAAGAATGAAAGTTCAGTAAGGTATTTTCCCCTTTTAATGATATCTGTATGATATTTAGATGAAAACTTTCCTAATGTCCAGGTGATTAAATACTTATTTTTCACACAGGAAATTCTCAAAGATCTCTCAGAAAATGACTTCCACCGCATAAAGGCTGAATTTCAACAAGTGCTAAGTAATAGGAAAGAAATGACCCAGTTTTTGGAAGAATGGCTGAATACTCATTTTGATACAGAAAAGCTTAAAAATGGCATCCAGAAAGAAAATGATAGGATTTGTCAAGTGAATAACTTCTATAATAACAAAATAATTGTAAGTAATGAAATTTTTTGTGCTACCTCATTCTTTTTGTTGTTTGCTCTAATTTTTCTACCTCTTTCTTAAAAAAGACGTAGAGCAACTTAATCTTAGGTATGCTTTCTATAATTTATTTGTATATACTTTATTTTTTTATTTGAAGAAAACTGTGTAAAACATGTTCTTCCTCTTACATGTTATGTATGCTTCCTTAAGATAATTAATCAACTTACACTCATAAAGAAGATAAAATTAGGAGGCCTGAGAGGCTTAATCAGTTAGGCATCTGACCCTTGGTTTCACTCAGATCATGATATCACAGTTTGTGAGTTCGACTCCCACCTCGGGCTCTGCGCTGACAGCACAGAGCCTGCTTGGGATTCTCTCTTCCCACTGTCTCTGTTCCTTACCTGCTTATGCATGTTCTCTCTCCTAAAATAAATAAACTTTAAAAAAAAAAAAAAAGAGGATAAAATCTTGAGGTGTAATAATCAATTTCCACTTATGAAATCTTGAATCCTCTTTCCTTTCTCAGTTCTCAATGCTTTTTAGGAATTGAGCCTTTTCCCCCAGTAGCCTCAGAGAGGGCAAGACATGAGCCTGTTTGAGAGTTACAGGCAGCAGCTGTGGTCCTGCCATAGACAAGCCTGGCAAGCTCCTTGACAGAGGCCTAATTTGCTTTTCCTCTTGGTGGTATCACTACCGGATGCACTGAGCTTCCACTCTGAGATTCAGAGATGTGGTTTGTATCACTGTTCCTGAGGTGACTGGCTCCAGTGTATAGATTGGCAAGAACCAACATTGCTAAAGATCATATTTGTTGCACTTTCCAATGATGAGGATATTCATTCTGCTCTCTGAAATAATCCCTACCTCTATACCTGGTAAAATATGCAGTAATCAGAAAGTTGCTTGTGTACATGCATCTGGAGCAAGGGGAACTAGATCTTATCATAGCTTCTAAGATCGATTTTATATTTCATATGTTTGGGCAGTTCTTTTTTTGACATTTTAATTTCATCTGGAAACTATACTTAAATCACACTGAAGTATAGATAATATTTTCAAAAACTGTTTTCCTGTGGAGAATCATTCCTGTTTGTTAAATACCTTAAGCTAGCAGAATAGTAAAAGCTATTTAGGGGCATGGTGGGGAGGGGGGAGAGTCCACAATCAACAGGGAAAAACAAAACCAGTATATGGCTAAGATAATCCCCATATTAAGTCAGTATTTTTCTTGTGATATTGAGGATCCAGCTGGGAGTAGAAAATTGGAATTCCTAGTGTGTGGATGAGCATAGATATGTGGCTTCCTCCAGCATCCTGAGAATAGGAACTGATAACTTTGTGTGGTATGAGGCCAATAGTCTAGAACCCAGGAGAGTCCAGGGTGCCAGCAAGAACACAGCTAAGTTAGCATCCAAGTCTGATAGAAGTGCCTTAAAGCCACAAAGTTATAGGTGAGACCAATAAGGCATTAATGCATGATGAGAGCAAAAACTACATTCCATAAGAATTAGGAAGTAAAAAGATATGAGTAAAAGTTAGCAAGGGTATTGAGTTACTGTTATTTTCTACACAGAGTTACATGATTTTCAGATTAATTACCAAAAGTCAGTGCAGCACTTCTCCTATAAATATTGAGATTTGAAGTGAAACAGGAAAATAGATTGCTGTTAACTTTATTGAATATGCTCTGCTAATACATGTCAGTTAATCTTTAGATAGGACATTATAAATAACATAATGCAGGAGCACAGTGAGTTAAGCGTCTGACTTGGGCTTGGAGTATGATCTCACGATTCATGAGTTCGAGCCCCACATCAGGTTCTGTGCTGACAACACAGAGCCGGCTTCAGATCCTCTGTCCTCCTCGCCCCACTCATGCATGCGTGTTTGCACACACTCTCGCTCTAAGACAAACATGAAAAAATTTTTTAAGAAAATAAATATCTTAATTTTTATCTTAAAGTTATTTATCTTAAATAACTTTAACCTGTACAGTTTTGCAGATTCTTCTCCATAATGTTATCACTGATATAATAAAATGAGATTTATCATCTTGTAAATCAATATGAATCCTCTCCAGGCCTTATTTTTTATTCTCTTCAACATCCAGCATCTTCTGAAATTTTAGGAACTGATGCAAACCACAAAGAATGTTCATATTCTTTTAAAGTACTGTTGTAGAATGTTCTAAGTAATGAATTTCAGCATATACCTTGTCCTAGAATTCTAATAGTTTTCACAGTATTTTTATATGTAATTTATTTAGAGTTATAATAGTATTTTACTATTCAATAGGCTATAATGAATGAATCTACAGAGTTTGAAGAAAGAAATGCTTCCGTAACTAAAGAATGGGAACATGATCTGAAGTCAGTGAAAGAGAAAAATGAACAACTATTTAAAACCTACCAAACTTTGAAGATCTCCCTGACATCTGGTATCCTTGTTAATCCTGTTACAGAAGACAATAACAATCTTCATATTACATCAAGAGCCTCACAACTAACCACAGAGGTATATGATTTCTTATAAGACATTTTTCAATTTGCAGATTGATCACAGACTTAAAAGATGCATTTTATGTAACATTTCAGAGCAAAATTATAGTATCAAATGTATTAGGAACTGTGGGTCATGTTTGTGTTTGTGATGGGCTTGTTTTTTATTATTTTTTTAATATTTTACTTATTTTGGGGAAAGAGAGAAAATACGCAGAAGAAGGGCAAAAAGAAAGGGTGACAGAGGATCAGAAGCAGGCTCTGCACTGACAGCAGTGAGTCTGATGCAGGGCTCAAACTCATAAACCATGAGATCATGACCTGAGCTGAAATTGGACACTCAACTAACTGAGCCCCCCAGGTGCCCCAATAGGCTTGTTCTTTAAATACAGTTCTATTGTGGCTACCACTCAAATAACTACAGAATTCTATAGGGATCTTCCCTTTGAATTATTAAGCAGAAGTAACTCATAGCTTAATTAAGAGATACATATACCTCCTCAAGAGCTATTACTGTACATTATAAATTTCTTCAATCATGTAACTTTTTTAAGTTTATTTATTTTGAGAGAGAAAGAGAAAGCATGAGCAGGCTAGAGGCGGGGGGGCGGGGGGGCTCGCGCAGCAGAGAGAGAATCCTAAGCAGCATCACGTATCAGCACAGAGAGAGCCTGATGCTGGACTCAAAGTCACAAACAGTGAGATCATGACCTGAGCCAAAACCAAGAGTCGGATGCTTAACCAACTGAGCCACTGAGGTACCCCACAATCATGTAACTTTTTATTAAACTAATCTGTGTCTGTATATAGAACTAGCTTAGAGGGCAAGTGCAATTCAGCTTTTCTCCATCATCAAAGTCTTTAATATTGGTTTATGTTATATCAAAATTAAAATGGAAAAGGCTAAAAATATAACAAATGTCTTATGCATATTAACCTGTATCCAATAATCAATACGTTATTTGAATGATTCAGTTATAGGGGCATAGTCAGTTAGGCATCTGACTTCAGCTCAGGTCATGATCTCAAGGCTCATGAGTTTGAGGCCCACATTGAGCTCTGTGCTGAGAAATCAGAACCTGGAGCCTGTTTCAGATTCTGTGTCTCCCTCTCTCTCTGCCCCTCCCCCACTCGTGCTGTCTCTCTCTCAAAAATAAGTAAACATTAAAAAAAATTTTTTTTAGTGAATCAGTTATTTTGTTACCTAGCCTTATATGGGAATCTGTGAACCAAACATACGATTTTATTTTGTTAGCACACAAAATGACTTCATGAAGAACCTAAGAGTAAATTATAATTTATCATCTTGACTAAAATAAGCACTTAGAATAAAATGTCAACCATTAATTTAATAATCAGTTACCAGTGGAAACTAGAAGATCACTTGTATAGTTTATCCATTTGCTAATCACTACAGACCTCAGTCAGTTGGTGGAGACAAAAATAGCCAAAATATGAAACCCATCTACCAAAGCAATAAAGAAGCAGAAGAAAATTCCATCTTCAGTGACCCCAGGAAATACCCCACCCAATAGTATATACTATCCAAATTATATACTATTAGTTTGGTAATTATGACAAATCAGAGTAGCATAGAGCAGTTCAGTACTGATATGGAAATGACACGGAGCAGTGGAGCAGAGTAGAGTTCAGCAGTACACCCAAGTAAGGATGAGAATTCAGTGTTTAATAATGGTAACAACCAACTCAGTGTGGAACAGAGGGTTTATTGCATGTTACGTTCCAGACAGCCAGCTAGCCACCTGGAAAAAAATAAATCTGTATTTCTGCCTCACTCATTTAAGCAAAAATAAATTCTAGATGGGCCAAAAACAAGCAGACATTTTCTAGGAAAACCTGCATGTGTATGTAGGTGAATAATCTTATAAATATGAACAAATTCAGGTATTTTTGTACTTGCAAAAAACTGGAAATAACCTAGATGTTCACTAGTGGCTGACAAGTTAACTAATTTACAGTACCTCTGTGAAACAGGAGGTATGTATCCACGAAAACAAAACTGTGGAGAGATCTCTATATGTTATTAATGGAGAGATCTGGAAGATACATTGTCAAGTTAAAAAAAAAAAAAAAAAAACAGAACTGGGGCACCAGGATGCCTCAGTGATTAAATGTCCAACTCTTGATTTGGGCTCAGGTCATGTCTTGGTTCATGGGATTGAGCCCTGAATCAGGTTGTCTGCTGACAGCTAGGAGCCTGCTTGGGCTTCACTCTCTCTCCCTGTCTCTCTCTGCTCCTCCCCAACTTTCTCTCTCTCTCTCTCAAAAATAAATAAATATTTTTTTTTAAAACAACTGTATATTCCTATACAGTGTGTTATGTTACAGTATGTTACAGTATGTTACAGTATGTTACAGATCAGTATGTTCCTACTCTGTGTATGACTGACTCTTTTTGTAACTGTATACTCACGAACGCTTAACTAGGCATGGAAAATTTCTGGAAGGATACACTTGAAAGAGGTTAGTAGTCATTACTTCCAAGTCACCTGGGGTTCTGAGATGGGGAAACTCCACTTTCATTATATGCCTTTGAATTTTTCCACATACTTGTATTTTTTAATTTAAAAACTAGGTAACAAAAATAAAGGAAAAGCTATATTACATGCATTACTTAGTTAACAGATGGCACTTTCTTTAAGTAGTGTTAATTTAAAATGTAGTGTTTTTTTAATATGCTTAGCACTGTACTAACCAGTAAATAAGATAAACACTAAACCTTGTAATATAAAATTTGGTCTTTTTTTAATCCAAAAATCATCAACTTCTAAATAAAGAAAATAATACATGTATAAATTGAATGACATTGGCTTCTCTTCTAACCTTTCTTAATACAGTCTGAAAAATTAATACCTGTATATGATTATCTTTGTCTTAAACATATTGTGTGATTCTGCCTTCATGGCACACCTTATTTATGCATGTTTTTTCTCATAGAAAATTCAGGAGTTGGAAACTTCACTGCGTGAAGCTAAAGAAAGTGCTAAGCACAAGGAAAGCAAGATTATAAAGCTGCAGAAAGAACTTGAGATGACTAATGACGTGGTAGCAAAACTTCAAGCTCAAGTTAATGAATCAAATAAATGCCTTGAAAAAACAAAAGAAATGATCCAAGTACTTCAGGTAACAAACTCATTTTACAATAAAAGGGTTGGGTTTTTTTCTTTTACTGTAGAATTTGGCAGTATATTTGGGACTCTAATCTTTTACTTGAACTTCCTGTTACTTATGTATATATGAAGTTCAATACTCAAGCTTTAAGAAAGCAAGTGGAGGGGTGCCTTGGCTCAGTCAGTTAAGCATCCGACTTCAGCTCACGTCATGATCTCACAGCTCTCAAGTTCAAGCCCCGCATCAGGCTTTCTGCTGTCACTATGAAGCCCACTTTGGATCTCCTGTCCCTCTCTCTGTGCCTCTCTCTCTTTTTCAAAAATAAATAGTTCAATAAGCAAGTGGAAACTTAGAAATCTAGGAATCTATTTCTGCCTGCCTCTCTCTCTCAAAAATAAATAGATAAATAAGTAAGCAAGTGGAAACTTAGAAATGAAATGTAGGAATATATTTTCATGCAAAATAATTATTTCTGTATTCCTAGAAAAATTATTTTTAAAAGGCATATAAATATTATTCTAAAAGTTCTGTTTCATTCAATAAGACATCAAACAGAGAGGCAATAAAAAGCAATTTCATTTTGTTTAATGTAAAACTAAAAAACAAGAAAATCAATTGTAAGTCCTTAGAATTTTTTAGAGGAATTATTTAATATTTCAAATCACATTTTTATTCAATCAAGAAATATTTGTTGGCTCTGCTGTATGTTGGTCATTGCTCTAGATGTCAGGTGTACAGCAGTGGAAAGAAATAAAAGTCCCTCTCTTTCTTCTAGGAGCTTACATTCTTGTTCAGGAAGACAGAAAATAAGCAAGTATATATGTGTGTCAAATGGTGAAAAGTGCAATGGGAAAAAAATTAAGTTAGACAAAGGGTGCATGGGTGCTGGGTGAAAGTGGGGGTGGGAGGGAAACCTCTTATAAGGGGGAGCTGAGGAGAGCCACACCAGTAAGAGGACTTGAAGGGATGAGTGAGCTATGTGGTAGCGGAAGGGCCTTCTAGGCAAAGGAAACCTCAGAAAGCCTACACATGTTTAAGAAACAAGAAAGGCAGTGTCTCCTGAGCAGAATGAGCAAGGGGATAGAGGTGGGAAATAAGGTGAGAAGTAGCAGAGAGTCCGATCGTAAAGGGTCTCACAGGTTATTTTAAGAACTTCAGTTTTTATCTTGAGGGAGCTAAGAAGTCTTCAGGATTTTGGCAAAAGGATATAATGGTCTGACTTAATTTTAAAGGCTGCCCTTTGGAAATCAAATCCAAGAGGGTGTGTTTGTTAATGTGACACGCCAGCTGCTACAACAAAGGGAAGCAGACTGTAACGACTCAAATGAGAGACAGCCTTACTTCTCTATCTCATCTCAAAGTGTGAGTTCCAGGTTGAAGGAGGCTCCATACTGCATGAGGCTCCCTTCTATCCCACCCTGTTTCTCCACCACCCCTTTGGTGCTGTTCTCATCTGCATGGTTAAAACCAGGTCGTAAGCAGTTTATGCTCTGGCTCAGGAAACGGACAGATGGAGAAGCTGAAATTCATCTTAAAATCCCTAAAAGAAGGCTTTGGCCCAGACGTGGCACACATCCCTTCCTCTTACGTTTGTTGGAGTCAAGACACTATGCCAGAGTTTTGGGCCCAGACAACTAGAAGGATATAAGCATTCTATAAAATGCAACAAGTATCTAACTCAAGACTTAACATAAGAAAAAAACTTTTAACCTATTCACCACTATTTGCAGACATCTTGGATATAGTTGTCCAGCATAATTATTGTAGGGTTTATTAAGTGAATAGAGAAGAGAGTAGTTTGGGCAAATGAATCATTAAAATTTTGTTTAAATCTTGATACATTTCTTCTGTTGTATCATTAAAAAATGTTTTTATCAAGTAACAGTGAATTTATTAAAAATTTAAACTACATTAAAACTTTAGGGACATCCTGCATCATGGGGGGGAAAAGATCTTTTATTTTTAATGTTAATTTTTTTGAGAGAGAGAGAGAGATAGAGTACAAATGGGGGAGGGGCAGAGAGAGACACAGAATCTGAGGCAGGCTCCAGGCTCTGAGCTGCCAGCACAGAGCCCAACGTGGGGCTCAGACTCAAAATCATGACCTGAGCCACCCAGGTGCCCCTAGAGAAAAAAGCTCTTATTTATAACGGCCACAAAATCTAAAATAAAATGCTTGAACCTTAACAAAAAATGAGGAAAACATATATGAAAAGAGCAAGAGAACTTTAAAAAGAAATACAGAACGTGTGATTTATAAGAAACACTCCATTTCAAGACTGTACAAGCCTAAGTTGTTCCCAAGTTAATTCCTGAAATTCATGTAATTCAAATCAGAATTTCAAAGGAGTTCTTTCTCAGGTAGAGCCAGGAAACTTTCTTAAATGAATCCATCGAAAATGCACATGATAAATAGGTGATGTTAACAAATTTATGTTTTCAGTTTTTTCAGTTGATTAGTGAAACTATTTAAGTCTCAGTATTTCTTGAGTGCAGCCTTGGTCACACACTGTATGTTTGAAATATGGAATTCTGTTGTCTTTCATTTCTAATTCAGTATTTGACTTCTCTTAACATAAGAATGTTTTAAACAATGTTATATGTGACTAATTTATTTCATTATACCTTGGCAAAAAACTGTAATCTCTGCATTTCTAGCATATGTTGAAATATTCTTTTTAGTGTCATAAGTGGATACCTTTTTTTTTTTTTAGAGTTCTTTGAACTTATAAAACAGTATATAGGGGTGCCTGGGTGGCTCAGTCATGTAAGCACCCGACTTTGGCTCAGGTTATGATCACACGGTTTGTGGGTTCGAGCCCCGCATTAGGCTCTGTGCTGACAGCCATCTCAGATCCTGGAGCCTGCTTCCAATTCTGTATCTCCCTCGCTCTCTCTGACCCTGCCCTGCTCACGCTGTCTCTCACTCTCAGAAATAAGTAAAACATTAAAAAAGAATAAAAAAAAAAACAATATATAGACAAGTAGATCAGTGGAAGAGAATAGAGAGCTTAGAAGTAGTAAGTAGTCCCACACAAATGCAGTCAGCTGACCTTAGAACAAAGGCTGTTCAGTAGACAAGGATAGTGAGCGGGAGCGCAAGCAACTAGTGATGCTGGAGCAACTGGACTTCCACACGCCAAAAAACCAGTCTTGACAGAGACCTCTCTCTGGCACAGAAATTAACTCAATTGATCAAAAATCTAAATGTAAAACACAAAACTAGAAAACCCCCAGAGGAGAAGATAGAAGATCACGGTTTGGTAGTGACTTTATTTTAGATAACAACACCAAAAGCACAATCCATGAAAGAAAGAACTGGTGAGTTGGACTCCACTTAAATGAAAAATATCTGCTCTGTGAAGGACAGTTAAGAAAATTAAGAAGACAAGTTACAGACCTAAAGAAAATATTCTTGTAAAACACATATCTGATAAAGAACTGTTGTCCAGAATGAACAAACTCTTTAAAAGTCCATGATAAAAACAACCTGATCAAAAAATAGGCAACAGATCTAAACAGACACCCTACCTGAGAAGATACACATGGGACAAATAAGCATATGGAAAGATTCTCAGCATCATGGCATTAGAGAATTGCAAATTAAAACATAACTACACCTATGATACCTCAGAATGCCGAGATGGCCAAAATCCAAAACATCACGCTAAATGCTGGTGAGGACCTAGAAAAATAGGAACTCTCTTTCATTGCTGGAAGCACTGCAAATGGGACAGCCAGCTTGGAAGAGTGTTTGACAGCTTCTTAGAAAACTGACAACACTTCAGCTAGCCACATGCTCAGGGAGTTCCTGATATGAGTATCTGACTCAGGAGGTGGGGACGGGAACTGGTGCTGTGACTGAACAGTGGGCTTCTCCAAGAATGGGCTTATCTTATCCAGTCATCAGCCTCCTTAAGATGAGCACTGTCATTCTGCATATTTTTAGTCTTATGCTAGCCATTGTGTGCATGTGAATGTTTCTATGGGGGTTGGGGTGAGAGAGCCTAGAGGAATAAAGAGAGCTCTCTAGGTCCCTTTTTATATGGGTTTTATTTTTTATTCAATATCTATTTCTCCATTGTATTGCTGTGGTACAGTGATAAAAAGTTATTTATTCAGCAATAATAGGAAATGAGCTAAAAAGCCACAGAAAAGTGAGGATGAAACTTAAAGGCACACTACTAATTAAAAGAAGCCAATCTGGGGCGCCTGGGTGCCTCAGTTGGTTAAGCGTCCATCTTTGGTTCATGAGTTCAAGACCCGCATTGGTCTCTATGGACAGCTCAGAGCCTGGAGGCTGCTTCAGATCCTGTGTCTCCCTCTTTCTCTCTGTTCCTCCCCCACTTATGCTCAGTCTCTCTCTGTCTCTCAAAAATGAATAAAAAAACATTTAAAAAAATTTAGAAGAAACCAGTCTGAAAAGACTTACATACCTAATGATTCCAACTATGTGACATTCTGGAAGGCAAAACCAGGGAGACAGTAAAAAGATCAGTGATTGGCAATGGTCTAGAAGGGTAAGGGAGGGAATGATGAATAGGTGAAACATGGGATTTTTAGAGCAGTGAAGGTATTCTGTATGATATAGTAATGATGAACATGTGCCATTATACATTTGTCAAAACCCATAGAATGTACAGTACAAATAAAAAACCCTAATGCAACCTAAAACATATCAATATTGGCTCATCATTTATTACAAATATACCACACTAATATGTGATGTTAGTAATTGGGGAAATGGGCAGGGTTGGGAGGGAGATGGAGTGTGACAGGGGCATATGGGAACTCTGTACTCTCTGCTCAGTTTTTCTATAAACCTAAAGTTGCTCTAAAATATAAAAATCTATTTGTTAAAAAAAATTTAAATATATATAAGTATGTAGTTGTGATTTTTTTTCTGTGAATGGGAAGTAGACATATTTATAGCACTGGATTGAACCATACTTGAGTACACAATGTCCCAACACTTTATTCTACTTTGTGCTTTGGTTCAGTTCTAGTTTGATGTTTGTATTGCCATTCTGGCATCTTTTCGTTTCATTTTCCTGATTTGCCCTCCCTGTCTCCCCTGTCCATTATTTTCAACATTTGTTGCATTGTTGAAGTTTATCATTTTTAATTGGAAAAAAAATTTGTTTTAAGAAATGGAAGTCATATGTTCGTCATTACATATTAGCTTCCAGTAGTTTCAAATATACTTCATTCACATCAAATATCTACTTGTTCATTTTAGGATTAAATTTTGTGCCTTTTTCTGCTTTCCATATATTTGAAGTTTGCTGTTTTAAAATGTTCCTACCAAATCAAGGTAGTTATAACAACTCTTTAAAACTGCTCTGAAATTATTTTATTTTTCTTTTCTCTAAAAATTTAGGACAAAGTTGCTTTAGGAGCTAAGCCCTACAAAGAAGAAATTGAAGATCTCAAAACAAAGCTGGTGAAAACAGACCTAGAGAAGATGAAAACTGCCAAAGAGTTTGAAAAAGAGTATGTCTTTACCTTAATTGAACATGGCTTTAATAGCTTAAGTTTCCCTTCTAAAGTATATAAATTTGTTTGTATTGGTTAACTTTTTTAAATATGTGGAAATATTGTTAGTCCTTTTTAAAATAAATATCCACATCCACAGATTTTAAACTTGTTAAATTCTCATTACGTATCCAAAGTTTTTTAAAATATGCATAGATCTGGTCAATTACTAACACAATATGGCTTTTGATGCTTCTTGCTTAGTTGTATATGAACAGCTTAAAAATGGCCTTTTTATGCTTGAAAATGAATATTAAGAACCTGTATGTGTGTATGTGTGTCTAGCAGTTTGACTAAGGTTTCTGTTGGTTCTCTTAGTCCTGTTGTATTTGTGTAAAGGTTGTATTTCCTTTTAAATTATGGTACCTAGTATCTAAAAGCATAACCTCTATTTATTTATGTATACTACTGTACATAATGGCATACCTAAAATGCTTTATGATATGTCATAATGAAAGAACATTAAACAGAGTCAGAGATAGTGAATTAGAAATATGATATTGCCACATTATTATATCACTTTACATTGGCTGTTCAATCTCTCTGGGCTTTATATTCATAATCAGTAAAAGAATAAGTTTGTATTAGAGGATTTCTTAAGATTCCTTCTGGCTCCTAATGCTTTTTGTTCTTCCTATAGATATTTAGCAAGGATACCGAATTTGCCCAAAAAGTAGCACTCTGAAGCTTTCTGCCTCCTAACTAGCCTTCCATTGATAAGACTATTGGTTTTAGCAAAACATATCTATCAAGTTCTTCATTATAAAAAAGCAATTTTACTTATAAAATAAGATCAGCAGATAACTTTCAGAGTCTCTAAAGGCAGAAAGTCTCATGATTTATCACTGCTGATTAATGCTTAAGCCAACATTTCATCAAATACTACTTTCTACTGAGCAGAATTTGACCTTTGACTGTCACATTGGCTGGGAGCTGCAGCCAGGGTATGCTTCCCTGACAATGTAGAAATAAGTAGAAGTTTTTTTCCACTTTCACGCTCTGATAATTGTTGTGTCCAATTAATAGCTACTGGGCTTCCAGAAATTTAAAAAGAATTATTTTAAAAGATTACCCCTGCAACCAAAGAGACTGCTTCCAATTTGATGGCGTTATGCCTATAAAACACTTGATACCAGGCGGGTATCTGCTATTACTTATGGGTTTTATGTCAGTATGGTATATCTTATTAGAAAGTTCTTGACAGCAGTTCTGTTTATTCTTCCATTAAAAATTAGTTGCTAGGCTTTTACATATTTCCATTATTCTTTTTAGAATTACTTCTACAAAAGCCACTGTAGAATATCAAAAAGAAGTTATAAGGGTATTGAGAGAAAATCTTAGAAGAAATCAACAAGCACAAGATACCTCAAGTAAGTAGAAAATGCTGGTATTTCCAGAACTTTCCATCTTACTTCTCAATACACTTTGACATTCTGCATACTATTATATATGTGACAGTCAAGAATAAACATGTTAATCATTAATTTAGAAAGAACTGTTTTTGAAATGAACTTACTGGGATCATATTTATCCTATGACATCTCCTTAGTTTCCTATAATTTCAACTGTTTGTCCATTATAGATTCTTAAAAATTTTTGAATTTTACCTTTGCATCATCAGATCTGTACATAGTAGTGAAGACATTCACATCTTAATAGATTTTAACCATATGCACAGTAAAAATGCAATCATTATTAGAAAGAATAGTAGTGTTAAAGAAATAATTTCCTATTTGTTCTTAGTACTGAAAATACAGAGATGATGCTTATTTGCAAACTCTGAAATTGTGTCAGCTCTTTGAAATTAATTTTAGACACAGTTTTCAAATCTAATGATCAAATTTTTCATACGATTTCCTCAACCTATACCTTTCTCCATATTTTTATCTCATGTGTTTCATTTGAAAAGAGAGGATGCTGAACAGTACTTGGGACAGTTTTGTGTAGTAAACACTGAACTAAGTCGGGGCAGGTCACCCGCACTTCATGGCCCTGTGAAATCATGGGGACAATAATACTTTACCTTCCAGCTTATATACACACACACACACACACACACATACTTATTGTAAGGATCAAACTGAAAGTTGTATGTGAAAGCACACTGAAAATTGTAAAGCACACTGAAAATTGTAAATGTCAAGCAAATATAAGGTAATACTTGTGTGTATTTTTATCTAGTCATTAAAAAAATGTTTTAAAAAGTGAAATAATGTTAAAGATGTTGTCTAGTACATATGTAGACTGAACTACTCTAGTGGCTATTGCAGGATAATTGCGCCCTTACCTGGAAAATTATAAGGGTTAAAACAGTAGAAATGAGTATGCTTCGTCGTTACAAAAGGATCAGGATAATTGCATTTGATTTGTGACTTTCAGTACACATTGTATCTGAATCCAGAGTAATTCAAAAGAAAATGGACATTGAGTATCATCTCCATACATATCTTACCTGCTTTTATAAATTGTCAGTTACGCAGTGGCTTATTGTACAATATAAGCACCTCGCATTTTTATGCAATTTTACCTGAAGTTTACAAAATCAACTCCTTACATCACTTTCACGCACATAGTGTAGAATACTTAATAATATATGCTCTCGTATCATTCTGAGGTGTATTCAGTTAACAAGTACGTGTCGAGAACTTACAGTGCGCTGAGTAACTGGCGGTGGACCCCGCGCACACACACATTCTGTGCTGTAAGAAGCCCGCTGGGTATTTCCACTGATCTAAAGGAGAGAGAGTGAAGGACCGCACTCCCTGGGGAGACTGCCATCCCTGCCATCATTGTGCAGGATTCCAGTGAGCACGGTGGTGGGAGTAGACTTGGTGGGTTGGAGAGGTGCAGGAGGAGTCTGGAGATGATTAGAAGTGTTGAGCGGGTAGGCACGGGAGGTAAGGTAGAAGGAGGAAGGCAAGGTGGCTTCTAAGGAGATGATGATCGAGATGGTCTGGATTTTACAGTGACTTAATGCTCTCAGTGACATTCCCTTTATTTTGAACTTTGGGGAGAAGTAAAATTATCACCTATTTGTGTATCTGCCTCCCTCACAGTTGTATCAGAATGTACGGATTCTCAGCCTTCAAATAAACCCTTAACCTGTGGAGGGGGCAGTGGCATCATACAGAGCACAAAAGCTCTTATTTTAAAAAGTGAATATATACGGCTAGAAAAAGAAATCTCTAAGTTAAAGCAACAAAATGAACAGCTAATAAAGCAAAAGAATGAACTATTAAGGTAAGATCTGCTTACATGATACCGAAATTATGCTTCTGGGTATTACATGAGGGGAGCGTGGTATACACACATGCATATATATTTTTTGCAATTGGCAACCCTTCACACAGATGGGGAAAGTCATTTTTAGAGTATATGTAATAAATGTCTTTTTTTTTTTAATTTAATTTAAATCCAAGTTAGCTACCATATAGTGTAATAATGATTTCAGGAGTAGAATTTAGTGATTCATCACTTATATCCATCACCCAGTGCTCATCCCTACAAGTGCCGTCCTTACTGTCCCTCACCCCTTTAGCCCTTCCCCCCACCCAACATCCTGCCAGAAAGCCTCAGTTTGTTCTCTGTATTAAAGAGTCTCTTATGGTTTGCCTCCACTCTCTGTTTTTATCTTATTCTTCCTTCCCTTCCCCTATGTTTTTCTGTTGTGTTTCTTCAATTCCATGAGTGAAATCATATGATATTTATCCTTCTCTGACTGACTTATTTCGCTTAGTATAATATACTCTAGTTCCATACACGTTGTTGCAAATGGCAAGATTTCATTCTTTTTGATCACCAAGCAATATTTCACTGGGTGTATATATATATACATATATATATACACATGCTTGGATATATATGTATATATGTACATATGTATATATGTACATATATATGTATATGTGTATATGTATATATATATATATATATATATATATACACATATACACACACCACATCTTTATCCATTCACCAGTTGATGGGCATTTGGGCTCTTTCCATAATTTGGCTATTGCTGACAGTGCTACTAAACATTGGAGTATATGTGCCCCTTGGAATCAGCATTTTTGTAATATATGTCTTTTAAGAGGAATAAGACTATGGTAGCACCATTCCAGATGCTTGCTATCTATCAATTGACCTATTTTTAATGAAGTCCAGAAGCAGAAAGTAAACAAATCTTTGAGGGGCAGCTCAAATACACCACAAGTCAGTATACCCAAGTCAAAGGAGAACTCCTTAAGTCTATTATTGTATTTACTTTTACTTCATAAACAGTTCTAACAAATTTAATTATTTGGCTTCTTTTTTTTTTTTAAATGTTTTTTTATTTATTTCTAGGAGAGAGAGAGAGACAGCGTGAGCAGGGGAGGGTCAGAGAGAGAGGGAGTCACAGACTGAAACAGGCTCCAGGCTCTGAGCTGGCAGTCAGCACAGAGCCTGACGCGGGTCTCGAACCCACGAATCACGAGATCATGACCTAAGCGAAAGTCGGACGCTTAACCAACTAAGCCACCCAGGCGCCCCTAATTATTTGGCTTCTATAAGAGATTAGAATCTTGTGCCACGCACTTCACTAATGATATAATAGAAGAAAAATAGGCATTAAATAAATAACTATACAAGCAATGAATTTTTTGCAATGACTACTATTAAACAGCAACAAAAAAACACAAGTAGGACATTACCTAAGTGTGGAGAGGGGTAATGACGAAGAAACTGATAGAAGAGCAGTTATGGAAAAGGGTAGACGTTAGGCCAGATGAAAGGAGAGACAGGTAAGCTTCTAGGCAGGGGCAGCATGTGTGCGGGCTTTCAGTCAGAAAGAGTAACCTGTTGGTGGAACTGAAAGACACCCAGTGCAGTCGGGGTATAGGGAATGAAACAGAGTAAGGTGCAAGAAGAGATGCCAGAGGTCACTGGTCTAGGTCACATAGGCCTTTTTGGGTCACTCTGAGGAGGCTTGGGTGATAATCTGCAATATAATGAGAAAGTTACCTCCAGTGAGGATTTAAAGCCAGGGCCCGATGCGATCAGACAGCATCTCTGGCTCTAGACCAAATAGGGAAACCCAATTTAGGAATTATTTGCTATAGTCCAGGCAAAAGATAATTTTGGCATGGACTAGAATGGTGCCAATTGGGATAAATATAAGGTGATAAATTTGAGAGATTAAGTGTGAGGTTGTGTCCATAGATCTAGATGACCAGATAAAGGAGAGCAGGGCCTCTGGGATTGGTCCCCAGGCTTCTCTCTGGATAAATGCTGGTGGCATTTCCTGCAACAAGGAATACTATAACTAATCCAGAAGCATGGTGTAATATTTCTTTTAAAGTAACAAAGGTACACTAAAGGTTTGTCTATCCAGAAGACTAATTTGTCAAGTTATTGCTGTAAGGTATCAATAGGTAAACCACTCTGGATGATCTCACTGATTCATTTGAAAGCCCGATGTCATACTCTAAGCTTTCTCTTCAGGACTCCATAGTTACAGTTGTTCAATTAATATGACCTCATTTCATTTTCTGAACTATGAAATAATCCAAGCAGGAAGCATTAAAAATATAATTTTTAATATAAGTGTGGAATTTAAAATATAAGTGTGATAAAATGGTAAATTATAACAAACAAACAAAGGGGGTTAGAGAGAGACAGACAAACCAAGAAGCTGACTCTAGCCAAAGAGAACAAACTGATGGCTACCAGAGGGAAGGGCAGGAGGGTGGGTGAAATAAGAGACAGGGACTTAAGAGCACACTTGTGAAGAGCACTGGGAGTCGTACGGAAGTGTCAGATCACTATTTTGTACACCTGGAACTAATATAGCACAGTATGTTACCTATACTGGAACTAAAATTTAAGATTAAAAAAAAAAAGACAAAATGGTAAATTATATGTTATATATATTTTACCAGAGTTTAAGAATTTCTTTAATGTAAGTATGAATAAATTTCAGGAATTCAGCAGACTTACAGTCTCTTTTTTTTTTTTTCTTTCTCCTACATTCAAGCAATAATCATCATCTTTCCAATGAGGTCAAAACATGGAAGGAGAGAATCCTTAAAAGAGAGGCTCACAAAGAAGTTACTTGTGAGAATTCTCCACAGTCTCCTAAAATGACTAGAACAGCTTCTAAAAAGAGGCCACATACGCCTTCTCAATGCAAGGAACGGAATTTACAAGATCCTGTGCCAAGGGAATCACCAAAGTCTTCATTTTTTGATAGCCGATCAAAGTCTTTACCTACACCTCAACCAGTTCGCTATTTTGATAACTCGGGTTTAGGCCTTTGCCCAGGTAGGTAAATATACTGGTTCCTTAGAAATCAGAGCATATCTGTCACAACTTACCTTTAATTTGTGGCCCCAAAGGGCAAGTTTAGACACGATGTAGTTGAGCAAACTATGGTGCACAGACTTTATTTGGCATTTCTAGGGTGAAAAAGTTTCTCCAAAGCATGGTACTAACATGCATTATTTTTTAACCCCAAGCTGTCTTTTATTCTGCCTCTTACACCTTCAGCTTTTCCCTGAGAGAAATAAGCAACTCTCTTAAGCACATGAAGACACTACTCTGTAAACAAAACTTTTACTGAAGAAGCCCTTCTTACCAATTCAGTGGGCCAGTATTTCCAATAGCATTATATTTGTTTTCCACAAGCCAGATCATAGACTTATTTCATTTGCTTATTAATTCAATCAGTCAGCGAAAAATTTTGATCTCCAACTTTGTGTCAGATACATTGATGAGCAAAACCAGACATGGTCCCTTACTCTACTGGAACTTACAGTCCAACAGGAGATACCGTAATCAGGTAGTCAAAAATAGACGGGTAAAATTCTAGAGCACAAAAGGCTGCGAGGCATTTTATGGGTCTTTATTTCAAGAGTATTAAGGAAGTCTGCCTTGAAGAAGGAAACAGATCTAAGAGGTTAACATAAATTAGCTCAACAAAGAAGAGAGGGAAAAGTATTCTGGCAGATAGAACAGTGACAGCCCAAGGTAGGAGGAGCCATAACCAGGGGAAGCATTGGAAGAAAGATGGTATGGCCAGAGCACAGTTAGCACAAGCTGCTGTGGTTGGAGTCACCGAAGACAAAGAGAAGAGCCTGGTGTGTGGGAATTCGTAGATTGTATAGAGGAAGCCTTTGAAAGATTTTAAACCACATAATGGTGGGGGATCATAATGAGTTATAAATTTTGAACACATCACCTTAGTTATATAGTAACCAACAAATAATAGGAGCAAGAGTTTATGACCATTGTCTAAGCAAGAGGTCACACTAGCATGGACCTGAGCAGGTACAATAGAGCTGGAGAGAAGTGGGTGGACAGGAGAGATCTGGGAGTGAAAGCAGTGCTGGGCACCTGACTGAATGGAGGAAGGGGTGCTGGACACAGAGGTGTGGAGCATTGCAGGAGGAAGTCTGTAATACTGCGTTTCCTGTCCTTCTCGCCACACAGCATTGATCGTGTGTGTGGCCAGAGCCCTTGTACTACAGCAACAAAATTGTACACTAAGAAGAGCAGTTGCCAAATCATTTTTGGCCCCAAGCAAAGGTTGCCAGGATTTGTGAGAGCTCTATCGTGTGACTTTAGAAGAAATCTGTCCATTCTCATCAACTTCTCACCAAAATTAGGTCAAGCCAGCAGTCTGAAAGTGCTCTTTGGGATATAGGAAGGCACCAAACAATTTGAAAAAAATTTTGAACTATTCCATTTTATGGAATAGTATTTTACAAACATTTAAGGACCTGCCATTAGCTAGCACCAAATGGAACTTTTGATGTGTATGCACACATACTATTTGAGAAGAGTCTTCTGAAAAACCAAGAAACTTTTAATCACCTCGATTTTATCTGATAATGCCAGAGGCACATGCATGGTATGAATTAATTTAACCACAAGTAGAAATGCTTAAGTGTTTTTATCAATATATGAGTCACTCTGGTACTTTTTAAGTAAAATAAAGAGTAGCCTGAAGGGACACCTGGGTGGCTCAGTGGCTGAGTCAGTTAAGTGTCCAACTCTTGATTTCGGCTCAGGTCATTCTCATGGTTCCTGAAATCGAGCCTTACCAGGGCTCTGCACTGACAGTGGGACCCTGCTTGGGATTCCCTCTCCCTGTCTCTCTGCCACTCTCATGCTCTCTCCCTCTCTCAAATAAATGAACTTTAAAAAAAGAATAGGCTGGAAGAATATATGAATCAAAAACCAACCCATTCAGACTTAAAGGACATGGTCCCAGCCTGAATTAGTAAAATGCCATTCTAAAGAAATTTTAATGTTTTTATTTTGAATTATAAAAGATAATTTAAATTTTCTCAACAACTTGAGATGATTGCAAAGACCAGGTATGCAAGATTTACTTTTATGAATATAACCACTTGAAAATTAATACCATTTACAAACAAATAAATGCAGCTGAAGTGCTTTTAAAAGGCTCAAAGAAAGTTTTCCAAAGATGGCTAAATATTCTCCAAAATAAATACTGTTTCTTTAGCATAGCATTTTTCCCCCTAACATTTAGGCAAAAGAAAACCAGACTCAATCTGTTTGATTCACTTTGAATCTCAGAGTGATGGATTTCAGTTGAGACTTTATTACTTCTTGCTTTTATGTACAAAATCTTCTTCCTAACAATTGATTTTATGAGAAAATGGGGAACAAACTTCTCCAACTCTGATAAAGTGAAAGAACTATCACTTTTTAGTGACCAAACATGAGGCTAATGACCATATTGTCATTTTTCGTTCTTCATATCTCTGCTGTCCTAATGTTTACATTTCCAGTTCTATTAGAAGTGTGTGTGTGTGTGTGTGTGTGTGTGTGTGTGTGCGCACGTGTGTGTGTGTTTTAATAAAATATGGTTACTTTCGGGTTTTTTTCTTTTTGTTTTTTCTCAGAAGAACAAATGGCTGGAGCAGAGAGCACGGGTGCTCAGCCGAGTCTTTGGCACAGCTCCTCAAGAAGAGATATGCCCGAGTGCAAGACCCAGTAGGCTTCTCTCCTGTCACTTTCCCGGGGGCCCAGCATTCCCTGTTGAGAAATGACTGCGCTTTTACTTTCTGTGCCTATCCCGGCAGTGTTCTCCCAGTCCAACTTCATTTCAGTTCAGTTTTCACTTTGCCACTCGAATTGGAAGATGAACAGGAGCTTCATGCATTCCAATAATTTAGAATGACTGATAGCAAGACCTTCTTCTTGAATGTGGTAATACTTTCGAAATTGAATTGTTTTATTTATTTATATATTTTGTAAAGAATAAAATTATTGAAGGAAATCTCCAGTCTTTCCATGCATACACAAAATGTATTCGTCTTTATTAATGTAATGTTATACCCATGACTTAGATAATTCTAAGGCATAATACAGAACTAAAGTGTCATTTAAGTAACAAAATTATGAACTACGTTTTAAGCGCCTTAAGCATTGAATAAATGTTTAACTAGTGGTTCTGGATCACAAGTTTATGTAATATTGATGGTTTCTTGGTGGGGTATTCAGGATGTTTTTGGCTGTACTCATTTGTTAACTTTCAGAATTTTGCTATGAGAATATATACATGCTTCCTGGATTTAAGTTGCTAAGGGACAACAAAGTGCTGTGACCTCTTCATTTTCTAGTCTGACCTTTGTTTTGCTGTAATAAATACAAAAATTCTCTCTGCTTTTCTGTACCCACCCACTCCGTGTACAAGCACTCTAGATTGGTTGGTTTGTTATGAGACTGTGTGAACTCCACTGCATTTTACTCCCAGCTGCAAGAACTTAATACCACTTATCCTACCCTTTTATTTCAGACATGAGGAAACAGCACCTGAGTTTCTATGAAAGTAGAAAATCTTAGAAACCCAGAGTCCCCACAGATAAATTAAGGCATCTGTGGATGGGCTTCATGCAGTCTGTAAAACCTCTGAAATTTCATGGTAACTTGTATGTAAATTTATTTTTCTAAGATACTCGGGTGCATATTTTTATCATATTTTTAAAGGGATCTGTCGCCCTGTAGGAGGTTAAGAACTATGGTTTTAGAGAGCATCTGTTATAACTTTTATATCATATGACTTTAAAAAAACACATAAAACAGTAAGTTGCATAAGGTTTAGAACAGTTAGTGATTTCAATGCATTCTTGGGTCTGATAAGATTCATTCAAAGGAAGAGGTTGTGAATTACATCATAGTCATCATTTTACAATCCATGGATGGATATTTTCCTTTAATATACTATCATAGGCATTCACTAGGGCTAGGGGAAGGTGTCCCTTCCAATAACTGTCTCCCCCAAGCCAGTCCCTTCGGAGTTGTTTTCCTTTCCAATTTTCCCCAAGTAAGACACAATAGCAGAGTTACAGATTTGACAATGTCTGCTCCTCCACTGAGTAACAGTAACTCAAGGTAGTAGATAATAAGACTAAGGCCATTAAAAGTAATTAGTCATCAGGTATCCAGTCTAGTAAAACATTGCTTAACTCTAGAATTTGAATGACCATTTCTTTTCTCAGATTTGGGAAGTTTGGGGTCATTATTTCTTCAAGTAAATTTTTTGACCCTCTCTCCCATCTTGAAGTCCCATAATGCATATATCGGTCCTCTTGCTGATGTCCCATAAGTACCTTAGGCTTTCTTCACATTTCTTTATTCCTTTTCTTTGATTCTTTCTGCTACTGGATCAAGTCTGCTATTGAACGTCTCTAGTAAATTTTTTAATTCAGTCATTATTCTTCAGACCCAGGATTTCTGTATGGTTCTTTTTTATAGTTTCTATTTCTTTGTTATTGTCATTTTGTTCATGCATTGTCTTCCTAGTTTCATTTAGTTCCTTATCTGCATGCTCTTATAGATAATTGAGAATCTTTATTATTTTGAATTCTTTGGTAATTCATAGATCACTTTTTCTTTGGAACTGGTTTCTGGAGATGTATTTTGTTCCATTGGGTCATGTTTCTGTGTGTGTGTGTGTGTGTGTGTTTATGTGTGTGTGCGCGCATGTGCGCACAGTTTCTGATTTCTTTTGCTGAGTTTTATGTATTTGAAAAAGCAAGCCACCTCTTCTAGTCTACAGATTGCTTCATACAGGGGAACACATCCACCAATCAACCTGGTCAGAGATGCTAGGGGTCTCTGAAAGCTTTTAAGGGGGATGTGACTTATCTGGGCCGTGTGGATACTTTGCCAATTAGAGAGGTTTGCCAATTTCTTTTCTATGAGCTGGGTCTCTTGCTCCCTCTGGTGTCTGAGACACAGCATGTTCTTTAATGCAATAAGAAGCCACTAGCTCTTCTTTGTTCTCATGAACCCCCAAAGCTAATGATATCCAAAGCATATCAGCCTCCCATTAGCACCCCAGGTAGGCTGGACAAATATCAGTCTTGGACAGCCCTCCTCAAAAAGAACACCAAGCAAATGCTCTCCTCTTCCTCCTTTCCCAAGTGTGCTGAACCATTTCGGCCTCCTTCTGGGGCACCACAGGCCTCTAGTGCCAACTATGCCCGTCCCATCAGCACTCCCAAACCAGACAACACAGAAACCAGTCCTTGGAGCTGCCAAATAGAATTTTGGATGAATTTTCCACTCTTCTCTTTTCCCCTATTCCCCTGGGGAACATAGGAGCCAGAGGCTGAACTGTGCTAGCCTGGGCAAGGGATGGGGTGGATGGAGTCACAGGTAAGGTGAAATGGTCCTTCTTGCCCATTTCAATACACCTGTTCTCAGCTTCCCCCTTACCCAGGGTACTGCAACTTTTTAACTGGCTTAAGTTCTCATAAAGGTATTTTGGTTCATATACTGTTTTAATTCAGTGTCTCGGGGTGGGGGGGAGGGGACAAAGGTGGGACTTCCTTTTCCTCCATGTTGTTGTCATCTCCCTCAGAATGTTGCTAAACTCTTATGATTTGGGTTTCAGTGTCATGATGAATGACTGAAGGGATGATGACAAAAGTCAACAATGAAACATGCAAGAATGTTAAAAAGCAGTAATACAGGCAGAAAACACTAAAATGGTCTGAAAATAAAGTCAAGACTGAAGACAAATAGATTATTGTTCATAGGAAACCACTTGAGAGCCTGACAGAATTATATTCAGGAGAACTGAGAGCCTGCTATTCATACTCGGCAAATACTTAACAGCCGTTTACTGTGTGCCAATCACTGGTCTGGGCACCAAAAGGTACTGTCTTAGTGAAATGCATGTTTATTTAGTTGGAAAACAAATAACTCATAATATGTGCTGATTGCATATAAGGGTGAAAAAGATACGGCCTGTGGTCTTGAAGAAATTTAGTCCATGGAAAATATAGATGGGTAAGCAAATTTTTGCAACACCGTGTTACTTAGGCTGTCACATAGAAGGCCTTGTTGAAAATCTGGGGACAAAGGGAGTCTGAAGAAAGTTGCCCCCAGAAAGAATGTTAAGAGTTGGCCTTGATTAGAGAATTTTCATATAAAATCTATTTTAAAATCCTCAAAAGTTAAAGGAAAGACAGTAAAGCAAGGAGCACAGCTGGGCATGATTAGAGATCATTAGACTCCATTAGAAGCTACCATGGACAATGAGGGACAGTTACCAAAAAAACTATATGTAGATATATGCAACAATTAAATCAGGATTTTTAAAATCAATTTTTGCCATCTAATTGAATTTTAATAATCATTAACGTTTATTAAGTATAAATGTAACAAATGTGCTGGTAGCTGTACATGTCTAGTCCTTGCTCTTCACATGCCTGAGGTGGGTGCTATGGTTACCTTCATTAACAGATGAGAAAACTGGAGTTTGGAGAGTTGTTACTTACGCAGCTAGTAAAAAGATGTGGGACTTACCTTCATCTTTCCGACTCCACAGTCTTTGTTCTTAACTGTCATGACTTTTATGAATACTCATGGCTCCAAAGAAAAAACCTGGAGAAAAACATAATCTAAAGAAGTTAACTTTTCCTCACATGAGGAGAGCAGAGTTAGGCTTGGGCTTGGCACTGAGGCTGTCTCCAAGGCATCAGGTTCCTTCCCTCACCGGGCTCTGTCCTTAATGTGTATCTCTGACCTTGTACCGAGTCACAAGATGGCTGCCGTGTCCCAAGGCATATTCACGTTCCAGGAAAAAGCAGGGAAAGGGCAGAAATGGAAAACATTTCAGAGTGGCCTTGCCTTTCTATCCAAGAAGGAAGTCCTCCTCAGCTTGTGTTTCCTTGGCCAGTTCTAGCAGCAAAAAGAGTTATGAATTTGAGAGTTTTGTTTTCCAACCTTTATAAAATAAAAGGCAGAGGAAAGTGAGGTGGGTGGATGTTGAGTAAACCAACCTAAACAGTACATGCACAAAATAACCTACACAATCATTCTGCTCAATTACACACCTGCCAAAGTATGAGTGACTAAGTCTAGCACACATGACCTCGTCCTTTCTTTTCAATCTCTACTATCTCCGTTCTCTTCAGCCAAACTTGATTTTTTGCTCTTACCCAACATGTCCTTCCCTTTCAAGCCTCCACACCTCCTCCACACTGTGAAGCTCAGAGTGCTGCCTGGACCCTGCCCCCTCAGGGTAGTCAGGAGGCCTGCACTCTGCCATTAAATATGTACTAGTGTTATAGAGTAGACTGTGACAAAACAACCATAACTATACCTTAAACATGAGAGAATTTTTATTTCCCTCAAAACAATCTTGGTGAAGGGCCTGGAAGGAAGCCTCCACTATCTTAAATAATCTAGGGTCCTTTTATTTTATTCCTCTCCTCTTCCACATGAAATTTCTGACACATTAAATTTTGAATATCCTAGAACAGCACATAATAGGCCAGAACAGACAACAAAGATAAGTTAAAGTAAAGCAAATGATTTCCTCATCCTAAACTGTAATGGGCTTTTCCATTTTTCGCCTTCTCCTTCCTTGGAGTTAACAGTTCTAGATGACCTCCACTAGATGGAAGCACACACACACACAGCGTATGCGACTCCTTGAAACTGAAAGAAACTACAAATCCCAACATGCATTATTAAGCACCTGACTTGCTTCTGCACAAAGGTCTCAAGTTTGTTGCTCGCACGGGGATCTGGAGGACGCCATCCACTTGCTCTAAAGTAAGATTTCCTAATTTTTTTTAATGAAATTGTAGCGTGGTAAAAGAAGAGGTTTGGATTTTTGCTTTGTTCTGCAAGTTACCTATTTCAAGATTAATCTTAGCAGTTAGATCAGGGTAAGGATGTGTTTTTAACAAGTTTGAAACTCTGGTATATTAGTTTTTCAATGTGTTTTTCACGTTGTATTTTACCATTTGAGGCCATGTTTGCACTCGTTTTCCCAAATAAATACATTTTAGTTTCATAGTGTCGTTTATTCTAATAGTGAGGCTTTAGCTTCAAAATCTGGTCTCAGAAAGCCAAGGCCAGCTAGGGGAGAGATCGGAGTGAGCAAAGCAGCTACTCTGTGGTCCAGCAGTTGTTCAGTAAGTGCTTCTCCGGGTGTCAAAGATTCCCAGGGACACCTTTGGTGTGTGCCTTCAGTGTCATGCGCCTAAAGCCAGCAATTGACAGAGGTGTAAAATAATAGCTTTTTAATACATCACGCCCAGGATTTGGCGGGGCGGGGGAGGGGGGGGGCGGGAGGGGATAAAGACGATTGGATTCTCTTACTTGCTAAAGTATATATATGATTGTATCTCTCAACGCTTTACATGTTTAAAGTGAAAACGTATCACTCGTGTAGGAATAAAGACAAATAGCGAAAATCCATGGCATCAAAGTAGGTCAGGCAGTGTAAAAGCTCAGTTTCTCCGGCGCATGACCAACGCAGATTTAACCGAGATTATCAGTGAGGCCGTAAGCAGGTCCCTGGAGCCCGTGGTTCGTCTGGCCCTCAGAGAAGCAAAACACCAAGACGAAGGTAAACGTGCAGGAGGGTTATTGGGGGAAACTGTCAGACTACGAGGGAGGCCCACCCACGCCGGGCAGAAAGGCGCCGCAGAGGCACGAAGGTCCGCCGCCAGCCCAGCGGCCGCGTGCGGACTCACCGCGGGGCAGTGGGCGTGGGAGCCCGCGGGACCCAGGCCAAGCACAAGGTGCTCTCCTGGACCTGCAATCCGGAGGCCTGATGCACAGCCGCGAGGCGCGGCGCAGGCCACCTGAGCCCTCTGACGATAGTGCGCTGGTGACCCGGCCTTGTCTCACGTCTCAGACGCTTCTCTCATCCAGCCCTCTCCCCATTCCTATTTCACCCGCGGCCCTTCAGGCCCACGCAGCACCCTCCCAAGGACACCACCCACTCCCCAAGATGGGTTCCAGTGATCTTTCTCAAATACGTGTCTGCTTGTGTCACACTCTTTCCATCTTCAGTGCGCTTTGCCCACGGGAGTAACTGGCTCCTCAGCATTCCGAGCTTAGATAAAGTGTGAAGGCTCGATTACAGCAAAATGCCAAGGTTGGCTGAAGACAGTAGAGATGGATTCACAAAGAGCACTAGATCATGTGAGCCCTCTAGGCAAGACTAACCTGTTACCTGTATTTTATTAGGCAGGTAATTGAGCAGTGATTGTGTAGGTAGGTTATCTGTACACGAACTATTTAAGTAGGTTCACTCAGTACCCAACCAACTGTGCACCCCCTCCGACAACTTTTCTCTTCATAGAGGCCAGAAAACAAAACTCTCAAATTCCTAGCCTTTGCTGCTAGAGCTGATGAGTGAAATGTGGGCTGAAATATCTGAGGAGGGCTTCTTTACTGACTAGAAAGCGAGGACTCTCTGAAAGGCTTTTGTTTTTTTTTTTTTTTTGGCTTTTATTTCCCATCACCACCCACTTTTTTTTTTTTTTCTTTTTGCCTGTAATATGGGTGAGATGGCTTGGGACCAAGTAGCCATTTTGTGACTTGGTGTGAGATCAGAGGCAGCCATAAAGGACAGCAAGGTGAGAAAGGCACCCAGCTTCTTGAAGACAGCCTCAGCTAATCATCATCTGACTCTTAACTACCCCCAATCTCATCATGAGCCATTCCTCTCATCCCACAATCTACAATCCAAGCACCAGATATCTTATGCATACCTTATTTTCCCTGTGTCAGAATTTCTCAGTCTCCAGTTTGAAAAAAAACTGATGTATCTGATAAAGTGTTACTACTCCATGGTTAAACTTTAAGAGAGGATCAGCAGCACTGTGGAGTGGGTTTTCACCTAGCAAAGGAGCCGGGAGGCCCAAGCTTAGTTCTGGTTTTTTCATAACTGGCTTTGTGACCTCGAGCAAGTCAGATCAGTTTTCCCCTCTATATAATGGGAGTGTTGGACATGATTTTATCTTTCCAGCTCTTTTGTTCAATGACTCTGAGGCCAATCGTGAAATCTCTGCAAGGAACAAGGAAAAGCCATAGACAATTGATAGTGCAAATCCCCACAAAGTTTATAGCAGAGGAATTGGGAAGCAGCTCCAAGAAGTAAGGATACATACAATGCCATACAAGTATGTCTAGAGAGACTGAGGGAGAATGGTGGTGGCAGTGAGGGGAAGGACTCCTCCCCTGCTATATCGGTATTAGAGGCTGTCTTCTCTAAGTAGTGAAGAAACGAAACAGTAGGTTCAAGTCCAATGTCTGTCCGATGCCAGTTATCACCTCAATGAGTTATGCAAAATGTGTTTCATTACAATGCTAGTATCTAGGGTCAGCATTCTTGGAGAATTCAGATGATGAGACCATTTGTACAGAAATGCTGTCGTTAAGTTCATTCTAGATGTCACTGCGCAGAACCACATGCTACAGTGTAAGCCATTAAATACACATGTCTCTAGATTGAACCACAGGTTCCATGATGGGTCGACTTGATGGGAAGGTCATCGTCCTGACCGCTGCTGCTCAGGGGATTGGCCGGGCAGCTGCCATCGTAAGTGATTATCTCTTGTTTGCTTACTAACTTCTGAGGTATTAAATTATGTGGACAGAGCCCTTGGTTATTTAATTCTGCTCTAGTTTTTGGTTGTTTTGGGTTGTGGTTTTGTTTTTGGGTTTTTTTGTTTGTTTGTTTGTTTACTTTTGTGCCCCTGTTATCTGAAGTTACAAAAAGAAAACTCACTGGCCCCGACCCAGGGCAGATGAAGGAATGAATACCGCATATGTTTATTATATGACATCAATGATAATCTTGGACTCTGAGAAACTTAACTCTCTGCCTCAGTTTCTCTCCACAATGATATATTTACTGCAGGGGACCTACAGGAATGTATTCCTTTCTGAAATTGTCAATTCAGATGTAGGACTCCAGAGATACAAGACTATCAGGTTACTTTCACCTTCTAATTTATATCAGTTTCTTGTACATTATAACCCAGAGCTGAGCTCATTAATGCACTTACAGTGTAATAGGATATGGTTTGACATTTATGAAAACAGTAGTATAGTCTTAGGAGAAAAAGTGTGAAAATAACCCATTCTGTCTTATTATTGGGAATATAGTAAGAAATGGAAAATAATAAGAACTAGCTCAGAAATGAAATACAGGCTATCACATCACAGAATAGTATTTTGAGAGGTGTCAGTAACAGAGTCCTAGTTTTTAGAAACACTCTTTTATTTGATAACTCTTAAAGGCACAAAGTCAGATGAAAAGCACAATGTATGTCACGTTGTTCTAATTAATGGTAAAAATAATAACAATTGGAAGGGTGAAGTGAGAGCAGAGAGCTTAAAATTCCACCTATTTTATAGGGAAGACAGTGAAAATAAGATAAGGAGGGAAAGGCTAAATGACTTTCCACTCATGAGAATGGAATCAAATCAAACAAACAAAGGATTTATTTGTACATTGTGTCTACCAGGCTTTTGCAAGAGAAGGTGCCAAAGTCATAGCCACAGATATCAATGAGTCCAAACTTCAGGAACTGGGAAAGTACCCTGGTAAGCAACTCAGCGGTTTGAACTTGGGATTCAGAATCTGCAAGGTATTATAAAGCAAGAGTGTTCACATGTTGAAAGAAAATTCCTCAGCTGCTCGGTTCTGCTGGCCTTTTTTAGAGACTTATTCTCTGATATCAAGTCTATATTCTGTGTAGGGTGCCTGGGTGGCTCAGTCAGTTAAGCATCTGGCTCTTGATTTCAGCTCAGGTCATGCTCTCATGATTTGTGAGATGGAGCCCCATGCTGACAGCACAGAACCTGCTTGGGATTCTCTCTCTCCCTTTTTCTCTGCCCCTCCTCTTCTTGCATTCTCCCTCTCTCTTTTTCTCTTGCATTCTCCCTCTCTCTGTTTTCTCTCTCTCAAAATAAACATGTTTTAAAAATCTGTATTCTGTGAACCTACAGACAAAAATCTACATATGTAAATGTATTAACAAAATTTAAGGCGTATCCTTAAAATTTTTTATTTATCCAAAATATTGAAGAATTCAGTACTCAATTACTAAATTACGTGTGAAAATTCAGTAGATGTTAACTTTTTTTTTTTTTTTTTTTTTTTTTAAGTAAGCTCTAGTCCAACAACAAGCTTGAACTCACAATCTAAAGTCAAGAGTCGCATGCCCTACAGACTGAGCCAGCCGGGCACCCCTGTTATGTTAACTTTTGATGATGACTTTCCACTTCTCTGCCTCCCTCTGAGGGAGACGCTGTCCAGTAGAAACATGACATGAGGGGCGCCTGGGTGGCTCAATCAGTTGAGCGTCTGACATCGGCTCAGGTCATGATCTTGTTATTCGTGAGTTTGAGCCCCACATCAGGCTCTGTGCTGACAGCTCGGAGCCTGGAGCCTGCTTCAGATTCTGTGTCTCTCTTTCTGTCTGCCCCTCCCCTGCTCATGCTCTGTCTCTCTGTCTGTCAATAATAAGTAAACGTTAAAAAAAAAAAAAAAAGAAACATGACATGAACCACACGTGCAATTGTAAACTTTTTACTGGCTACATTTAAAAAGTAAAAAGACACACGTGAAATTAATTTTAATAATGTATTTTACTTAATTCAATGTATCTGAAATATTATAATTTTAACATGTGCAATATAAAAAACTACAATGGAAAATTTTACATTTTTTAATACTAAATCTCTGGAATCCATGTGTATTTCACACCGACAGCACATTTCTGTTCAGATTAGCTGCATTTCATGTGCCCGGTAGCCAGCCACCTGTGGCTAGTGGCTACCATATTGGAAACAACTCGGCCTTAAAATCACGTATGACCAGAAACTATAATAGATTAACTTGGTTAGGTGCATATTGCCCCTAACTGTACCACACCAAACCTAACTCCAACATCAAAGGGCTTTGATTGGCGTTACTCAGAAAGCAATCAGGACATAGAACTCATTTTAAAGTTAACTGTTTCAGCAAAATGGAATCGGTGGCATGATCAAACACAGTTTAGTTCCTTGAATTAGTTAACTGAATAAGACTGAGTTGAGTTATCATTTCAACAAGTCTAAAGGAAGCTGCTGTCCTGGAAAAGAAAGAGAAAAAGAAAGTCCTTCTGAAACTCCATTCTAGTCCTCCCTTGCTTTATTTGTAATCCTTCCTTTCTGTATCCAAAAGGGAAGAATAAAGTAATAAACCATATATTTTTTAAATCATAAAAATTATGACTGCCACTTTCATTAGATCATATATTTTTTTTAGTAGCGACTACAAGGTGTCAGTCTGAGACTCCATGCAACTCTCTCATGGTTAGTGTTTCCTCCCTCCCTCTGGCCTCTCATTTCTTCTTGGAATTTAGTCCAGAAATAAGTGATGGTACCTGTGACCAACAAAGTCATTTCTAGTCGATAATAGAATTGACATAAAGGTCAAGTACACAAATAGAAGCGATGTCTTATCCCACTGCGCCTGCCCTTCCTCCTCAGACAGAATTCAGCATCACTGTAGCAGTGATTCAACCTCTGGGTTGAAAGAAGGGCCTAGGGGCGCCTGGGTGGCTTAGTCGGTTAAGCATCCGACTTTCGCTTAGGTCATGATCTCGCGGTTCGTGGGTTCGAGCCCCGCGTCGGGCTCTGTGCTGACTGCCAGCTCGGAGCCTGGAGCCCGTTTCAGAGTCTGTGACTCCCTCTCTCTCTGACCCTCCCTGCTCACGCTGTCTCTCTCTCTCTCTCTCCTAGAAATAAATAAAAACATTAAAAAAAAAAAAAAAGAAAGAAAGAAGGGACTAGAATGAGCCCACTTGCAGCTATTGCTGCTGGTTTACTGAGAAGCAGCTCATATAGAGGTACCTGGCTGCCTCAGTCGGTAGAGCCTCTGACTCTTGATCTCAGGTCGTAAGTTCAAGCCCCAGGTTGGTTGTGGAGTCTACTTAAAAGAAAAGAAAAAAGATGGAGAGGACTTTAAGATTTTTACCAATGAGATTCTCAAGATTGATAAGACCCTACTAATGACTGACAATCCTGTGAAGCCTAACTGCACAAATACTGCAGTCTTCACACTTCAGAATAGCTAAAGCTCCAAGGTTAAATATTTTTATGAGTAAAGATAGTGTGCCTTGCTTTATTTTTCAGGTATTCAAATTCGGGGCCTTGATGTCACGAAGAAGAAACAAATTGATCAGTTTGCCAATGAAATTGAGAGACTTGATGTTCTCTTTAATGTTGCTGGGTAATTCATACTTTTTTATTTCACTCTCCCTACAGAAAGCTTTCTATGACTTTTATTTAAAATTTTTGAAAAGGGGCACTTGGGTGGCTCAGTCAGTTAAGCATCCGACTCTTGATTTCCGCTCAGGTCATGACTCTACAGTTTGTGAGACTGAGCCCAGTGTCAGGCTCTGGGCTGACATTTCAGAGCCTGCTTGAGATTCTCCCTCTCTCTCTGCCCCCCTCTGGCATGTGCTCTCTCTCACTCTCTCAAAATGAATAAATGAACTTTTTTAAAAATTTTGGTAATAAAGCAAAATTATCCATCATGAACCATAATATATTTCTTAGAAAATACAGCTAGATTTTAGACACAAACTTTATTCCAAGTAAGATTCAGCAAGTAAGACAGCCATGGAAGTGAGCTCAGGCTCTGTGCTGATAGTGTGGAGCCTGCTTGAGATTCTCTCTCTCCCTCTCGGTCACTCCCTGCTTGCATGCACATGCACTCTCTCTCTCTTTCTGTCTCAAAATAAATAAACAAACTTAAGGGGAAAAAAAGAGAAGTGGACATGGACTTGAGTCCTAAGGAAAATGACAGTCTACTCAAGAGAACTGGTATTAATCCAAACCGGTTAAATTTCTTAAGGCTGGTAACAGGCTCACGCTAATGGACTAACTGTGAATGCTCCAGTAAGACTTATAAAATAAAATGAAAAGCCATTTCCCAGTAGGTGTCTTTAAAGCAAAGTGTATTTACCAGAAACAAAGTGTATTTCCGTTTATTGAAATGCAGGTGTTCCCAATTTTTTGCCAAGACATTCTAGCAAGTCCTTTACAGATCCCAAGCTCAGTGTTTCTTACTGGGACACTGAATCCCACCCACCAAAAGAAGTTTCCATGTTGCATCTCTGTATAGAGCACAAAGAGAATGGCTTAACTGAACTTACTCAGTGGTACCAAACGCGCTGAACCCTGTATGAATGAGGAGAGGCTGGAACATGGAGGGCAGCTCGTGCCAGTACTTTCCCTGCTCAGGCGTGACAGTAGAAATCAGTACAGCCGACGTTTACACAGGAACTAAGTGACATTCCACTTTCCTTATGTACTGTTCTATTTGTACTGCCGCATTGATGGAAAAATTCCAGAGCCTTCTAAGACATTTTTGTTCTTCTTCCTAATCATTGTTTCCTGACCAAAAAAACAACAACAACAACAAAAAACCTCTTTCTATATTTCTATAGTTTGTCAGATGTTACACTGTGTAAATATTAAAGCAACAATTTATGACAGTCTATTACATAAATAAACTGCTCATCCCTATATGAGAATATACTCAGAGCCATGACAAAAAATCAGTTAGCAGAACTGGTTTTTGAATATCTACATATTAAATTCTCAGCAAGATAAGGGATACAGAAATAGAGCGTGTGGTTCCTGCTGTCATACAATGGATGAGCAGGTTATTTAAGAGTGTAACTTGAGGGAGGCCTGGGTGGCTTAGTCAATTAAGCATCTGACTTCGGTTCAAGTCAAGATCTCACAGCTCATGAGTTCAAGCCCTGTGCTAACAGCTCAGAGCCTGGAACCTGCTTTGGATTCTCTGTCTCCCTCTCTCTGTCCCTCCTCTGCTTGCACTTTGTCCCTCTCTCTCTCTCTCTCTCAAAAATAAATAAACAGTAAAAATTTTTTTAAAAGTGTGACCTGAAAAGGAGTGAAGGTTGCTTAAAGAGTTTTGTTCTGCTTTGTTTACTCAGTACTTTAGAACCATATGATAGCAATGTTGCTTTGCTACCCTGAGATGTTGAGACCATGGTTTTCCTTTGCAATTTGATTTCCCTTCGAAAATGCTAAATCTCTGCCACCTGGGGGCACTGTTGCTTATGAAATAGGAGGGCAGGTATCGTGTTCTCATTTGTTTTTGATATTGTTTTTGATATTTCCTGTGCAGTTGCCATAGAGCTTTTTCTTTCTTTCTTCTTCTTCTTCTTCTTAAATAGTTTATTGGCTTATATATAATACCCAGTGCTCATCCCAACAAGTGCCCTTCCCCATTCCCATCACCCCCCCTTCCCCTCACCCCAATTCCCATCAGCCCTCAGTTTGTTCTCAGCATTCAAGAGTCGCCATAGAGCTTCTTAGGTTTGGTGGCCCCAAGCCTTGCCTTTCTCTTCAAAAGAAGGATGTTGTTTTCAAATAAATGTACTTAGCTAAGTTAAGCTGTTGGATACTTACTAAGTGATACTACGAATTGCTAAACTCTTCATAAGGTCTAAGTCAGTAAATGATGATATAAAATGATAAGGCAATGCAATAGAAATCTTAAATGATCATTTCTCCCCACTGATTAATCCCTCTTCCAGTTTTGTCCATCATGGAACCATCCTGGACTGTGAGGAGAAGGACTGGGACTTCTCGATGAATCTCAATGTCCGCAGCATGTACTTGATGATCAAGGCATTTCTTCCTAAAGTAAGGACCACCGTCACTACGATAAGTAGGCCTCCACACTGGGCATCCAGAAAGGGTCCTCACCTTTCTGCACTGAAGAGTGACAGTAGCTAACACAATGACTAACCTGTACTGAACATTCATATTAAGACACTTAATACAAACTCCCTTAACCTTCTAGTTAAGAAGTATTCAAGAAATATTAAGCACTTTCTTTATGCAAGTCTCCATTCTAGGTGCAGAAGACACATCAGGAAACAAAGTCCCTTCTAAAAGAGAGATCCTATTTTGGGGAGACAGGATAACATATAATTAAATAAATATATAACTTGGGGAGTGGTTAGAAGTACTATGAAGAAGGGGCACCTGGGAAGCTCAGTTGGTTAAGTGCCAAAGTCTTGATTTCAGCTCAGATCGTGATTGAGTTATATGAGGAAGAGGGTCAGAGGGAGGGAGAGCAAGGAGGCGTGTGGGACCAGAAGAATGCGATGAGGTAGGTACTACTTTGTCCATCCATTGTACAGAGGATAAAACTGGGAAGTGAGGTAACTTGCCCAAGGTCATATAACTAGCAACTGGTTAGAGCCAGGATTTGAACCCTAGAGAGAATGGGCCCCTTCCTGAATTTCATTGTCTAGCCACGTGCTCTCAGATGGATGTACCTCATTGCTTTTCTGTCCCTTGAGTGTTCTTCTTGCACTCCTGTTTTTAGCTAAGCCACAGAGGAACCAGAGAGGTGAGAGACAGTGTGTGCTAAAGAGAGAGCATTCCTCCGAGTCGGCTACCCTTGAATTCCACAGCTTTTACACAACTCATTAATGCTTTTCATTTTGTTTTACAAGCATGACATGCCTTTTGATGCAAAGTATACACTAGGTGTTCTCAGGGAGGGGAGTGTAAATATTGAAAACCACTGGGTTCAAATGAACTTGTAAGCCAGTAATGAGCAGATGGCACAAGCTCAGACAATGAAAGGGATTGACTGCATACAGAACCAGCTCAGTCCAAGGTTGTAAATGGAACCCTAGTGAAATGCAGAGGAGCCATTCTTCTCTTCCATCTCAGCTGCATTAGATGGCAGAAATACTGAATGCTGCCAACCCAGTGCAGGAGAAGAGCTTTTTAAAGGTAAGGCAGGGCTGATGCTTTACTCTGAACATTCAACTTAATGTCAGAAAAGATCCTGGGTCACTTAGGCCCCTCAGTCAGTTGAGTGTCCGACTTCGGCTCAGGTTATGAACTAACAGTTCTTGGGTTCGAGCCCCATGTCTTGCTCTGTGCTGATAGCTCAGAGCCTGGAGCCTGCTTTGGATTCTGTGTCTCCCTCTTTCTCTATCCTTCCCCCAGTCACGCTCTGTCTCTCTCAAAAATAAATAATAAACATTTTTTAAAAAAGAAAAAAATGAAGAAGAAGGATCCAGATGAATTGTGAAAGGAAAACTAGAAAAACTGACTTAGTAACAAAGGAATTTGTTTCCATCTAATCTACTTGTTTAATGCCTAGAAAGGATCTCCTAGTGGGTCCATGGAATATGGAACTAGCAATTTGTTTTTCAAATGTTTGTTTATTTTCGAGAGAGAAAAAGGGGTTTGGGAGGGGCAGAGAGAGGGAGACAGAGGATCTGAAGTCATCTGCTGATAGCAGATAGCCCGACATGAACCTCGAACCCACAAACTGTAAGATCACCTCCCAAGCCAAAGTCAGATGCTTAGCCAACTGAGCCACTCAGGTGCCCCTAGCAAATTTATTTTTAATATAAATTTCATTTTTTTGATTATTTGGAGTTTATGACAATCTGTTATTTGGTAACTTGGATTATTTTTTGAAGCCTGGTTCTTAACCTAGGATTGGGAGAGAAACAGAGGCTGCGGTAAAAGGAGAAAACTTATCTCATAGTGGGTAAGACTATCACACGTGCAAAACCAGCCTACTTCATGTCTGCAGTGCTTGACAAATACGAGTGAAGGGAGCAGGCGTGGGGTATGGTCCAGCGGAACTGAAATTTAAACTTGTCAGTAGTGTTAACTTTTGAAATAGCAAACACTAACTTGCAAATTAGTGCGTTTGCCTATAATTTAAAACATCTTAACAATAACTCATATGAGCCAGTAATACTCATTTGTAAAAAAAAAAAAAAAAAAAAAAAACTCCAAGAGATTGGGATTTATTGACTGAGATGAGCAATCAGAAGAAGTCAGTGCCACTTATTAAAGTGACAGTAACCAACCTGACCCTGGATTTCCAACTTGCGTTACAGCCTGAACTCTCCCCCTACTTCACCATGTGCCGTGGGAAATGGCACTTGCACTTTGTTCTATGTAAAATGAGGATGAGATGAAGTACCTGGGTGGCCCAGTCAGTTAGGTGTCCAACACTTGGTTTCATGTCAGGTCATGATCTCATGGTTCACAAGATGGAGCCTCGATGTGGGGCTCTGACATTATGGAGCCTGCTTAGGATTCTCTCTCTCTGTCTCTTTCTTTCTGCCCCTCCCCTGCTTGTGCTCTTTCTCTGTCTCAAAATAAATAAACTAACTTTAAAAAAACAAAATGAGGGCGAGATATTACACGATTCCTTTCAGCCCTAATTGTCTGGGATCTTCTGGGTTCATTAACAATGACGCACATATAACAGGTTAGAACTTTCCAGGGGAAGTCAGGATTTGGAGTCTAAGCAGATCTGAAAAGTCAGGTGGTCAAAACATAGGAACACTTGTAGGAAATTTTTGATCATGGTTAGACACAGAAAATCGTTCCAAAACTGGAATATAAGTCAAAAGGCAAAGAACAAAATTACAGAGAGGGAAGGAGGCAAACCATGAGAGACCCTTAAATACTGAGAACAAACTGAGGGTTGATGGAGGGTGGGGAAGAGGGGATAGTGGATGATGGGCATCGAGGAGGGCACTTGTTGGGATGAGCACTGGGTGTTGTACGGAAACCAATTTGACAATAAATTATATAAAAAAAGATTTTTTTAAAAAGGCAAAGAACAAGCTGAAAATACTATAAGAAGAGGTCAGTGCAAAATCCAAAGTCAGGCAAGTCTCTGATATGTGGAGGTTTTTCCCCTTTGCCATATTTTAGAAGATTCTCTAGTACATAGAGATACTCTAGCAAGTATTTGTTGAATGAATACATGAATCTAGGCTGTCAGTCCAGGTAGAGGCCAGACACGGAATCCTCAAAGACCCAAGAAACCAAGGTGAGCCAGGTTTAGGAGCTGAGCTCAGTGGGGACAGAAAAGCTAGGTCAGGGTAAGACAACTAGATTGACAGCTGGAGGGAATTTCCAGAGCTCTTTCTAGCCCATGTCTGAGCTTCTGGGAGGTGAGTCCTATGTAGAATTACTATATACTGGAGACTTCACTGTATAATACCAAGTCATATTTGCCAGAGGGGGATGTTACATGGGGAGCCAAGAAGAGCATGCACACTCTACCAGCAAGTGCTGAGCCGGCAATGAGAAAACAGCATGGAAGGGTGCTGAGCATGGACTGAGGGCTCTAGATCCAGCAGACTGGCCTGCCTGAATGGATAGCACAAGTGTTAAGGGGCAGCACTAGCATCTCCTAGGTGACTGAACTCCAAAGTTTTGCCTGAGGAATTACAGTATTTCCAATGCTTGGACACTGAATGTACTTAATAGCCCATCTTTATATACTCTATTAGAATATATGTATTCTACAGGCATGAAAATGAATTATATGTGACAATGATAGATCAAGAAAACTGGAAAAAAGTAAAAAAATAAGTAAAAATGGATCATTTGCTAAACCGGATAAGAAAAAATGTTAAAGCTTCGTTTCCAACACCATTATACTTTACCAATCTTCCTGGTCGTTTTTGTGAGGACCCCATCTCATTATGATCCTCTTTATCGCATAGACAAATGAGTAGGGTTAAATATTTTCACCGCTACCATTATCCTTGGCTAGATTGGGTCACCTCAGCCTCCCTCTGTACCCTTTAATCCATCCAACACAATGCCTTAGGTTGTTATAGATTCTCTGCTCTTGCATACAAATAGTAACTAAGTATCAGAACACAAAGTCAGGAGAATACCACGGGGAGATCTGTCATCTTCGCAGCGCCCTCACCCCCCGACCATCCAGTCACTCCCCTCCATCCCGACAGCTCTCTGTCTGAAAGCTGCTGGAGAAGCTCACCCCAGCAGAAGCAACTTCTCTTTCTACACTGACTGCTGAGATTCTTCCTTTTAAGAAACTCGTTCTCCGCTTGACTTTCATGGCACAGGATATCCTGCTTTTCCTTCCTCTGTTCTCGGGTTCTTCCTCTGTTCTCTTCCACGTCCTCTCAGCAGTTGTTTTAACTCCTCACCACTCTCTGTGTCCACCATCCCTCCCCCCACCTTGTTCTTTACAGCCATCCTCCCAGCTTCTGATTTCAATGGGAAGGTAGAGCCCATAGAGTAGGAATTCTCTCCACCTCTTGCTTCCTCATGGGTACCCACGCCCTTGCACATACCTACATGCCCTTGAAAGCACACATATGTATTATACTTAAGTAGAAGTGTATTTGAAAACATTTTTATTTTATAGCAGCTTTTTCATTCATATATTCCTTTACACCAGGGGCAGGGCCCAGCAAGCAGCACTTTAAAGTAGCCCCTCAAGAGATTTTGATTCATCACAGTGTTTTGACCACCTACTGTGTGCCCTGTCTAGGAGGACAAAACAGCCCCAGACCCTCCTCAGACCTTCACCCTTGGAGTGGGGGAATTCTGAGGGAGGTGTTCTTAGAAAACACGGCTCGCCCTGAGGGAGGCAGGCCTCACTGCGTGTAAGCACTTACCATGTCCTGCCCTTACCACCTCACTGTCTCCCGCTGTAACTCATAGACATTTCTGCATCTCAGCTTTTATTAGTCCTTTTGAAATCACTGTATCAGCTTCCAGTGTTCTCCTCTATGTCGTGCCACAATAATCTTAGAAGTCCCCAAATCAAAACATGCCACGTCTCTGCATTAAATCCCTCATTGTCACCACCACAATGCCTCCAGGGTTTAGCCCAAGTTCCTAAAAGTAGCCCCTATTGGCCTCTGCAGCCTCATACCTCCCACTCTGGACATTCCAGCCAGACCCATCCCTTCCTCCCAGCTCTGTGCTAGCGCCTTTATACATGTGGTCCTCACTCCTTAAGACACCTTTCTCTTTTATTTTTCTAACTAACACTCCAGTGTTCAAATATCAGCCAGCCGCTTTCCTCCTCAGGAGCTCTCCTCTGAGTGTCCCACAGCCTAGTTTGGTCCCTTCCCACCACCCGACCCCTCTCTCTGGAGGTCTCCACTGTCTCTGGATGCTGGTTATGTCAGCCCGGCCAGGCCCCTGGCAGCTCTGCATAGGCAGAGAGGTGTCATTTATCTCCAAATCTCCTGGACCTAGCACTCTATCTGAACACAGTAGGTGTTCAACAAATATAGGTTGAATAAAGTAAGAGTTTTCCAACATTGGGAATACAAAGTAACAATGTTCATTAACCTTCCATTTAGCTCAGAGTTCCTCCTTGATCTTGCTGATGCTCTTGTGCCAAAGGAAGGCAGTAATCCCCCTGGGAAATGCTCTTGCCAGTGAGTGCGTCAGCATGCCATCAACTCCTAGCAGTGACTGGGTGAGGGTGTAGAGAAGCTTAACGATGCTTAATGTTAATAGCTAGGAAGATGGTTCTGCAAACCATAAGTAAATGCAAATCTTTTAAAGAGATATTATTTTTGTCTTGCAGAGTGGCAATTTTTAAAAGTTTTTGTTTTGGCAGATGCTTGCACAGAAATCTGGCAACATTATCAACATGTCCTCTGTGGCTTCCAGCCTCAAAGGTAGGTCCGTCTTCTGGGAATCACGATGCACATACTCCCAAAACTTTATGAGCTGTGGGTTTTTCGAACAAACACAGCAGGGATTATAAAACCCACATATAATTTCAATACCACTTTTTTAAAAATTGTTATTAAGTTCCTTAATATCAGCCCTTTCTGCCTCAGTGTAAACCAGTTGTAAAAAATAAGTTTTGTTTCATTTGCCCTTCCTCTGATCACTTCCAATGGATATGGAAATGGAAATCAAGTTGGAATAAGGAAATATTTATCCATCTAACTAACCAAAAAAGATGTATTGAACACTACACATCCCTGCCCAAAACAACTCACAATCCAAAAGGAAGAGAGTCAGGCAGATGCAGGTCTTCTATAGTGTGGTAAAATGATAACACAGGTTTGTGCAAAGTGCTGGCATGATATGGTGGAGGGTAATAATTTGGGAAGTGCTTCACAAAGTCAGTGGATCTGGGCCCTACACAAGAGGTCAAGTTGAAGAGCCAGGATCACAGTGCCATCTGGAATAATGTCAAATGTCACAGTGTGGCAGATAGATTTGCAAGTTTAAAATGAAATCACTACTGCTGAGATAACATTCCTTCTCTTCGCAAGAACACATAGTGAGCCTGCAAGAGAGGAAGGCAGAGAAATGCCTCAGACCCTTGATTGTTTTGGTTTGGTTTTTGTTTTGTTGTTCTTTACCCTGACTGTCTTTTGAAATCTACCAACTAATGATGAAAACCTAAGGCTATTGCCATCACCTATGTGCAGCATCTCAACACCTAGGTCTCAACTGAGTTGTGCCAATAATGATCTTATTTTCCCAACTAGCCCCATGAAGGAAGAAAACCTGATATCAAATTTTATTATTTTTTTAAGTGTATTTATTTATTTTTAGAGACAGAGAGAGGGTGAGGGGCAGAGAGAGGGAGAGAAAAAAAATCCCAAGGTGACAGCAAAGAGACCAAAATGGGGCTTGAACTCACGAACCTAAATAAGAGTCGGACACTTAACCAACTGAGCCAGCCAGGCGCCCCCTGAATCAAATTGTAAAAAGGATGGCATGGGAGGAAGTAGGACAGTTATTTGTGTTCCCTTTCTAATGGAGACTTTTTTGTTCCTTCAATGGTTGAACCTTCCTTTCATCCTCAGGGGTTGTGAACAGATGCGTGTACAGTACAACCAAGGCAGCCGTGATTGGCCTCACAAAGTCCGTGGCTGCAGACTTCATCCAGCAGGGCATCAGGTGCAACTGTGTGTGTCCAGGTGAGGTAGGCATGAAGGGCTGTGCACTTGTCCTTCCTGACACCATGGCTGGCACTGTGAAACATACGCACAGAAGCTTGTTTACCACATGCTGTACTGTGTCCTGTCATTGGGAAAAGCTCAAATGAAAAAGGGTCTAGGCTCACTAAGCTAACAGTCCCAATAGTAGGTTGGCAATGAGATTCTTAGTCATTAGGAATGAACCACAGATGGAAAGGATTTAAGTGGTATTCACATGTGTAGAACAACTCCAAATCTCATGGCCAAGACACATCATTGGCCAGAGCTTGGTGCTTTGGAAGCAGACCAGAGATGACCTTGCCAGGCAAAAGATGAAAAGTAGACCGTGTTCACAGAACCACAGGAAGAAAGTAAGAGGAGCCTCCCCGAACACAGAGAGCTACCAAGTCTTGTAAATCGCCTGGGCTGATAACCAAAAAGGAGGGATTAAAACCTTCCTTTACGCTACAAAAAGGGGTCAGCAAACATTGACCTGCAGGTGGAATCTGGCCCACCACCTGTTTAGTAAATACAGTCTTACTATAACACACCCACACACAGGTTGCGCATGTACGGCTACAGGCAGATTGAGTAGTTGTACCAGACCAAAAGGTTCTCAAAACTAATATTTCCTTTCTGGCTCTTTACCAGAATGCATGCTGACCTCTCATATAAAGGAAACAAGAAGAGCAGAACGTCTTATTAGTAGAAAGGACATTCAATCTGTCCAAACAAAACCATTCTATAATTTATTTTGTAGGAATAACTTCTCATTTTCTTAAGAATTATGGGTATGTCTGGGGCGCCTGGGTGGCTCAGTTTGTTAAGCGTCTGACTTGAGCTCAGGTCATGATCTCAGTTCGAGCCCCACATCTGGCTGTGCGGACAGCTAGCTCAGAGCCTAGAGCCTGCTCTGGATTCTGTCTGTGTCTCTTTCTCTTCTCCCCCACTCATGCCCTGTCTTTCTGTGCCTCTCAAAAATAAATAAATGTTAAAAAAAAACAAAACTTTTAACTGCTTCAAAGTGAAGAGACAGCCCAGAGTATGTGAGAAAATATTTGTAAATCCTGAATATATAGAGAGGACAATTACAACTCAACAACATAAAAACCCCAATTGAAAAATGGGAATCATGGGTTGCCTGGCTAACTNGATTCTGTCTGTGTCTCTTTCTCTTCTCCCCCACTCATGCCCTGTCTTTCTGTGCCTCTCAAAAATAAATAAAAAAAAAAAAAAAAAAAAAAAAAAAAAAAAAAAAAAAAAAAAAAAAAAAAAAAAAAAAAAAAAAAAAAGAATTATGGGTATGTCTATTAAATAGATATGCCCTTTTACCTGGTTCCACTGACCCAGAATGAATACAGGTTGCCTAAGAAGAATTATTAATTTCTTCTCTGGAAAGGAATTAAATATCACATATCCAGAATCAAGCTTGTTCTCTGTCGTTCACAACTGGTCCTGGGGGGCTGGGGAGAAGCAGCATTTCACAGTTACGTATGGAACTTTTCAAAACGTGAAGTGCACGCCAGAACTTGGGGAAAGAGTTGATGGGAAAAATTGTGTGTAGTTTGGAAAGTTCCACATGAGATTTTTATATAATCCACCATGGCCTCCCCTCAGATTAAAAGCCACTGACTTAGTAATTTAGAAGAGGAATGTGAAATACCTTTCAAGCCGCAGAATTCCCATGATTGAGGTGTTCTCTTTAATTTTTCTTGGATTAGAAAGGTAAACATAGGTCACACTAAGAAAAAAGAGGATACGGAAGAGTTTCACTGGGTTTTAACATACACACTGGTGATACTTGACTCTAGCTATTTTTAGTATCATTTACCCAGTGGAATAAATGGGAAAATGGTTTGGAAAATGTGGTTGTTTTAGCAGCTGGACTTTTCAGAAGTTTGGAAAATATATTATCAAACTGTGTGGGACAAGGAACGAGTTGTGACTCATGAGCCAGTCAGGGAAGAAAACCTGACAAGGAGTGAGTGAGTGTGTCTGGGATGGCGCTGCTGGTGGTATAGTCACACTCTTCAACACCAGGCTTGTGTAGACTATGGCATGCTGTGTGGTCCATGCCATGAACACAGTAGAGTTGGGACAATGGAATTAAGTAGAAGGCATAGGCTTGCTCTATAGTTTCATTAATAGCCATTAATACCAGCCGTATGAAAGAGATGATGCTCACTTGCCTGAGTGGTAGGAAGCTGTCAAAGTTGTATTTTAAAACTGGATTTTGAGGCCATTGTTCAAGGGAAGCTTAAGGTGTCCTGAGCATACTGTTGGTAGGATTTGGGACTATAAGGGGACTATGGATGAGGGAAGTGAAGAAAATATTATCAGAAGATGGGTATAAAGGAAGCTTTGTTACTTGGTTTCAGAAAGTTTATCCACACTATTGTCTGCAGCAGTGTGGAAGGTAGAAAATATTCCTAATGGATCAGGTGACCATTTCTAGTAAAGACAGTTTCTACTCTGAGTGTCAAAAGTGCTTCCCACTTACGATGAAATATGAGAGGAGACAGGTAAGCTAAAGAAAGGGTATAAACACCAAGGAGCTAGAACTTTCTGATTTTGAAGATTTCCACCCTCTCCAGAGAAATGGCAAGTGATGGTAAATTAAGAAATGGTTGGGGCTCCTGGCTGGCTCAGTCAGTAGAGCATGTAACTCTTGATCCTGGGGTTGTGAGTTCAAGTTTCAAGTTGGGTGCAATTACTTAAAAAAATAAAATGTTTACAAAGAAAAAAAATAAAAGAAGTTATTTCCTAGTAAACATCATCCCTATGGCACTCTTAGGAGCAGAGGGTATGACTTTAAAATCACTTATGACCTTAGAAATACCATGTGGTTGCCCAGAGTACTGTCAGCAACCACCCCCCACCCCCTAAAGGCCCTCTAAAGAGAATTTACAGATTACAAAAATTAACAAAAAGTCTGGGAAAGTCTCTCTGTAGGAGCTTGAACCAAGTGGTATTTTAAAATGTTTAGTGTCATTCTTACTTTTTTTAAAGTGAAATAATTCCAAATTATATTTCTTATGAGAAACATGAAACAGTGGTGAAAAATAGGAATTTGAAACCAATGAAAATAGGCAAGATAACGAAGAAAATGTTGGGCCATCTAATTACAGAGGACCATGACAGGCATCACACTGTCTCTGAGAATCCCCAGAGTGAACCTGACAGCAAAGAATGGTTTTGAGATCATCAAGGCAACTGGGTTCTTTCACTGGTGAAGTACTTATATGGTTGTATTTACATTCCAGGGTTGTTTTGAGGAGTAACTGAGATAATATACGTAAAAATGCTTAAAATCCATAAAGTGTCATGCAGTATAATGTGACTAAAGTATATCTTGGGGATGCAGGGTGACTCACCCAGTGTCCTTGCCTAGTGTCACAAACAATTATGGCCTGTGGTGTTTGGGTTTTTTTTTAATGTTTATTCATTTATTTTGAGAGAGAGAGATGGAGGGATAGAGGGAACAACGGTGGGAGGGAAAGGCAGAGAGAGAGAGGAGAGAGAATCCCAACCAGGCTCTGTGTTACCAGCACAGAGCCCAGTGTGGGCCTCAGTCTCACAACTATGAGATCATGACCTGAGCTGAAATCAAAAGCCGGACACTTAAACAACTGAGCCACCCAGGCGCCCTTATGGTCTATGTTTTTAAAAATCCTAAAAATGGAGGTAAAATTATCATTCTAAGTTATGGGGAAGGATTTCGTTAACTGCTGTATCATATGGAAAGGAAGTTTAAAGTTTGTCAATTTCTTTTTCACTTTGAGTAATTAACCAAGCTGAATATTTTCATTTAGGAACGGTTGATACCCCATCTCTGCAAGAAAGAATACAAGCCAGACCAAATCCCGAAGAGGTATATCTACTATTTTAAATGTGTTTAAATATTCTGGTTGGAAAATGTCCTCTTCCTTACCTAGAGTAGATAAATAGAGACGGATAGAAGGGCAGCCTCCAGGAGCTAGGGGAGGAGAGAACAGGGAGTTAGAGGATAACAGGTATAGAGTTTCAGTCTTGCAAGATGAAGAGAGCTCTAGAGATCTGTTGCACAATAATGTGAATGTACTTAACACTACCAAACTATACACTTAGAAATGGTTAAGATAATAAATAACATATTATGTATATTTTACCACAATTTAAAAAAAAATTTTTAAAGCCTTCCTCTTTAATATTTACTTTCTGATCTGACACAGTATCTACAGGTTTTAGTATAGACACAGTGTCTATAGGTTTTACTAGTTTGAGTAGCTTGGAAGTCACTCTAGTCCACAGTTAATGATATTCTCATGTTATCATGTATTATACATGAGTAATCAAGGCAGCAAGCCAATGGTACCTCTATAGATTCCTCTTGCCTTGGACCTCCTGAAGGAGTTGCTGGTGAATTCAGATTTCACCTCACAACACTGATATCTGGTTTGGTTTCTGATCTCAGGCACTAAGCTCTTTCCTGAAGAGACAGAAGACTGGAAGATTTGCAACCGCAGAAGAAGTAGCCCTGCTCTGTGTGTATTTGGCTTCTGATGAAGTAAGCACTATTCTTCCCAGGGAGTTCATTATTCTTCATTTGGCCATGATTTGCTTATCAAAATAATGTCATTTTAGAGAGTTGCAACGTATATATGATAAGAGGTTGCAATTACAAGATAGGGATAAATTCTAATTTAATTTGCTCAAAGAAAGGCCACTTTGATCTGAGCCACCAACTCTTCCTCATTCAACTCTGCGTGTCACTAAATCTTGTAGCAAATGATATGGAGGATTGAAAAAATTAAATTGCTCAATTGTATGAGAGAGAATTATTTTCAAAAATTATAATTGGGGAAAATCTAATTAAATATAAGTTGAGCAATTGAACCTCCAAAATTATGAGAGCTTCAGGTGAAAAGGGGAGAGGGCTAACCAGATTTAGTTGTGTCTAGAATACACAGAATTGGCATCTGGTGGTTTTAGTTTTACTGGTGACTCATTTAGGAGAATCTCACTGGCTATTTTCTGTGAGTTCTTGTTTGTTATCACATATAGAAATTCCTAATTCTATCTCTTTCCATTTTGTACCTATTTACTAATCAGTTTCTTCCTTAATGGCTATTGCACATTCTTAAATGGCATACAACTAGGAGAGTAGAAATTACATTTATAAGGTAAAAAGCACAGAAACACCCCCCTGTTTGGTGTATGTGAATATTACATGGCCAGGGAACTGCAGCATTTGAGATGAGAGGAAGACCGGGAGTAGGCAGGACTGAGGAGGTGTGTTACTGATCTGTTAGCTCTTCCTTACAGTAACTTGCATGCCAGCTACTTGGTGAATGTAACACATAGTGGTTGAAATGTTCTCATGACCAAAGTTACACTTCTCAGGACTGTTAACAGCAGTTTTTAGTAGCTGGGAAATTGCTAAACAAATTACTACTAATGCAACAAGTTATTGGCCTTTGTTGTTTCTCTGAATCTGTATCTGCAGAAGAGTTCATTTGAATCAGGGGGTACTGCTGATGAGCTAAATTGTCCTTGTTTAGCCAGAGCTTAAGTTTACCAAATATTTGGAAATGTTCTGGCTTGAAATGTGCAATAAAAAAATCTTTGGACTTTTAGAGGAGCCCCAAGGTGTCCATATGCCTAGCAGAAAGCTTGCTTTTTAAAAAAACCTTTGGGGAGTTGGTGATAGTTTATCTACAGTATGTGATCAGTTTTCATAGACTGAACTTTAAAAATGTCTGTACTCATACTGTGATGTCTTTCCTTCCTGTTTCTTCCACTGTGTCAGGCTTCAGATAAATTTAAAAATAATAACACAAATTTAACATCTGTGTTTAAGTTAAAAGATTTTTAAACCTCTACCACAAGGTTTACTTCAGCTTTATTTCTTTGGACAGTGCAAAATTCTGTGCAAAAACAATAGTAATTTTTTAAAAATTCCATTAGTTTTGTACAAATTTGGATATCTGAAACTAGTATAGAATATTTTTTCATATTTAATAGATACAATAATAATTATTATTCATATACATTTTAAAAACACATTTAGTGTGCCTCAGCTTCTGACAATACCTATGTATTTTGCTCAACTAAAAATACAATATCTTCTATAAAAATTCTGTTTGGTAATTAACAAGACCACTTTATGACTAATACACTTGATGATGTTCAAAAGTTTATTAATGGCATAAAACTCAGCTACTTTAGAATAGTTCTGAATTTCAAAATGAAAATGTACTATTTTAGCCTACACTTTATCCTAATTTAGGGAATGGCTGAATATCACTAAACTTAAATTTCTGATTCTGAGACCAAACACCTGTTTAGAATATGACATGTGCTAAAACACTAGCCAGAGGCCAGGTAACTCTAGCTCACAAGAACATGTTAGCAGTTTCAGATCATCCAAAATTTAATTCAGATTTTTCCTAAAATCTGTTTGTTAGGTGAGTTTTCCTGTTACCATGAGGGTACATTGTTTAGCAGTATGAGTCATGGAAAATTTGAAGAAACACAACCTGTGTTAAACCTGGTTAATTGTTCTGTCTCTTGTGTTTATCATTGCAGTCTGCCTACATAACAGGTAATCCTGTCATCATTGATGGAGGCTGGAGCTTGTGATTTTAGAATCTTCTTGCTGAGAAGGCAGGCTCTTCCTGTCCATAGTGAACCCCCGATTAAGAAGAAAACTCACCCATCATGCCTCTCCTGTTAACAGCATATTAATGAAAACAAATAAGTTCTTTTTAATGATGTCATTGTTCACAATGTTCACAATGAGTCAGGTTCTTTAAATATATTAATCTCTTTCTAACCTCTTCTGAAATCATTGTAGGTGGATGACATAAAAGATAATGAACTCACTGCAAATGAAGAGTTTTAAAATAAACCACAGTTTGTAAGCATATAAGATTAAAAGTAAATATGAAAAATGGAAAGTTTTTAAGAAAAAGGTATTTGTATTTTACTTCTATTTCCTAATATTCAAATATTTCATACAATTCTGCATTAGTCTGTACATGGACTCTAATTTTAAATTTTTACACCATCATAAATGAATACAAGGTAGGAAAGAATTTAGCTTCAATAACTTATATTAAATAAGAGTTTAGATTCAGAACTATATTGTTAATCTGTTATATAAAAGACAAATAATCATCAAGTGTTTATTTTTAACAGACGTTATCACCCATAATTAAGTACTATTTTCTTAGGTTAACTAAAAAATCATTATTAAAATAAACAATGATATTGGCACGGGCCTAAGAAACTTACAGTGAACTAGCAGTACTGTCAGTTTGAATGTAGATTTTTTTCACCAAATTCCAGGTTAACAGTAAGAGGACATGAAATTTAGAAACAATCTCTGGATAAATAAATATAAATGACTCATATAACAGGACACAAAATTAAAGAAAATAAAATGTTCAAGAGATGGGTGAAATAGATAAAGAGAATCAAGAAATACAAACTTCCAGTTATAAAATAAATAAGTCACAGAGATGAAAAGTACAGCATAGGGAATACAGTCAATAATATAATAATGTTGTATAGGAACTATACTTAATCATGATGAGCACTGAATAATGTATAGAATTATTGAATGAATTATGTTTTACACCTGAAGTTAATACAACATTGTATGTTAATCATAATTCAATAAAGAAGGGTTAAAAAATTTTTTTTCAAGAAAAAGTTTAAGCTAATTCATGGACTGTAATTATATAAGAGGTTTTTAGGAAAAAGCTTGTTTTCTTTCAGTTTTAAGGTTTTATGTTTGTTTTTTACTTGTTGCTACTTCAAAAGACCAAATGGTATGATGCACATATACTCAATAAATGAGCAGTCATTCTTAGCCTTTCCTCTTAGAACCTTAATTAATTATTAATATTAATTACTATTAACAAGGAAAATTTTGAAATGGACAATGAGAGGATAACATTTTATGTGTGAGGAAAACCAGTATGTGACTGATGAAAAAGAGTTAAAATTGACAGCAAAGGATATTTTGACTAGCGTCCCAAAGAGTCCATTGATAAAGGATTTGTTTTGGGGTTCTGGACCAGGTTTCCACAACTGCATCACAGAAAGCTTGGTTAGTGACCCAAACCAAGTCACTCAATATACCTTAGATTTTAGATTCTCGTTTGTGAAATTAGGGAGTTGGGCCAAATGACTTGGATTTTTTTTTTTGTTCTTTGTTTTTGGTGTATCATATTCAAAATGCTATAACTTCTTATCAAGTGAAGTAATGGAACACTGAAACTTACAAGTACGTTATGAAGTACTTTATGCTGTAAGCAGGTATACATGTATATGTATAGCTATGACAGATGAATTCTAAATTAACAGAGGATGAATTCTGCAAACTGAATTCTAAAATTAACAAATGCTTCTTCAGAGACTTCATTCTCTCCGCTAACTATAAACTACAGAGCATTAAAAACAATAAAAGCACAGGTAAAACCTAACTAAAAAGTTCAATGTTCTCCTCCAAAGTCATGTTAATCAAATTCGGTGATGTGTCAATGAAGATCATATGACTGAAAGAACAGGAAAAATATATTTCATTCCTGTGGTAAGAGGAAAGTGGTACCACTAGAAATTTCGGCAATGCCTTAGGAGAGGAAGAATTTGGTTTAGGAAAATACAGTCACTAATCACTTTAGATGCTCTGAAGAAGGTTACTGTACAGAATGTAGGTTTATCCATCCTACCCACAAAGGAGGCTGAGAGACAAGGTGAGTGGTTTCTATTTGGTGGAGATACTTACTTGACATTGTCCCCCTTGCTTGAAAAGCAGTGATTAAAACTGACCCAAGAAGTGAAAAACATTTCTGAAGGAAATGAAAATTATCCAGAAAGGGACGCGCGCATATACCCACGCTTACTTGGAGCGGGGAAATAAACACACAAGGAAGACACAGAAATGGAAGGGAGTTTAAAAGGAAAAAACAAAACAAAACAAAACAAAACCTGCTGATGGGAAGATTCAAATCTAAATTTGGTAAGAAGGTTTAAATTTGTTAAAGAAGCGATACAACGAGGAAGGACAAGACTTTAATCCCGCCTAACTGACCACCTAAACAAAGGATGCTGTCTTCCCACTGCATCAGAGAAGACACTTGGGAAAGCACAGCTGAAAGGTGGAGTTAAAACCCAAAATGTAGAAGCTGGTTTAGGGAACGTTAAACCTTGTAACTGGCAGTCGGGCCTGCACTTCGGGCTGGCCAAGAGCCAGCGCTGCGCGTCCTCACCAGGATTCTCGGCACCGCCGGGGTCCGCGCTCGCTGGGCGGCCTTTCCAGTGAGTTCCCCTGGGGAGACGCGCTCTTGCTGGCACCGGGAGCGGCCGCGCGGCCGGAACGCACGACTGAAACAGCACAGTGCGAAGCCGAGGTCTCGGGAGGCAGGCCCGTGGTCCTCCGGGCAGCCGCGCCTGGGAAGGCCGCTCGCCGCCAGGCCCCGACCCAGCGGAGGGCCAAGTGGGGCGGCAGCCTGGGGCCGGGCCCCTCCCGGGCTCAACCAGGGTATTACTCAGGCGCCGCGGGGCCAGAGAAGGCGGAGCCTCGGAAATCCTCCGCGCGCCCGGCTCCCGAATAAAAGCGTGTTTCGCAGCCTCCGGCTCCGCCTGGGGCGATGTGCGCGCGAGGCTGGAGCTGGCTACCCTCGCAGGTGATTTAGCCCGTCTCCCACTCTTCCCGCGCTGGACACCGCGAGGTGAGTAGCCCTCAGAGGACACTGAGGGTCCAAGAGCATGTTTTCCTTGTTTGTGTTTTAGTTCTCAAACACCAGCGGCCGTGCTACGTTAGCACCACCGAGGTGCTGAGAACCATCAGATCCTACTGATTGGAGAACACAGTCATATGCCGAAAGAGCACAGTGTCTGTGGCTTTTTTTTTTTTTCTTTTTTTTTACTTACCAGACATCAGCTTGTTATCTCATCCTTGTCATCTCACCGAAGACTTTGGTGATTTGTTGCCCTAAAAGATTAATATCAGAAAGCCACCATTGACTTTAGCCTCCCTTCAAGAAATGGATACCACCAGTGGACAGAGAGAAGGCAGGCACCTTCCATAGCCTGGTTAACCTCTGTTTTCACTGAAAGACGGATACCCTATTCCCCTACTCTAATGGGGCCTCCACCTGTCATTGCTGCTACAAACTACTGTCATGAAATTCTGGCTTACTGTTTCTAAGTTCAGAATGAACATTTAACTTAGCAGATATCTGTATGTCTTCTCTGGGCCAAGTACGTGTGGGGACAGGAAATACAAATATGAACTAAATACAGTTTCTGCCATTCAGTACCTCAAAATTCAGTGGATCAGAATATACTTAACAAGTTACGAAGTAGTGTGATTCGTGCTATCCTAATGACACGAGCAAAGTGATTTACATAATACATTTTCTAGAATGTTAAGATCTTTAGAATTTTAACCCTATTGAGTGAATGTTTGCTTTTTTTTTTTTAAAGAGTTTCTATAAAAGTGGGAAGAAGTCAGTGATACAGGTCTGTCTTGGAGTCTTCTCTAGAAGTTGCTGTGTTGGATATACAAGGTTGGCACTCATCGATCCCCACCTGCTTCTAGCATGCCTTACTGTATAGGAGAAACTGGAGAGCTAAAAACACTTCTTTAGACTCCATTCCAGCCAGAGTTCTAGATGTAACATTAGGGTCTGGCAAGTAGATGAACTTGTCTGCGATTTCGAAGGCAGAGGTGAGGCAGAGGCCATCTCCCTGCTATTTTTGGCTGTTTTTTCTTGGCAAGGAAGGTCCAGGAGTCCTAGTCCCCAGAACTGTGGGTGTGGGGAGAGACTTACAACAGTGGTGACAGCCAGACTCAGTGTAGTCATATTGAATCGCCAGCTCTGTGGCTATCAAGAAGCAGTTGAGGGAAGTGGTGAACATAGTCTGTGTTCCCTGCCCAGGCAGCTTCCAGATCCCAGCTTCTTGGAATCATAGCTACAATGACATTCTTGAACTCCATAGTCCTTGTGGGGCCTTCTGATTGTAGCAAGAATAGTACATTCCTCGTGGTTCATTTAGTACTCTTCTAGAAGTCATTCGTGGAGGCCCAGCCTAGAACCTGCTCTTCTAGCCTTTAACAATTCACTTAATTCCCTGCATAAAACCTCTTCCTGCTTAAAATACATGAAGTGGTTTAGATTTTCTGCACTGACTGATTAATATGTTTGCTACGTGACCTCTAAGGGTCACATAAACCTAATCTCTTTCATTTCTTTTTATTTATTTATTTACTTATTTATTTATTTGAGAGAGTGAAAGAGAGCATATGTGTGAGCAGGGGAGAGGGGTAGCGGGAGAGAGAGAATCTTAAGCAGGCTCCATACTCAGTGTGGAGCCTGACACAGGTCTTGATCCCATGACCCTGGGATCATGACCTCAGCCAAAATTAAGAGTTGGTCACTCCATGGACTGAGCCACCCAGGCTCCCCTAATCTCTTCCATTTCTTTAGAAGGGAAATGAAACCATGAGATTAGATTCAGGGGCTTGCAATGATGTGAATGCCTTCAGTTGGTCTCTGCCTTCGGCAGTTCCCATGACTAGCAGTTATAACAGATAAACTCCAAAATCTCAGTACCTTAACACAGTAGAAGCTTATTTCTACTCAGGTGAAGTCCAATCAGGTGTTCAGTTGATGGTATTCTATTCAGTGTTTGAGGAAGCCAAACTCTTTTTAGATTATGGCTTTGTCATCCCCTAAGACCTTAAAAGTTCTTAGTTTCCAGACGATGGACAGGAAAAGAGAGGGTATGTTGTGGATTGCATGGAAGTTTCTTACAGGTAAAAAATGGAAGTAGCAGACATGAATTATGCCCACATCCCATTGGCCACACCTCAGTGACTTGCCGCACTGACATGTAAGGGAGAATGGGAAACGTCTATTATCTGTGTGCCCAACCTGCACAAGAAACTGGTTTGATGAACATACATCAGTCTCCTTCCCTCCCTAAACAACAGACTGCATCTCAGTGATCTTTGTATCTCTTGTGCTTTACAAACCACAGAAAATCAGTAAAAGTCTGATGAACTTCGCCAATTGTAAATGGATAGAGTTGCTATCTCATGTGCCTAATATCAAAACTTATCACCCTTTATTATGGTTGTTTAAGGAATGAGCTATCATTCTCTGACTAGGTTGCAGCCTTTGAGTGTAAGAACTATGTCAGACTGTTCACTTTTGTGCGTGTGTGTGTTTTTATTGAAGTATAGTTGACACACAATGTTACATTAGTTTCAGGTGATTGGACAAGTCTCTATGTCATGCTATGCTCACCAGAGGCGTAGCTCTGTCACCATACAATATTATTATAATACCATTGACTGTATTCTCTATGCTGTACCTTTCATCCCTCAAACTGTTCATTCTTGAATCCCCAGAACAAGGGCTAAAATCTGGCAAGAGCTTAATAGATGTTTGTTGAATAAATGAAGTAATGAGTCTTCAGAGAGAAAAAGGAGGGACAGAGCTAGTCTACATGAAGTTAAGAAATACTAATTGAGAAAGTGACGTTTAAGTTAGATCTTGAATGGCTAGTAGAATTTTACCAAGTAGAAAAAGCAAAAAGTGAAACCCCAGGCAGTGATAGTAGTGATAGTAGTGCTGTTTTCTTGTGGTTTTGTTTGCTTCATAAATAGACACTTAGAAAACAATCAAATGTTTATAAGCCCAACTTGTTTTTATTCAGTATTCAAATATTACAACCAAACTTTAGGGATAGTGAAGGAAAATATATAACCTTACAGTTTCTATAATCTCTATTGGCTAAAAGAATGGCACTAAAAACCTTGACACTGATTTTTTAACTACTAAAATATTCTTTTCTGGATATTTTTGATAAATAGCAATACAGAGGCAGTGTTCTGATTCTTCATCCTCCATGAAGATTTTACAGCATATCAAGAAGCTAGGAAAACATGTATGAGCCAAAGGTTCCCCATTACTGCTCATCAAGAGCTTCTCTGAGCTGGCTCTGCCTCAGTCACCTATTATATTGATTAGGATACTTTTGACTGCAGGTAATAGGAAGTTCAGCCAAAATTGTCTTCAAAAACACAAGTTTATGGGACGCCTGCGAGGCTCAGTCAGTTGAGCATCCAACTTTGGCTCAGGTCATGATCTCACAGTTTGTGGGTTCGAGCCCTGCATCGGGCTCTATGCTAACTGGTCAGAGCCTGGAGCCTGCTTCAGATTCTGTGTCCTCCTCTCTCTCTGCCCCTTCCTTGCTCATGCTATGTCTCTCTCTGTCTCAAAAATAAAGAAAACACTTAAAAAAAAATTTTTAATACAAGTTTACTTATCTCACACAAGATATGTGGAGGTAAGTGGATCTAGCGTTTCTTCCATAGCCCAATGATAATCAAGGTTTAGTTTGCTTTCCATGAGCTAATTTTATCTTTTTCTTCATGGGTAAATGATGGCCGCTAGAATTCCAAGAAACACAGTCACCATCCTTGGCTCCATCCAACCCCGCTCCCCTACACATACACACAGTTTAAAGACAAAAAGAGGAGAGGAAAAAATAAATAGTAAATAAATAAATAAAATTTTAAAAATTAAATAAAATTTAAAATTTAAATAAATATTTTTAAAAAGGAGAGGGTTCTTGCCTTTTTTTTTTTTTTTTTAGGAAGGAAAATAATATCCAGTGGTCCCCAACAGCCTTGCCCACAGAGTTCATTGGTGAGAAGTTAATCATGCCCAGCCCTAAACCAACAGCTGGCATGGAGGAATGGTGTCACAGAGATTGATTTAGACCAATAATGATTTATCCTAGGGGTGGGGAAGGTACACACTGGCATACCTGAGTAATGGCTATTAGGTAATAGGTTATGTTGCCACATGAAACTGAATCTCTGGAAATTTACATTTTTGTAGGTCTAGAGGTAATATTTTAAACTTTTAAGTAAATGCATTTGTCCTTGGGAGAGAGATTGGAAAGGAGAGAAGCAAGTATTGGGTCCCTTCTCATGTAGGAGTAATTTCCTTATATTCATATCTCATTATATCGTGTTTTACTTCATGATGATTCAGCCATATCACTATATCAGTTAGCCAAATAGAATAGCAGTTGTTTTCCTTTGATTACTTGGTCTCAGCACACCTAACACTTTCAGATAAGGTAATTTAGTTCAGGGAAGCATTCTTACTCATTTCAGTAATTAATTCAAGGAAATTTTAAGTCCCACCCTTCACTTGACCTGAATTCCTCACTGCGGGGTGGGTCTCCTTTTGGGGAATGAGCATTAGATCACAGTTGATTAGCTGAGTCCAGAAACAGAAAAGTTTCTATATGTTCTACATAGACATATACATAGACATATCAGACTGAGAACCTCCACTTCCAACACATGAATGGATGAACACCAAAGGTAGGAGCTTTTGTTACGACCATTGTAGGGTATATAACGGACAGTCATAGAGATGTTCTTTCAGATGTATGAATAGCATATACAGGACTCCAGCCATATATGTAAATT